TTAAATGAAGAAGGGCTAACTTGTAGTGTAGCAAATTATAAACTTGACTTACTGCCATTAGCACACTCCCTTATTTCTCTCTGCAGTATTTCAGGCACTGTGTTACTGCTATAAAAATCTATGAAGATAAAAGAGCAATGGTAAAATATCTGTAAAAACAGAGCTGTTAAGCAATGACATCCCAGTCAGAAGGGCTCAGCGCTTTCCAAAAGACAAACTGGATTCACTGGTTTCTTAGGATCTGGAGACAATTTCACAATTCCTTGCTTTATAAACTTACTTTCCCTGGGTGGATGAACAAAATGTTTTTAAATGGACTCTAGTAAGAAAAGTTGTAGAGAAGCAGATTTGAGTGTCCCTGAGAACTAGAAGCAAACACTTCTTTGGCTCTAAACAGCTGCTTGTGAGCAAGTAAAGGTTCACAATTGCTGTCAAGCCCTATGTCATTTCAATGGTTTATGATGAGCTGGGAAAATATTTGATAGCATCAGAAATCACTTCTCTTATGAAATCCAGAAAGCATGAGGAATTTCTAGAATCTTCTTGAAAATCTTCCACTCAACTTATGAATGTATTTGAAGTTCAATTTAAAAAACCCTGGCAGATCAGTCATACCTCCAAATTCCAGTGGCTCAGAGCTTGCATGCCAAGCTTTAACCAGGAGCTCTCCAGAGACTTTCCTTCATATTTGGACTATGAAGAAAGCAAAAATATTTGTGAATCTCCCCAGGTTCCACTAAAAATAGCATTCATGATTAATTGTTCCAATTATTCCACCAGGACCTAATTGATGTTTACTGTTCATCTTTTAAGAAACTCTTCACCTATTTACCTGACTTTACTAAAAAATTAAGCAGCACAACTCTTACATATGAATGAGCTCAGGAAATATACCTTTTTTTTCGTATAAAAGATATTTATGCCAACTAAGCAGCTTCAGCATAAAATTCCATCTGTATTAGTTGTGCACTTGTCTTCAGTTATTGAATATTCCAATCTTTAACAGGACATATAATTACCTTAAATATTACATTTCAGAATCACTTTTAAGCTATAGTTCAGACACTATTAAACATATTTTATATACATATTACTACACATAAAAAAACTTTCCAGATCACCAAGTGAACACTTTCTAGACTATCTACAAAGCATAAGCTTATGCTCTTTATTGTTTAAAAATAATTACATTTCTTCTGTGAAAGGTTGCAGTAGTTTTCATTCTGTAGGTGCAACTTTTTGGTTTTAATATTTTCTTAATAGGGTATTATGAAAACAATCTCAGAAATTTGTATTATGTGTTATATCATGTAATATTGTGTGCTACATAATTTCTTGAAGTTTCCTGGCTGAAAACGCAAGCAAACAGGTTTCACCTATTATAGTATAACATTATATTTCATATGTACTATAACATTATACTTCACCCATTAGCTATAACAGGTTTCACCTATTATACTATGGCACAAATATACTGTGCCACTATATTTGTGGCATATATTATATTTTAACTCAGGGTTTACTCTTCCCATTTCATGAGCACGTTTTAAGACAAGGCCATTTGCTTAGCACTCTTTTCTACCTACCATTCTTTTCCTCAAATACTTGGACTGTAACTTTTAAAGACAAAGTCTGGTTTTTGCTTTACTGTCTTTGTACCATGATCTGGTCAGGCTGCCTTCAGCATTTAGCAGTTTTCATCACCTAAAATTTGACATGTGCTGCAGAGCTTATGAAATACAGTATTTTGTGAGAAATACAGTATTTTGTCATTTGTCAAGGTTGCATTGTATTGTGTGTGTGTTGGTTTCGTTGCTATTTGACTTTCCTTGCAATCTGGATTAAAAAAATTTATACTTAGGTGATGGTAAAAAATCAGTTTCTCTTTTGTCAAAGCTTTTCATGTGAAAGTTTAATAACATGCATTGAAACTTTAAACACTTGTCTTAGACCCACTAGGGAATCTTTTATGAAAGCTAAATCCTTCAGAGTAACAGCAAATGGTAATATTTTCAGTAAAACTTCATAAGGCTCTTGGGGATATGGTTTAAGGATGATTATGGTGGTAGATGGCAGGATTAGATGAACCTAAAGGTCTCTTTCAACCTTGGTAACACTGTGATTTCCTTATGTCTCATCTGTTACTGCAGTGGCATAAATATGATTTCCTTAAAAGACAGTCTCTCTAAATGTTTATTAAGCTGCTCACTAAAATATTACTTTGAAGTCAATACATTTTTTTCTACTTCCCACTAGAACACTTTCTTTAAAACATCTTTGTAACCATAAGATATAATACAAGATTGTGGTTTCTCTCTCTCTACTTCATCTCTTACTACACAAGAAAATAATTTTGTATATCCTTTGTTTTCAAACTCTCTTGTCCAGTGGTTATGTATTTAACTGCTTTATTTTGTCTGAAGTCCTGCTTAGGGTAATTTTACTGCAGAGGTGAGGAAGGCAGTGCTGGAGAGTGATCTACCTGTTATAGCTGCATCATTCTCATCATAACTCTAATTCTCTATCCCGAAATATATTTCTAGTCTTCCTGATCTTTTCCCCTCCTTAGAGAACTGGTTTGGTAGTAATTCTGTCTTTATCAGGGATTCATAAAAGTGTCTGAACAGTTTCACAAGTGAATATGTTCTTCAAAAGCCTCTGGGGACAGAGAGGTTTTGTGTGTAATGTACCACCCATGGCCAGAGGAACCTGTGATTGAGGAGCTTCAGCTCTGGGTAACTTTGCACATAAACCTGTGGGTTCACTTCAGGCAAAGAGCAAACTGCAGCTCATAAACTGAAATGCTGATGTGAAATTGCCAGCAACACCGATGAGAATGCTCCTCACAGAGGTATAACTTAATAATTTAAACCTGTAATTTCAGTGTTTCAGTTTGAAATATTGCCTTATAAAGAAAATCCAGAAAGTGTTTCTGTTCCAAGTAAATTCAGGTGTAGAAATTAAATATCTCTTACTCTCTTTTTTTTTTTTTTTTTAAATGCTGCATACAGTCAATTTCCTGCACTGTTGGTCACCTTGTTGGTTAATACCTCATATTGTTGGAGATTATTTTTAGAAAGGCCCTCCTTTAAGAACCACTCTATCTGGTTTGTCCAATTAGTTCTGGAAACTCAGTTTATTGTACATATTCTGAATCTAATTTTTCTGGTTATTACAACAACCTATTTTTCCTTGCACTGTTAGTTTACAGAAAAATGGGAAGTGCAATGGGAATTATTATTTATATGATGTTGAAAAAACATCCAAATGTAGAAAGTAAAGTGACATAAAGAGGGTTTATCAGTTGAAGCATTCTGCTTTACAGGTTAGTGAAGGAAATAACTGCTCCTTCTACTGACACAAATATTTTCAGGACCTTGCTAGGATACCATTTTGCTTCTTTGTATCTATATTTATATAAACTTTTGTAGGTTCTTTTATATTTAGAGGACATATAAAATCACCTTGTATGTTCTTTTGTACACAGCTCTGTTTTGTATTCTACCAGTAAAATCAGCAGCTTCAGCTGGACTTTTTCCTTAGAGGCCACAGAAAGGGCACAGTTAACTTGTTTGCACTGGGGTGCTGGCAAGAGGTTGTAAATTGAAAGGCTGTAGTACAGGAATTAGTGTATGTGTGAAGGGTTTCCTGCTCTGCATTTCTCATCTCCAGAAAGCCCCACAATGTAAGCAGCATATCATGTTTTCTCTTTGAATCACAGTTTAATTGTGCCATACCAGAAAATGCTGTTCTGAGTTCCAATTCAGTCATAAACCAATACATTTAGAATGCTTTGTTTTAAAGAAGAAATATCATGAAAGCACATCCCAAGCACACCCCGTCCATCTGTTCTCTACTGCACATCCAAGTAACTCCGCTCTCCTCAGAGGTGCTGGTTATTCCTTCTCCACTGGTGCCAAACAACGAGTTCAAAATACAGATGAATGCTGAGCAGCAGGAAAAGTGGTTCCAGTAAATTAAAGAAAAGTGCTGACAGCCATTTCCCTGCTTGGTGTCCCTGGCTTTATGTACTACAGCACAGACCGGGGAAGAAATGAGCAGTTCCCAAGCCCAGTCATTAGTTAGCAGGCTTTGTTGATTCCAACTCAAGTCAAGTCTGTGCTTCTGAGGGCAGTGGTCATTGTTAAATTAACACTGAGCATGGTCTAAATGGATAAATCTGTCTAGCAAAGTGTCTCTCTTGGCTTCCTTAAATTTAGGTTCACTATTAAGCCTTGCTCAAATAGTATAACTTACTTTACTCCATGCGAACGTGAATTGATGACCAAAAGGAACTCACTGTTTATTAATTAGTTGGTGCACTTGCAATAAACTCTCCACAGGCAGGGCCTCAAAGGCCAGCAGGAAATTCATTCCTCATCCACCACCCCCTGCTGACACCTCAGTCCTCTCGTCTCCATTTCTTCTTCAGGTTTTGCAACATTTACAATTGCTTTTTACCATCCTCTCCTAAAATTGTGCCTCCCCCAGGACTCTTGCAACCCACTGACCTCTGATGTGCTGGGAGAGGGACACACCACAGGGCTTTCCTTGCTGAGAGGCTGCCCCTGGGGGTCTGCACATCCTCCTGCTGCAGGAGGGAGCAGCTCATCCTGGCTGTGCCAGCAGTATGTGCCCCTGCTGCCTGCAAGTGCTCCAGGCCAGCTTGGACAGGGCTTGGAGCAACCTGGGCTAGTGGAAGGTGTCCCTGTCCATGGCAGGCAAGGCAGAGCCAGAATACCTCTATGGTGCATTCCAACATAAACCACCTTTCAGTTCATTTTGGAGTTTTGGGCGACTGGCTCCTGTGCAGGGGCTTCACCCTGTGCAGGGCAGTGACCCACAGGAGCCCAGAGGAGTTGTACCGTCCCTGAGGTCTTTTTGGGGGGCACTTACTGCCCCAGGGCTGAGCACCCTCTGCCTCGTGTCATTGCACCCCTTCTGAAAACACACCCCAGGGTGAAATAACCCTCCTCCCCTTTTTTCTCCCCCTTTTTTAGGGTTGGAACATCTTACCAGTGACTGTCACACACTTCAGCTTGCCCAAAGGTCTCCCGACGTGTAAGGAGAGACAAGCAGGAAGAATGGGGGAAGAACAAGCCCAGGGATCTGGTATTCAATCTCTGCTCTGTTACTGGCCAGCAGACAGTGCCAAAAGAGTGTTTTAGAGTCTCTTAAAAAGCCTCAGATCATAGTGTGGCCCAGGGAAGATGCACCACCATAGACAGTCATCACTTTTTTTGTGTGTGTTTTAGATTTTCTTTCTATAAATTGGTGCTAGAAACCAATTCCAATGCCTTTTTAGCTCTCTCAGAAAATTTCAGTTTAAAAAGTACAGGAATATGTTAGAGGAATTCTTCATCACCATTACTCAAACACTTACACACTGTTGGTAATTCCACCTTGAACTCCTGAAAAGATTCTGAAATGCTGCCCCTAAAAGAAAGTAAAATAAATAAAACCCAAGCTTTTGATTCTTCCTCAGATTAATTAAAACCATTTGAGCTCTTAGACTCTACTTTAAAATAACACTAATAAAACTAATGTCTAGTTGTTATATTTTAAAATTTTATTATATATTTTATGTGAGATATTTACATTTATATGTTTTATACTTAATAATTTGGGAGTTGTCTTTTCAGAAGCCTCAGCCATGACCGATGAACTCAACATAAAGCCACTGACTGAAAGGAAAAGAGACTCAGACAAAGAATCTACGTTAAATGTATGCTAATTATTTTGGTCATGCTTCTTAATGTGCTGAGATTTTCTACATAAGGAAGACTATTTATGAATCACACAGAGTTTTTCCAGATTTTAGAATTTCTGAATGATAAGTAGAGAGCTTATAACTAGGCCAGAAACTGCGCTATGTGCACTTCTCTTTGAAATGTTTCATAAGGAAAAAGATTCCTCAAGAGGAGCATAGTACACATTTGAAATTTCAAATTATACTTCATTTCAAATGGTTAATAGTCTTAATTATGTCTAGATTTTGATTGGTTTTTAATTAAACTTTAAAGGCAGGGAATATAGTTTCTAAAGTAGACAAGCAGATATTGATAATAAACGAATTACAAATGTTTCTGAGCATGTTTTGGCAGATTCATTAACACTCAGTGTTAATAGTGACCAGGTGTTGGCCACGTTAATGTCACTGTAGCTCCATCTTGTGGCTGAATGATTATTCTCGATTTTTGATTCTGTAGGAAAAGCTTGGTCGAAAACAAGCATGAAAAATGATGCTGAGAGGAATTCATAAACATGACTAATTTCACTGTGGTTGTTTCTATAAGAAAAATGTGTTAGGAAAAAAACTCCAGCCCTGAGTGTTTGGTGCTCACCCTCCATAGTTGTAATTTGCCATGTCTAAGTGGATAAATTATAATTTAGTTAAGTATTATTTAAGAAAATGAAAGCAAAAATGTCATTAGTGTTATGATTATCTATATCAATGAGTTTATGAGTCATATATACCCTGCCAGTCATGTTTTGTTCCTATTTCATACAGGTGATCAAAAATTCTGATGGACAGTTTAACCTTGAGGCTGCAATTAAAAATGTTGACACAATGTCCAATGAGTTGAAGAAAATAAATGGTAATTCTGACTTCACCATCCAGTTAAACAAAAAACTGTGTAAGACCTTCTTCTAAGAGTCTGCAGTTGGAATGGCCTGGTTTTCTGTGTTACACAACTGGGTTTTAATGTAATGAAGCAACAGCTTTGCTCTTGTGTTTTGAAAAATTAATGGAACAGTAGCTAGAGAGCAATAGAATCATTAGTTAACCATGGGAAACACCTGCTAGGTGATCAGTCATTCCTTTCTAGGAACACTGAGAGCTTCTAATGCAAATATTGCTAACATGCTAACACCAACTGAATTTAACTATCTTGAAGCAAGTGAAACAAGGCAATCCTTCAACTTCTTGAGTGAGTTGATAGATGAACACTAAAACAATGCTGTCTGTAGATATCATTCACTGTCATTCAATAAATGCCATGCTGATACACTGCCCTTCGTCTTTCAGTGGAAAGCCAGCTGCTGCTTTGTGACCTGATTTTGAATTTCAACCATCCTATGAAGGCCAAAGATTTAAGAGGAGCTGAAGAAAAGACTTGGAGTTCGACTGATTAAGTTACATCCATTTTCATGTATTGTCTTCTATTATACTGCTGAAGTTGCTTTTTCTTCTTCTTCTTCTTTTTCCTTCTTCTTCTTCTTTCTTCTTCTTCTTTCTTCTTAATCTTCTTTCTTTTAATTAACTTTGAACTGTACAATGATAGCATGGTTTCTTGCAGGTAGACTTTGTTTTAAGCTAAACATATGGAATGGAAAAAAAAAGTAAGTTATTGGTTCTGAGAGTGGTTTTTTCAACCCACATTTCCCAAATTAAGCCCACTAGGGCCGGAAAGACTGATGTAATTAATTAAAAATATTGGGAAACTGGGCATGAAGTTTCTCACGTGGTTTTCTCCTTTTAAACAAAAACCTGTTGGAGCAGTAACAGAAGATTTGAAATTTACTTCAAGTCACTGTCTGTTGTCTCAGTTGTGCCTGGGGAAACAGGATAAGAAACTGCCAGTGAAGGAGGAACTGCAATTTGTGTTTTGAGCTGCCTTCCTCATCTTAAAAATGTTGCTGAGGAAAGGGTCAAAGAGCAGATTACTTCTGGAAAACCAAAAATGCTTTCTATTCTAGTTTCTGTAATAACTCTGTAATGCAACTAGCTACAAGAATAAGGAGGAATTTGTGGTTTCAGTGCTCTGTCCCAAAATCTTCTTGGCCCAACATTTGTACTGCCACTCTTTTCCTGTAGTTCATTACAATTCATATTCAATCATATTTGTAGACATGTTTGAATGTTGAGATGTGGCTTTATTCCTACACCAAATATATTTCTCTGAATAATCAAATAGAGATTTATTCTACTTTAAAAATATGCAATGTTAGAATTTGTTATGCTGGTTTATATTTTATTTCTCTTTCACTGGTGAGATGATTTAAAATTAATAAAACACAATTCCACAGGAGGTGTTTCTGGGTTGTCAGATTTTTCAAGGCAGGGCAATGGAATAGAATTACAGTTCAGAAGAGTCAGTGGTGATATGGGGGATGATGTTCTTAATTTTTACAGTTTTTGAAAAGGACAGAATAGAACTGACTTTTCTTTCACCAGGTAAGTAGTCAGTTTTTAAAAATATTGGGCTAGAAGAAGCTTATGTCAGCTGAAGGATTTTTTAAATTTTATTTTTCTCCTTTATTTTTGGACTCCTAATTGCATGAAAATGAACTTTGCTAACTTTGAATTCCAGCTCTTACCTAAACATCTTAGAAATGAACACTTACAAAACATATCTCTATAAGTAAAACTGTTTATGAAATCTGATTTTATTATTTGGGAAGCTTTACAGATTGTATGGAAGGTATTTTCTACCTTGAATTTTGGTTCCAGTGGACACCATGGCTTTAAAGGAGCAAAAGTGTGACAGAAGTGATAATTATCAAACCAAGGTCTTGTCAGAACACAAAGGCAATTGAAAGCCAAGGCAAATGATTGGATAAATCCCACTTAACAAAGGGGGAAACTCTTGATACAGGATTCTTCAGTGTTCCTCAGGTACAACTTATATTTTTGAACTGTGAGTGTCCCTTTCTGTCTTTAAGAAATGCAGTAAAACAGAAAGCAGTTGTGCAAGAGGAACTAAGTTTGGCCTGACTGTGTGTGCTTTCTAAGAGATTTGGGGGTGTTCTGCCACGTAAGGGTCACATGATGATAATTTTGTTGATGTGCTCCCTGTAAAAATGCAGTTGCTTGATTCAGTCAGAAAGACACAGCTGAAGAGGGATCTGTGTGGAGAAAATCTTCTCTCTGCGTGAGGTCAGGGAATTGTAGGAAATACAAAATTCCAGCTGTGGGCTGAGGCATGGGATCCCCAGTGCTGTGGCAGAGAGCATGTGCTCTGTGGGTGTGGTGTTTTCCAGGAAATGTGGGAACAAACAGTTTCACAGCTGAATAACCCAGACACAGATCCTGACAGGCACCTGCATTTCCAGGGTTGGAGGGCTTTGGTGCCACTGAAACCTGTGTGTCTTTCAGATCTGAGCTGATCTTTTCATAGAAGTGAGTAGAGTTTGATTTATTGAGGAAAAAATTGGCTTTTGTCTACTCTGCAGCTTTGACAATGTTTGGGTCTACTCCATATCACTCCAAATAACAAAATTGCTGCTGCAATTTTGATCAAAAAAAAAAAGAGCTCTTGTGAAAGCAGAGGCGTGTCCTGATCTTTATTTATGGTTCGTCAGATTTGGTGTGGAAATAATTTCAAGAGGATATAAATATCCTGGAAGATAAAAACTCTCATGTGCTGTATGATTAATAGACACTTTGTAGGAAAATTATATTTATAGAGTAGTGTATTTAAGGCATAATTTAAAAATAACATAGTCCTTTTTCTTTGAAACTGTGAATTTTAATGACATCAGGATTTTAGTTTGCTGAAAAGGGAAATATCTTGAAGTTTACAAACTTCAGAAGGCTTCAGTACTATGTGTGATCTTCTCTCAAGTTTCATTTAAATATGTCCCGCAGCATATTTTAACATACACTGGTTTCTTGAGCCTCTGTCTTTTCCATCAATCAGAAGAAGGGGTGTTCTTTGGAAATGGTCAATGATATCTGCTACAGAAGAAAACTCCTGTGGGATGGAAAAAATGAGAAAGATAAGGCCAAAATGTCAGAATTATTAGTAACTGCTAGAAACAAAAGGGTTGGGTTTTTTTTATTCTAAATATTTATCAATATTATAAATATATATATAAGGTCCAGATCAAGTGTTCTCATTCCTACCACAATCTGTAGCTCAGTAATTCAGTGTACAATGTTGTACAATGTTCTTGCTGCAATGTTGTATAATTAATTTATGTAGTCTTGGTCTGTTTAACACATGCTGTTGCCACTGTGCTTGATGTGATGACTGTACTTGAGAATTCAGAGGTGGCAGATCAGTTCAGGGGCTCTGTCTCGAGCAGAACTGCCAGGAGTGTGCTGAGCAGTCTGTCTGGTGCTAGCAAATCCACACAGTCCTGCAGGCTGGGGCTGAGCCACCAGTCTGGGAGCAAAGCTGGAACTTGGCAGGTATGGATTAGCTCTCAGCTCTGCATTTCCCTTATCAGGTATCTCAGTGGCAAACAAACATTCCCTAACCAGGCACGTGGATTTCTAATGGCTATGTTCTAAGGCCACCCCTTCATTCCCTGAGTGCAAACAGCATAACCTGATTCTGCTTCCAGCAATAACAGTATTCTCCAGTGAATAACTCTGAGACAATAAGCAGAATTCCCCCTAGGAGAACAGTCACCTGACACTGAGGAATGAGGCAGGAGATGCCTTGAAATGAAGAGAAGTAGTGTGAAAAACAAATGGTACCTCTTTTCCTTTTAAGCTGGTTCCTAACAAGTATAAGTGGTCCTGTTCCTGGTAGCGGATCTGGATGTTGTACACTTTGTCTCTGTACAGCACCATCAGGACATAGGGGTGAGTAACTGTTTTCCGTGAGCTGTCTCTCACCAGGAATGTTCCATCCTGAAACAGGAAAACATGAAAGGTGACAAACAGCAGACTCTTCTGGCTGTGTAACTACTTTCACTAAAGCACTTGTGCTTCTAAGTGTTTTTCTTTCTGAAATCTTCATTTCTGATAAGAGAAGCCTTTAGGTCTTTTGACAAATGTGTTGTCTTTCAGTTTGCTGCTTCAAACTTTCTGTTACAAAGCAGATTCTAAAGGAAGATAGGAATGGTGTTTTATGAGGGAGAGATTCCATTGCAGGAGGAAGTTAAATATCAAAGACCAAACCTCACATCACTTTAATCAGAAGAGAATTTCATTTCCAGTAAATGCCAATCATGTTTCCTATGTGAAGTATTTATAGACAGCTTAAAATAATGATATTGTGTGATTTAGGTAAAGGCAGTGATACTGTACCACTCTGTTTTTCATAATTTCATATCTCTTTTGACAAGTCTTCCATTGAAATCCCTTTCTTAAAGGCACTGAATGGGACCTCATCAGCTGGATTTTAGTATAAGTCACTGGAATGGTGCACATGCCATCTTCAGCTCATGGCAAGTGCTGTGAGGCAGCACAGGGTAACCACAACTCCCACAGCAATACTTCTATTTATCTTTATGATAGCCAAGATTATATATTCAGTATTAGATATTCAATATATTTAATATATTATTTTATATTTATTTGATTTTAATAATATTAAACTATATTAATATTATATATTAAATTATTAAAGTATATATTCTCTATTAAATAATGTTGCTAATATTATTATAATAAATATTTAATAAATAATTTATTTTAAAATTATTTCTTTTACAATTAAATTAATTTCTTTAAAATAATAAATATTTAATGTTTATTGATTTAATATATGTATTTAATATTAAACAATAAATATTACATATTAACATAAAATTTTATATATTTGATTTTTTTCCACATGTACAGAGAAGCCTTGTTTGAACCTGTAGTTCATTTTGCTGGTGTCTATGGCCCAGAAAAGGGTGGATGCCCAGGCCTTTGCAGTACCTTGTTTATCTTGCGGAGCGCTGCCTCTGCCTCGGGCCGGCTGACGAAGGCCACGTACCACTCATCCTTCAGAGAGCCCTGGGGGACAGCACAAGGACACAGTCAGCTGCCAGGGAATGGCAACACACAAATGAGTAGAGAGAGATTGCAGTGTGGTATCTGCAGAGGGATATCTGGGTCTGTGTGCAGAATCTCTGTGTGTCATGGACCACACTGCTATTTATTGTGGTATGGAAAGTTCTGCTCAATTGTTTTAAATTGCCTGCTCTCTTTGATAAATTTGAAAATATTACTGATCTAGCCATAATGCCCCTGCAGGTAAGCTAAAAAATAGGTATTTCCAAATACTTTCAGTAAAATATTTTAAGTGGCATGTTCTCTTTTGTCTACCTGGACACTAGGCACAAAGGCATCTTTTGCCTTCATTTATCTGTTTGGTTTTTAGCTATCATCTGAGACAACTGTGCAGACTTCCTGTGAATGTACTATTTATGATTGCCCAGCAGTATTATCACCATGAGTGGTTTGCTCTAAACTTGTTTTACTTAAGGAAATGTGAAGCAAAAATGAACTTAAAAGAATGAATCCTTTACTCATCAAAGTTTTGTGGAAAGAGAACTGAAAGTCTGATGCTGCTTGAAGGCAGCTGTATAAAATAAATAATCCAGAAAACAAGTGTTTTTCTTATTTTTCTCTGTTGGGGCTCAGCTATTGTTGTTTTTCTTGATGAGGACAAAATAAGGCACTACAGTTTGACACAGAAAAGGAAACTGAAAGCACTCAGTAGTGTCCTGACAGTGACTACTGAGTAGAAAAACAACTTTGAAAGGTGTTGTCTCTCAAAACCAGAAAACTTGCTCTCTTTACAGCTATGGTTCATGTTTTGTACCTCATCTTCCTCCGTGTTTGCCTGGTAAACAGTCTGTCTGCTAGGAATTGGCAAGGGAGGTCTCATGTCAGCTGGACCTCTGGAAGGAGATCTGCTGTTGCTGCCTTTAGGGATACAAAAGTAGAAAAACAATGTTAAAACCAGGAAAATAATTTCATCTCTGCACCCAGGGTGTAGGATCTTGATTTTATGAAGTATTTTTATCACTCTGGTACTGAGACATCTAAAAGTTATTTGAAATCAGATTTAGGCTTCTCTATGAGAACCAGGTTCTTGCCATCCTTGGTGCACAGGGAATTTAACTGAGCTCTTGTGGTTCAGATCTTCATAAGAACAGATGAACTTGAAATAGGGGTGATTTTTTATCAGTTTCTGTACCACAGTTGCTCACTTTGAGAGCATCTTGGTTTCTTTAGAGACAGAAGTAACATTGTCTCTTTGCAATCCTTGACTTCTCAGCAATTAGAAAGTTAAAAATGACACTGTAGGACATTGACAGCTGTGTGAAAAAATCACTTGTGAAGCAATTGATGTCTAAATTTTCTTTAATTTTTTTTCTTACGAGATAAATATGGAGCATATTTCACATGAAAATCATTTGCTAACCTTTTTGAGGAGTATTAGCATACCACAAGTGATTTGCATAGCTCAGTTCTCAGTACTTTACAGAAAAGGATGGTTATATGAAGTTTTGACACTGTTGAACTAGGCAGGAAGCCCAAACTTCATGGGGACAAAAAAGCCCAAAATCTTTGATCCAGGCTAAGTAAGGTACACAAGATGCCTTTCAGGAACTTGGTAATTTTCTGTTCACAGTCCAAGCAGAAACATCCATAGGAAAAAAAGCTATTATATTGACTGCACTGAAACTACCTTTCAGCTTTCATTCATCTAAAAAAGAAAAAAAATGTAAGGATGTAGGATACAAACCTGGACGGAAGCGTGGTGGTAGAGAGCCAGTTGTAGACAAGTTTCTAGAGCTGTTTAAAAAAGGGTGAAAAAAATAAATAAAAGAGTAGTCAGTATAACTACAACATTTCTCTACAACATTGCTGTGCTCTGACCACCTGATCTGGACTTTGTGCCTGTTTTACAGAATGTGAGAGCCCCTTGAGACCTGTGCAGGGTGAAGAGAGCCTTCTCTTTTCTCCTTTTTGTTTTTCTTTCCTTCTTTTTATGTAAGTGGATCACCTTTAAGTTCACCTGGAGCTCAGCATTTGGGAATAAGTTAATCAGTAAAGGCCACGGAGACTTCTGTAGCAGGAATGTATCCAGCCTGTGGAATTTTCACAGGGAATGACCCTGTCCTTCCTCATAGTAGCAAGCACGGGGAGAAGCTCACCAGGCCACCAGCCCTCCTCGCTGCGGGGTTCCACTTACAGAGTTATTGTTCCTGCAGCTTCTGTAACATTGTTGATAAAAATGCAGTTCACATTTATGTTAAGGGCCAGCAACATCAGGGAGTGGGGCATGTCCCACATGAGGAAAGGCTGAGGGAGATGGAAGCTGAGAAGGCTCAGGAGAGATCTTTTAAAGCGCATAAATATCTGAAGGGAGAGCCGGGCTCTTTTCACTGGTACCCAGTGACAAGACCAGAGGTTCCCTCTGAACATCCAGAAACATTTTTTAATGTGAGGGCAAGCAAGCACTGGGGCAGGTTGCCAGGAGTGTTGTGGAATCTCTCTCCTTCCTTGGAGACATTCAAATGCTATCTTAGATGTGGTACCAGGCAGCCTGTTCAAAGTGACCTTGCCTGGGTAGGGGGCTGGACCAGAAGACATCCAGAGATCTTTGTCAACATCAAGCTACATCCAAAACTGCTCAAAATGGAGTCCCACTCTTCAGTTTCTGGGGTTTGTTGGGGGTTTTTTTTTGGTTTGGTTTTTTTTTTTTTCTTTTGTTTAGTTTTGGTTTAGGTTTTTTTGTTTATTCACCTAATTGAGAACAAATTGCCTACACTCCTTTCCTTTACTGATCATATTTCTCTTCTGTTTACATGAGCTGTTAAAAAGGCTCAGAGATAAATATGCTAATTTTGTTTGCACAACAAAAACACCCTATCATGACTTGATTTATGGGAGAGAATCAGTCAACCCAGGGGCCTCTGCTACAGCAAAATTTGGCAATGGTTTTTGAATATAAGCAGAAGTGTTCATCATAGGAATAGTTCAATTTGCATATGACCTTGCTATTGCTATTGCAGTATTTGTTTTGGTGTCAGCAGTTCCAGAGAATGATGGTAAATGTGAGAAATTCATCAGAGAGCCATTAAAAAAATACAGAGATTAGAAAATGTGCATCAGACATAGACTCAAGGAGCCCACTTTAAGTCATCAAAGTCTAAGTCTGTTGCATGGTACATCAGAAATCAAAATTTAATTAGGGGTTCTTCTGTCTAGCAAGTGAAGGCATTACAATCAAATATTTGTAAGTTGAAGCTGGGAAAAAATTGCAGCAAGTTTCACAATTTTAAATAGGAATTATCAACCATTCGAGTCAAATTTAGTAAAAAGGAGGTGAAATTCTTTCAGATTCAACTCCAGACAACTGAGGTTGTGGAGTTTTTCCATTTTGAAGTGTGAGGAGTTGCAGCTCTAACACTTAAGCTCCTTGAGTGTGCAGGTGCCCTTTGTCCTGAATCCTGCCTAGTTTTATAGGATATGATCCCTTCCCAAAAGGACTGGTCATTTTTATGGACCCTGCAAGCAATGGGAGAGCAGTGGATGTCTCAAGAACAGAATCCTTGTACTGTGTAGGGTTTTGATGCCTTAGGATTTAGCTTTTCTATTTTCAGATCCTGCACTGCTTTAGTGTACAACTCTAAAACTGCATGGCCTGTCAGCTGCTGTTCTCCCATTTTATTGAGATAAAACAATTCCTCTCTAGGCCTGGAACTCAAGGACACCTGATTGTCTCAGGCCCCAGGAGATGTAAACAAGAGTGAATTGGGGGGGATAACTTGCAGTAAATTACTTCATTACTTCTGACCATTGTCCATCCTGGGTGTAGCCCCTCCCCAGAGGCTTTTGACTGCCCAAGGTGTACCTATTGAAGGCCATCAATAAATAACTGGTTTTATTCTCTTAAGTTTGTCTAGCCTCTGTTCTAGGTAGCCACTCCAAGGCATCAGTTTAAAAAACTTCATTGCCATAAAACAGAGAGATTCATGGTTTTTTCTTGGTTGCCTGATATACACTCTCTGCTCCTCTTCAGAGCTTCAATTTTAAAAAGGATTCTCCTGGACAGTAGGAACACCGCTAATTAGAATTTTATAGAGGCAAGGGCACAGTCTCAGTAATGAGACATTCAAGAAATGACCCAAAATATGAAACAAACCTTTCTGCAGCAGGAATGCTGTTGGATCCTGGTTTTGGTGGAGGTTTGATAGATTTGGGTGGGAATGCATTGGAGCTGTATGGGGGCAAAGACAGCTGTGGCACTGGTCTTTGCAGGGCAGCTGTGGAGAGGAAGAGAAGGAAATTTAAATCCTACATCAGCTATTCTTAAATGAAGTAGAATGAAGAAATTCTGTCACCTTATTGCTATTTAATTAGATAAATATAATGCAATAAACAGTCCTTGATGTGTTAATTACAGATTGGAAACTCATCTGGTCAGCTGAGAACTTAGAAGTAGGTATCAAAATTAAAAATAAACTGGAACTGGCTTGAGCAACATTTACATTTTCTAACATCTGTTTTGGATAAGCCACAATTCAGGTACCTTAGCTGCAGAAGGTGGTACATGTTTTCTGTCATGTTGCTTCTAAATAGCAGAGTTGATATCACTTTTTTAAACATCACTCTGAGATTTCTCCCAGCATGAAATAAAACATTTTCTTTCTGCAGTGTCCTCAGACCTGAACTAGCAGTAAGAGTGGGACAGGTTAACTGTGTTCTGCACAGCTTAAATAACCTTATTCTCTATGGAGGCTTAGGGGCAGTGATAATTCATAGAGGCTTGGCCAAATGTCCTGCTTCTGTCACGGAGTCACTTTACCAACTCAGTTTCAGAAATCAGCATTCTGCAGTAGTTTATAAACACTGCTGGTACATGGAAGAAGTTCTGCTTCTGTTCATAAAAGTGACTAACACTGCACAGAGCCTGGTGCCAGCAGGGTTTGCTGAGGACTGGGGGACACCAGATTTCTGTTCCCAGCTGTGTGCAGAACACAAATCTCTCTATTTCAAAATAAGAAATCCTGCTGGCTGGTAACTGGCTGACTGAAGGAAGCTATTAGCTATTGATTTCCTGGGGTTTGTGGCTTTGATATATAAACCTGCATCAGGCACTTTATAAAAATTCTACTGCCTATCGAGATACTACCTGACTTTAGAAATGGCTCTAAGGAAACAACCAAAGTAATTTCTTTTTTTTTTTTTTTTAGAACTAAGACAAAGAAAGATTTCGAGTTTGAAAAATCAATGTAGAAATACTTACTGTCTTCTTCATCCTGGGGAGCCAAAAGAAAAAAAAAACATTAGCAACATATTATAGCACAATTCTTAGGAGTATTTTACAAAACAAAATCTGGACATTGGTGAATTTTGAGTATACAAGGATTTGAGTATACAAAGATTCTAATATCTACAATGTCACTTCCCTCTAAAATGTTTTTATCTTCATGCAACACCAAACAATTTTTAAAGTTTTAAAGTTTTAAACAAGATGTGTGGTAGATGTCCCATAACACATCTTGACCTAAAATAGCCAGAAACTCTCAGGAGATATAAAATTTCTTTATTCCTTCAAGTAAGTGTAGGCTCTCAGAATCATCTGAAAGTGAAACTTTTAGGTCAGCTTAAGCTGAAAAAATCCCCAGAAGCCAAAATCTTTTTTAAGCAAAACCACTTCTCCCATGTCATAGAAGAAATTCTGGCCTTATTCTTCCTGTTATCCAAGATAAAGTTCTCAGGGAACAAATTGAGCTTGACACAGAAAATCTTTTCAAAAACACCCCCTGTGCTGTGAAAGATCCATGAGTATTCCTTATAATTTATAAAAGAAATAAGTTTACCTTTTCCAGCACTATTAGTTTATACAGGTACTTAATTTTACTGTAACCCCTACAGTTTTAAATATATGCTTTGAGACTATACTTACTTCATTTTTCTTGTGTGGTGGCCAGCTGTGCCTGAAAGGAGAACAAAACACTCATCATAGGTAGAATAATACTCATTCACTTCACGTGCATTAGGCCATATTTTCAACTTGAACATGAATTTATAGTAAGTTTTAAAGACCAATGGATGCAGAAACACTTTTTTCTTCCTCATAAAAACATCTAAGATTCTAATGCATATAATCTAATGCATTTTTCTAGTCCTTAGCCCATCTTGATTTTATCAAAATGAAAATTTCTGATGAATTGATTGTAAGATTAGAGCTTCAAACAAGCTTGTACAATGATGAAACATTCAAGTCTTGAACTCATTTACAATATTTGACAACACTGATGAAGCACACCATAAGGATATCAGACTTTGTTTTCTCTGATCAATTATCCTGGCTGGTTAGCAGATCTCAATTATTTCTTCTCTTGTTTGAAGTACAGTCAGTGTTTAGCCCCTGGGTGGTCTAGAAAATGGGGGAATGATCCAGTTCTGCTAGAAAATGCTGCTGGCTGATAAGAAGGAGTTTTGTAGGCTAATAAAATCAATGGGATAAAAGTACAGCTTTCCCTTTCTAACACCCTAAAACAACAGCAATAGAACCCATGTAAGAATGTTCCCTAGAGCAAGAACTTGCTCTGCTGGAAAAAACATGGATCACATATATCTTTGTACGACTTGGAAGTGAGTCATGCCCCACGTAATGGCTCTTTCAGATATGACTGGAGAGAGTTTTTCTGCATTCACACCTTTCTGCAGCTTCAAGCACATCCTGTGCATATTAATGAACCAAAACTTTGATACCCACAGACCCTGCTGTCATGCAGTACCAGTAAATCAGATCATCCTGTGTTGCTTGTCCATATTTTTGTTAAATTTCTTTTCTCCTTTATTGAATTTCGATGAAATGAGCACTTACTTTCCAGGGCTTTGCTTCCTTAGAGGAGGTGGGTTGCCTCTTTCATACCTGTCACTTGGTGGGACAGGAGGTTTTGGCATCATTGCTAACTGTTCTCCCAGGGATCTAAAGCAGGAGCCAGGTGACAAAATAAAGGCAAAAAGTTGCTTATTAAGAAATAACTGGGGAATACTGGCAAGGAGAGGATCATTTGCAGAGGACAAATCTTACCTTAGCTGTGAAACCAGAGGCTGCAAAACAACAAGGAATAGTTATATATAGAGAATATATAAGTGCATCAAAATAGTCAAAAACTATCAATATTCACAAACAAAAAAAAAAAATTACCTTTTCAGGAATGCCTGGCTTCTTCCCTGAAAACAGCAAAAGCTTACATTTAGAAAAAGTGAGAGTTAATTAATTAAACTTCCTATGAAATAAATGAGTTTTGAATAAAATTGAAAGTTAATCCTGCTGGTTGAAGAACTCACATCCTGAGATGTAAGCCAGAAAAATATTGTAGTTTTGCAAGTGATGTTGAAATCGCAATCTCTCTTATTGAAGGGAAATTTAAATATTTTCAACATGGCACGTGTCACAATCACATTATCTAAGGTTCAGCTTTGAATTACTGGATACTTTCTTGCCATTATATAACAGATAAGAGTTTAGATAATAAAATAGTAGAGTCATATCTGTAGATGCTTTGTATAATGTGGCTTTCAGGTCTGAAGGAAATGCCTTTTTTTTCTGTGCCTTATTAATTCTCAGCCTTCTTTTAAGTCTGTTGCCACATTACCTACATCAGTGTATACAGAGCTTCATTACCTTTGTGTGCAAAGGTGATTTCCTCCTTTCACCTGCTAAATATTTCCTTGCTCAATCACTTAGGTGTACATCAAACCTTAATTGCACAGGGTTCTCATAATGTCTTTCTGTTCATCTGTCTGACCCAGGGTTGCTGGTTTTTACATGAAATTTCTCTCCTACTTTGTAAGTTCTGCTCACACCATTTATTCATAAACAGATTACTTTGTTTACATTTGGTTGAGCCTTGTTCTTTTGCATTAATTATATACAAACTGATGATTTTCAACAATTGAAGCAATCCCAGTGATATTAATGTAAGCAAATACTGACCTGACCCTGGGCTTTCTCTTTCGTATGGGGGAGCAAGGCGATCCAGAGAGGGTTTGGTGCTTCTGTCTATAGAAGGAGCTGGGGCTAAACACAACAACTGTGTAAGATCATTTGCTGGTATAGGTCATTATATCTTTATTTTGCATAGATTAGAACTGATGTTACTTCTTAAAACAACAATTCAGACTCCTGTATGAGTAGCAGAAGAGAGTGGAACTGAGGGAGAAGAGGAAGTGGAGTGCTGCACAGTCTGTGGGAAAAGCTTTACAAGGAGAACAGCAGCTGCACTCAGCTGTACTCACGTTTCAAAGGCTTCATGTTTCTGTCTCTACTCAAGTCGTTGTTGCTTGGTGGAGGAGGGAAAGCTGGCAGCTAGAACAAATATTTCACAAGTGGTTAAAATGTGTCTTCACCTTTCTGTTTGGGGTGTATTAACCCGCCACGCACATCTGCCAGTCTTGTGTGGCACAGCACAAGGAGCAGGTCTCTGCTCACTGCAGGAAGGACGGGAGCCAGGCACCCTCCTGAAGCATGACCAAAATCATTGATTTGTGTTGGTTTTGCCTCCATCTGCTGTGCCTCCCAACACTCCAGTGGGATGTCTCCTCTGGAAGGGGAGGTGTATTGTCAAAGGAAAGGAGCTTCAACAGCACTGCTGTATCTCTGTGACACTGCATCAGACCAGAAGTCTCTCCATCACATCCTAAACCTTTACTTGTGTAAACACTGGTAGGTTTAGTGTACATCTGTTCTGGCAAACACTGAACCTATAGTGCTAGCTGTCAACAGCACAAGAGCTTTCAGTTTTGAAGTATTCACAGCAGGTAAAAAAGGAATCAAATCTTGGTCATCAGTGTTCTGATTATACAGTCTCTTACACTTTTATGTGGTCCTAATTCAATTGGGCAAGTGCTAGAAGTATAGCTTGGAAAAACATAACCTTGTTTTCAAAACAGAAGCATCCCTTAAAAATATATAATTTATGTGGGAGATGCATTCACAAGTAGGTATATATCTCCAGTGTAAGAATCAATGAAGTAATATGAAATAATTAAATATATTTCTCCCATGAAATTTAATTGTTCCTTGAACAATGGCCACCTTGTAACAGAGTTCAAATCTATTTTGATGGCTTCCTCTTTATACACTATGTGAATAAAAATGGCCCTACACTTGGACTCCTATGAAGGTTCTGGGATAGGAAATAGGTGAGATATTAAGAAAGGAACATACAGTAGCACTTCTTCCCCCAAATGAGGCTGGTCCTGGGGTTAGGCCAGGTCGCTGGGGCGGTACTGGAGGCTGATGTGGAAGCTGATGTACTGATCTGGTTGTTGTAGGTCTGTCTAAAGAAAACAAAAACCCCAAACTGAACAACTCCACAGAATTTAGTTATTTAATACTCATTCAAACTTTGTGACAAAGAGCCCTTACAAGAACCTGGCTACTGAAGTTCATAAATGATAAAGACATTGCTGCAGGATTTGCCTGGCAGTTGCTTTAGGATCAGTGTGTTGTGTTGGGAGTTCCAGGCTGGTCTGTCCTGGTGGGGGTGACTCCCCTGCCAGGCTCTGGGCCACAGGATTGATTTCATTCCCTGCAGCACAGTGTGTGACACCAGCCAGTCTGAATGGCAGCTTTGTGCTCCTGAATGGGCTCAGCACCTCCAGGCTGCTGAGGAAACAGATGTTAAACAAAAAGGCCAGGCAAGGACAGCTGCTTGTTCTTTTCCCAAATTTCACTAGAGTTTATTTGCCATTATTGTGACAACCTGCTCTGTCCAAGGTTGCACTGCTGAAGCTACTGCAGCATGTGCATGTGTGTAACTTCCTACAGGTTCAAATCAAAGGCCAAATAATGCACACATCATATGAAACTAATCTTTATGTCAACAGAGCTTGTCCAAACTTTAAAAGTCACAGAGTTTGTGTCACTAAATCTTGCTTATGAACTACACTGATACCTTCAAGTAAAAACCTTCTATATTCCATTATCAGCCACCTAAAATATGGCTGATAACATGGGAAAATCTAATTTGTAATTTATTAATAGCACTTAATTTTTAGTAATTACCTATATAATCTGTGCTACTTGGAAGTGACTTGGCAGGAAATATGACACTGTGATGTGCTTCTTCATTATTGGAGGGAGGTGGCTCATAGCCATCACTGTCATGTTCTGCTTCCTCAGGCTCCTCTGTTGGTGATTCATAGTCAGCCTCATCTTCCTTTTCCTGGCCTTCATCAGGGCTTTCATAGTCATCATCATCATCATCATCCTGGCAAATGAGCATAAAAAGTGGATGATGGAAGAGAACACTAAACCCTGCAGAGCAGTTTCCTTGTGGCCTTTCACTGTGGTATTTTTCACTCTGGAAAATACCAAACTTTTACAACCAGTTTGAGGGGAAAAAAAAATCTGTTGAAATAATATGGGGAAAGGAGGAAACGTTCCACTAATGCATGGAGCACTCAAGAGCTTAAGAAAGGAAACAAATATCGTTTGATGACAGTGAGTGCAGTGAGAGGTCAAGATAAGGTGCAAGTTTGCTGAAATGCATGAAGTGTTTTAGGGAACAGACAAGGCACCAGCAAACAAGCCAGTGTTCCTAGGGACACAATGGAGCAGCAGTTGATGCTGCTGGTATTCATTCTTACTCTCTAACATGTCCTCCAAGCATGCAACCCAACTTATGAAAATTATTCATAAAAACTGAGGTCTTTGATTTGGGTCTTGATGCCCTCCTGACCCAAACCAGCCCCGTTTGCAGAACCTCACAAGGGGATGGTGTCAATATGCTCATTGCACATCTGTGAAATCTGCCAAGGCCTGAGAGAAAAAGAGCCCTCCATTTGTCATTGGTACCACAGCTGGAATTTCCAGATCCTCTGCACTGGCACAGTGCCCACGTGCTCTGTAGGTGGTTACTTTTATCTCTTGTGCTCCCAGAATTGCAGCAAATCTCCTGTGAACTTAGTAACAAGTGGCTTCTAAAAATGCCTCTCCCTTTTATTTTTTGGACAAAAGCCATGAACACTGGTCAAGCTCAGAGATCTTCATAAAGGCAGGCTGTGCATCAGCAGCTGGGGGGGTGTGTTTCACCTAAAGACCTTCTCAAGGCATTTCCTATGCCAAAAGGCAGAAGGAACTTCTGCTAAATGGCTTTAAGAAAAAATACCGTTCAACAAGTTGGCTGTAGAGAATAAAATGGCAAGGTTGCAACACAGCAACCTTGGACACCTCTTTTAAAAGCTTGAAACAGGCATGTAAAATTCAGCTGTGGTTCTCTGGGGACCTGGTCATAGGTTGGGAGCTTCTACTCTAGCAGTGGAATAGGAAGGCAATTCTGAATATCTGGGGAGAACCTTTTCTCAGCGAGGAAATCTGTATTCAGCCACTGCCATCATTCCTGCTCCAGCTTTTCCTCCCCCAGCTGCCCCAGCTGTGGTGCCCAAGCAGGCAGTGCAGAACAGAGAGACCCCCTGAGCCAGGGGCTTTTCTTGACCCAAATACTCACAAATGAGGACCAGCCACCGTCATCCTGAGTGTACCCTGGGAAAGAAGCACAACCACACATTTCTGAGCATGGACAGCTTTGTCAGAGATGTAACAAGTTACAGGAAGTGTGAAAGAGGTTTTACAGTGACTTCCGTGAGCCAGAGAGACGTTTGAGAAGAGGATTCATGTTTGATGAGAGAATTAAGAGGATCCATGTTTGATAAGAAGATCCATGTTTACCCCTCAAAGAATTTTCTGCCAAGGTTGTTGACACAGAAACCAAGAAAGAAAGAAGGAGAAATAAGAGAAATCTGCAGCTGCCTGTTCCAATGGGCACTTTGTCTCTTGTGACCAATGAGTAAACTTAGGAGTTTTGTAAGAATGTATAAAAGGCATGCATGCTATAATAAAAACAGTTTGAAGCCTTCTGAAAATGGAGTGTTTCTTTGTATTGTCTCTGTCTCAACCACGACAAGAAAGAACCCAACAAATCCCAGGAGAATTCTGGAGCCTCAGTCCTGTACCACAGGAAGGAGCTGTTCTTTCAGGGGCAGGCTGGCAGTGATGAGGGCACTCTGAGTAATAATCTGAATTAAAGCTGTCCTGCTGTGACACAATCTGGGTGCTGGCACTTCAAGTTTATGCCACTTCCAATTTAAATTTTATCATTTGAAACAAAATGCTTTCAGAATGAGCCCAGACTTCTTATCTCCTTGTTTAAGAGTATTTCAGCTTTCATAAAAGAAGGGTTTGGATTTTTTTAAAATTTCAGCTTCCCTCTCTAATACAGTGATGCTAGGAGGAAAGGCAGAGAATGGAGTTAAAATATATAAGCATTGATACAATTCACTATTAAAGAAAGACATTTTGACTATTCTTTGGTAAAAGTCTCTGCTCTTGCCTTCCTTCACCATCTTTTCTCTTTAAAAACACTTTTTCTTACTTATTGTTCTGCATCTATGATTTTCATTTTTGCAACTTCTTTATACTCCCATATTTTCATTTACTCTGTTGGATTTTTGGTTCCTGACCCTGCTCCCCTCTGTTGACTCTGCTCTGCAAGTATTAATTTAACATTTTAATGCTTTTAAACACTTTTTGTCATTAGGGTCTGCCAGTATACACTTACCTGTGTTTTCTGGAGATTTTTGTGTTTGGGCCCTGCAACAAAGATACAAAAAATAAATTCTTTCTGTTAAATGTTTGATACTTCTATTGCAAATAAAGGCAATAATTAACTGTTACAGTAGAAAGAAGTTTACATAACTGAGTTTAACTCTGCCCAAAATGCCAAGAACACATTAGTTGATATTTACATACAGGATCCTATTCTTGCAAATTTTACTCTTCTTTTATTGTGAATATTATATTCAGTGACAAATATTAAGAATTAAAGAGTAGAATGATGTATAGATCTGTGGAATGCATTAATGATGATTTATTAATAATATATGCCTAGGCTTCATGGCTTTCTTAAGGGCCATGTGCTCAGGTGGAAAATTGCAGGAAACGTGCAAATGTTACTTGGTTTTGGACATGGCAGAAGTATCTCAGTGTTCACAGGCTCAGGATCTGATATTTGATATCAGATGAATTAATGAAACAGAGCTTTATTTTATAGAATTTCCAGGGTGCACTTCTGATCCAAGCATCATTGATCAAATGAAAACCAGTCCAGAAAAGATCTATCTGAAAGCTTTGAACAAGAAAGCTGAGTTGTCTTACTCACCATTTTGGAAGGAAAGAGAGCCTCCCTTCATTTTTGTTAATTTCTTGGCTTAATTTACTTACAATTCTATTGGAAAGAAGAACAAAAATAGTTTAAAAAATAACCCTTGAAACCCATCACTTGTCAAAGCAGCTAAATCATTTTCTTTGCCATTATCCCTCAGTATTTGCTAAATTTAATCTGGTAACTCATGCTTATTATTTACCATGTGATAAAAACACTGAATTTACCATCTTATTGCAGAGTTGTGCTACAGCATATCCAACTACAAACTAGATTTTTCTTCCCTTGGTAAAACCCCATGTTGTTGGATTGTGTTTAAAAATAGACATTAAACCCAGCAAGCCTAAGGAACTTTGGGTGTTGTAGACATTGAACTGCTTCAAATAATGGCCATGGCATTTGTATGATTTTGCATGGAAAAAGCAAATAATACTTCAGGAAAACAGAGCTTATGGCTGCAAAACCAGGGATTGAATGTTCCCTGAAACTCTTCTCTATTCTTTTTGTGTTCCTTCCTCTGCAGCCAAGCAATCCCTCCAGCAGAGAAGGGGAAAGGCTGATCTAATTCCGTGTTTCAATACATTTTTAGGGCATAGCAGAAATATTATTTTGGTTTTTTTAATCAAAATATTATTTTGATTATTTTATTTCAAAGAAAGCTTGGGATGAGCCATGATCTGATTCTGAATTGCCATTATTTCTTATTGAGGAACATCCAACTTCAATGTTGTTTCCTTTTGCTGTAGGGGATAAGGAAGTTGCTATGTGAATAATAAATTCCATGTGAGACATCAGGAAATGTCCTGGGGTGAGCAATGGCCTGCACACATCATTGCTTTCGTTGAGAAGTCAGTTATGGGAATTTGTCTGTTGCTTATTCCCTGCTGTAGAAAAGGATATTTCAGAATGTCTCAGGTTTTATTCATCTAAAGAAGTAAAATGAAGTTCTCTGGTTTTCTAGCTAATAATTCTTAGAGTTCAGACTTCCCTGGGTGTGAATAAGACCTGAGTGTTTGGAATCTTTCTGGACTAAACCTAGGCTGGCTGCTATGGGGATTTACACCAATTGGTTTTTGAGGAAAAACTGAGAGGAAGATAAGTTTATCATCTCATCTTGCTGCCAAAAAAACTAATCATATCATGCTTAAAATACAGTGTCTAATCTTCATCGTTTAGTTGAAATGTTTCAAACCAATGGCTCAGAGGGTTTATTAGAAGAAAGCAAATTCTAGGAGGGTCAGGCCTTACAAGTTTCTCAGGGAAGACGGTGCTCTGAGCAGCTGAGCCTGTCAGTGTGAGGAAGGAAGTACCAAAACCACACTGCTCTCTGAGCTGTGGGAGTGGGTGATAGGAGAGGATAAGGCAACAGCACTTGCAGAAAATGTTACTCAGACTTCTCATTCTCTTTCTACCTCCTCCACCAGTTGCTAAACTTAAAACTGGCAGGAAGTTGAAATTAAAAAAAAAAAAAACCACACAACCAGCCCCCAAATCAGGACTCCAAAACTGGCTTTTGTTCACTCAACTGCAGATAATGTTGACATGAGTAGAATCCACTCTACATGTATTGGGACAAAGATGGGTAAAAGATGTGGACTACAAATTCCTCTAGGGCCAGGAGGCTGCACAGTTGCATATTGAGCACTGTCAAAAGCACAGTTGGTGTTCCAAGTCTTTGTTTTGGCCTTTGAGAAGACTCTGCTGGGCAGATGCAATGCTGTTTTATTGACTTCTAAACAGACTGAACAGCAGTTATGTTCCAAACCTTGCCACAGCCTTTAGACCCAGCTGAGAGCATGTGTGCACATGCACTGACATCTTTTACCTTTTTAACAGAGAAAGTGCAGATTTCTCAATTTTTATGTTTGCACTTTTACTCTTCTGAAAGTAGAATGACTTTCAGACTGTGCCATGTTTGCAGGCTCTGGCTGTGTCTCACTGAGCTGGCAGATGCCATGAGTGCAATCATGAGTTTTCTGCTGCTGGAAATTTCTCCCAGTGCTATGGGATACACTTTGGAGTGCTGTGGGATATGCCTTAAGATTTTTCCACAAGCCTGGAAATTCCAGATCTCAGGTTTGCCATGGGCCTGCCACTGCAATAGCCGGAAGGATCAACAGCATCTTTAAAATTTGGAACCCTTTTCTCTCAAGACAGTAAACAATAGGAGTGACAGACTAATTCCAGTGTTTATATCATGGTTCAGGTGTCAACCAACCACCAGTATTGTTTTTAATGAAATCTTTGCTTTTTCTGTTTATGAATTCTGACCACAGTAAGTAAGGCACATTCTGTTGAATGTGCTTTAAAATATTTTGCAAGACTCAAATTTCTTCTCCACAAGTATAAAACTTCATTACCTTCTCTGACTGGCAGTAGTGCTAAGGAACAATAGGAAAACTCTGCTTTTCTCTTAAGCTGTAAATTGGCCTCTTGCTTCATTAGATTTATAATCAAAATGTTAGTAACATCCCCATTATTAGATTAGGACTGATGGTCAGTGTCTGCTCTGTGTAAAATTCACCAAATCCCTTCCCAGTCTCACCAGTGTAACTCTTTCAGGACTGCTTGTGAGGATTCAGGTGTGTATCTAAACAGTGTGGTATTAATATTAACTTTTTAAGCAAATTTTTCCAGAAAGAGTTCAGCCCTTCATCACCTTCATCACCTTCATCCGGGTGATGTTTTTTTTGATTTTTATAAAGAAGCCAAAAGTTTTATGAAGATGTGCACCTGTAACAGGAGTGGGGGAGATTAACTTTCAAAATAAGAATTCATTAGTAATAACAGAAGGTTGTAGAGTTTTACAATTAGATTCAGGAAATGACCTGTCATACCTTGTAATGACAACTGTGACCTACTTTTAATTCTTGAAAAGTCACAGCATCATCCCCAAATAATGACACAGTTATATACAAAACCTGAGCAGTGGCTTTGCTCAGAGATACGTGTTTAGCCAGCCCACATCCCCAGCTCAGGAGTCCTGCACAGATGCTTTGCAAACTTTGTGTGATTCCAGGTGCTGGCTCCAATAGGTCAGAATATTCCAGCTAAATTTACTGAGGAACAATCTCTCTTGTTAATATATCTTTTATTCATCTTGTCACTGGCCAAGGCTGTAACACCTGCTATTTATATTTATATAAATAGCTTTATATATATCATATTAATATATATTAATATATTTATTTATATTATATAAAGCTATTTAAGCTTTTTGCAGGGTATGCTCAGGTTTTAGCACTGCTATTAGGTATCAGGTAGTGTAACTATAATATGCTAATGCCTCTTTCAGCTTGTAGGGGAACTCTTGCTACAACCAGTTGAGGTTTACATTATGATACAAAAGAAAAGTATGAATGTGTTCCAGCAGAAGTCACCAGCCAGCATTTTTTGTTTCAGTGAGGGTGTGGAGATTCTGAAGAAATTAATGTCTAAAAAAATGGCAGATGCTTCTGCCCATTAATTCTATCCAGGAGGGTTGTTTTGGGGTTAAGTGGATTTTGGTTTTTTGGGGTTTTTTTTGTTTGGTTGGTTGGGGTTTTTTGGGTTTTTGGGGTTTTTTTTTAGTTTTTTGTTTGTTTGATTGTTTTGGTGGTAGGTTGATTGCTTTTAGTGAGAACCAGTTCTCTTCCCTATTAAATCTCTCAATTCTTGTTTCAAACACTGCCATTACATGGAGGAGCTTTCTGTATATATAATCACCATAGTCCAGTGAATATTTTGCTTGTTTGTAAGTATGAAAAAGTTCCAGAGATTTCCTTCAGATTTAAATATTTACTTAATTATTCAGTTCCTCAAACTGTGCACCAAGCTTCACTCTTCTTTTAAAGCTCTTGATTTCAAATTATCTTCTTGCTGAGAAATCCAAAAGATCTGAGTGAAAAGGCTGTTCAGTTTCTGCTGGGGTGTAACACGTGACAAACCCAGAAGAGCTGTCTAAAAAAGGCTGTTCACTTTTTCTAGGGTGTGAAAATCAAACTTTGAGGTATCAATAGGTTTGATGAGGAGGTAGAAGCAACTCCACATGGTAAGATTTCATTTTAATGATTCACCTATTGCATTAATATCTCTGATATGTCTCAGTTTATTAGACCATCCACTGTCTATTTTTCTCCCACTAATTTGAAGAAAATCACCAGAAGTTCTCAATATTAAAAGCTCAGACAATGAGAACAAGAGATAATTCTGCCAAAGGACTGCTAAGGTGGGACAAATTATCAGAGAATTACAAGTTCTATAGTATGGTTAGATGAGTCTGTCACAGAAAATCTGGTCTATCATCAACACTGTTAAATGTTTCTTTTAATTGAAAGTGAGTTCAGAAATTCTGAGACATCAGAACATCTTCTTTAAATAATATCTGGCCCTCCTTACTAAAATATTATACAACACCAACCCCTATTATCAGGATATTTATTGTGTGAAAATACAGATGTGATTTTAAGAAATATGTCACATCTGAGGCTTTCAAATTCAGTCCTTCATATCTGATCTGAACAAGGGTGTTCTGCTGGGTTCAGCTCTTCCCACCAGCTCATCCATGAGCACAAAACTTTTCAATATTGTTGTCTTCCCCAAAACACCTTCCACAAGATCTGATGCAACTGAAAAGGCAAAGGAAATTGTGTCTTGTGTAGCAAAAGCAAGATATCCATGAAGGGAGGGAGTCTGGGAAATGAGTAACAAAGACACAGCCATGCTGGAATAGCTTGAATTCCCTTTTTTCTCCCTCCTTTGTTTGAAGAGCTCCATGTGTCTCATGGTCAGAAACCTTCTAACCTCCAGCTTAAGTAGGTAGCAAAGAACTCATAGCAAAATATATCCTTCATTTTTCACCATAAAATATTAGAAGAAGCCAATTTCTCTTTCTCAGTATTGACTTAATGGGGTTCTTTTTCTTCATTAAGAAACTTCTATGAAATTCAGGAAGCTATTGAGATGAATTGGAAACTTTTTCAAGGCCTAATCCACAGAAGCTGAGAAAATCTATTGAACACTGAATCACACGGTCCAGATTGATTTCTCTTGAACACCCACATAAAGCAAAAGCACATGAAAATAATTTCAAATCCTCAGCTCTTGTGGACATAACTGACTTTTTTCTCCCTTTTTAGTTAAAGTCAACATTTAAGCAATGAACAGTTAAATCACACTTTAAAGTAATACTTGCATGAAAGTTTAACTTTTGTGGAGTTGCTTACAGTCAAAGAGTTCTTTTGAACATCCCCCAGACATCTTCTTGTATTGTATCATTTTGCTTGAGCGGTCATGACAACAGTCATTTTATTTTGGAATATTCTTTTTCTCTCAGTATGCTCCAATAAACAAGTCCCTAACCAATCACTCACAAATCATTTGCCTGATATTTCCTATGAGACTTCACTGCAAAACAGCTAAAATAATTTTTAACATTAAAAGAGTTTGACTTTACTTACGGCACTCTGAGCTTTGGGAATTTCTGAATATCATTTTCAGACATGTTCTGGAAAGGAAACACATGGGATATTGACAAAATTGTCCATGGAACACCCTGTGACTGATCCAAGTAAGTCATACACATATATTCAAGAATGTGGCATGAATTCACGTGGTATTTACATGACTTCAGGAGCCAGGTATATTGAATTCCTTCGTGTCTGCACAGTGAAATTGGGCAAGATCGTGCATGATTGCAAAATTTCAGGGTAGAACTGTAGATTTTAAAATACAGAACCTTTGGCTGGAGTGTTGTTCTAAGAACCTTATCTGTAACAGAGTACATGAAAAATCAAATATTCTAGGGGACACATAGCTAGAAAGCTCCTTGGACTTAAAAACAGCCTTGGCAGCCTAAAAAAAATCCTTCTAGAAGTAGGGATGGGGGAGGATGTTTCCTCCCCTCAGCCATAGCACAGCCCCTGGACTGAGGCTCCTCCTGACTGAGATGTGCTCTGGAAACCTTTCCTGATGCTCCTGCAGAGTCATCCCTTCTCTTCCTCCAGCATGTGCAAGTCCACAGTTAGGGGGGATTCAGGCACTATGAAGAGTTTGGATTTTCTTGATTTAGTGTTTTGTTTAGTCAATCACGAGCTTCATGAATTCTCTTTGGAACAGGGATGATGGTCTGGTTCTTTTTGTCTTTTTTACTGGTAACAGTAATAGGTTTCTAATTAGACATCAGTTCACAAAGCTGTCATGGGACAGAACAAATCCTATCTGTGTTTTTCCACACTATTTTGCCTCAGGGAGGAGTGAAACACAGGAAAAAGTACTGCTTTTATGGAAATGTCCTGCAGTGCTTCCTGAAAAATCATATTTTTTCTAAAGGCTTTTTAAGCTTCTCTCTGGAGTTCCATTCTGTGATAAACTTGACAAATATTAGAGGTATAAACTCTTTAACAAGGGCCACATTTCTGTTTTAAATAATAGAGAATTTTGTTAGAATAAGTTGCATGGAACTCCTTTGGTTTTGTTCATCTCAATAGGGCTTTCCTTGTGGTAGCCAATGGACTCAGAAAAGTGACTCTGAAATTAGGATGTTATTCTGATTAATTTTAGAGCAACATCTTTATGCCAGGTTTATAATGTAGGTCTAACAACAGCTACAAACCCAGCAAACACTCAGCCTGAGCAGCTGTTTCTCTGCAAATGTAATTTGGCAATTTCCAGTCACTCACAAAATACAAAAATATGTTTCTTAGGAAAACCATTCATAGAGAGAAGCAATTTTTTTTTCCAGATTGCTTTGTACTCTGGAATATTTTACTGGACGTCTTCTTCTGTGGTTCTGTTTAACAAGTGAACCTTTTCCTTTTTTTTCATTATACAATTGCCAAGTAATTCAAAAGCTTAAAAAGAGTCTGAGCAGAGGTGAGCAGCTGCTTGGCTTGCTCAGTAGAATACATCCCTCAAATCTGCTGGGATGCCTCTGAAGAGCTGCTGCACTCTGAGCTAATTACAGAAACACTCTGGAAATAACAGAAAATCACAAAAGTGGCTTAGAAATCACACAGTTATTGCACTTTCTATTTACACCTCACAAACTCCCAGAATGTCATTATGCTTCCAGAGGCAGAACTCCCACTCCAGCCACAGATCCTCTGTGCTTGAGCTGAGGAGCATCTCCTGGGGGCCAGGAGAATAAATCCCATGACACAACTGAATAATGCTGATTACACCCTCCAGCAGCAGGGAGGGGTCAGATCCTGTTCCTACAACAGGGGCTTGAACATTTTTATGCTTTCTTTCAATTAAATGTCCAAAAAATGAATATGAGGACAAGTAAATGAAAAATACCAAACTTTAGAAGAGGTATGCAGAGATCTCCCCACTATGACTGATTAAATAGGACAAAATTACTACTTCTGGGGAAATATAATGGCTAATATTTGAAAATTAAAGTAAAAAGCAGTAATACTAAAAGCTCATATACATCTTCATGGATGTGTATTTAAGACCTGGAAGCAGCTGCTATGTCAGTGGAAGTTATCAGCTTTTTCTAAAATTAAGCCAAGCCTGGGACAATGTTGATTTAAAGCCACAGGGACTTTGCTTACTAGTTTTGATGCTCTTACATTTTATTGCTTTTGTGTATTGCTGCAGAAAAAATCTAATTTTATCTATAGAGGAATGAAGGAGTTATTCCAATGAAAGGCCAGTCGTTCTGAGCAGGGCTGTGTCTTTAGTGTGAGGGGATAATGAATAAATGTGGGTTATCTGTAGTTAATATTTGAAAACAAGAACTCCCTATAAAGGAAGAGATGAATTCAAGACAAGATTATTGGTTTAGAACTCCCCTGTCTGTTTAAAAAATACTAAAAAAAATATTCATATTGAACAACATGCTTGGGCCTCCAGCATTCCATATTTAAAGCAAGTTGTCTGGCTAATTTTAGCAAAAGCATTTACCTCCCATATTTATACCTCAGTAACCACCTGGAAGGTGGCTCTCCATCTGCAAAATAAGGAGGAGCCTAAAACATCATTTAGTTGGAATTTTACAGGAAGGAATTTTACAGCTCCACTTACCAAAAACCTTTGTCCACTTATGCTGTGCTTCCTCACGACTTTCTCACAGTCCTTATACTTTAGCTGTCAATGAGAAGAAGATGATTGTTGCACCCTTAACTCTAAGAATCAATTAAGACACTTAAAGTATGTCTGGCTTTGAGTAGATACCTTTCTGTATGCTATGGCCTGCCTAAATGGCTCATTTTGTCCCATAAACAAAGATTTTTATGACAGACATCCTTCAGTGACTTAAAGGTTTTCATCCATTTAGCAACATGTTATTCCTCACACTTAGAAACCACCTCACAGCTGCCTGGCCCAAAGAAATATTTGAAAAATGGATTATTGTGGTACTGACTGGGATGAGCAGCTGCAGAAGCAGAGCAAAACCCCAATTACCCAGGAATACTAAAACTGACTGATCCCAGTCACAGAACTCATTGTTGTGATCAAAAAGCTTTCACTTCTGGATAGAAATCTCACTTGTTAATCCTGGAAATTATCTATAATATCTGTAAAGCTTTTCCACAGTACTATATCTTCCAGTAGCATTTAGGACAAGGATATGCTCTTTAGAAGCTGCTCATGTACAGGTTGAGCACAAAGCAAGACATGACTTTTAAACATTTCCAACAGTTGTCCTAAGTTTGGTTTTGATTGGGGTTTTTTTGGGTCTTTTTTGGTTGGTTTTGTTTGTTTGCTTGTTTTGGGTTTTTGTTTGGGGTTTTTTGTTGTTGTTGTTGGGTTTTGTTTGTTTGATTGATTTTTGTTTTGGGATTTTTTTCTTTATTTGAACTGTAATAGTACAGTGTAAGAACACAATTTATAGTTTAGATCTGTTTCAAGTTGGTCAGGTCCCTATCAGAAGGAGCCCAAAGAGCAGACAAAGAAACTTTTGGAGGCTCTGAGACAAAAGAATGACTTTTATTCTGTCTGAAACTTCAGTGGTGAAAGTTCTGCGAACGACCCTGTGCTGCTGGGACAGCTCCCCTGCAGCAGAGAAGCTCTTCCAGGGAGCTTTATGTGCTTTGTAGCTCTATCCCATTTTTCATTTTAAGGTGTAACATTGTAACTTGGTGTACGGATCCTGCAAACAACTGAACAGCAGCTGGGATATTTTTAGGAGCCACCTTCAGTTATTCATATGAAGAAACAGACCTAACTCTGGTAAATATTTTAGGATACAGATTAAAACTTCGGTGCAGACTGAAGACTTAAACCTGTATATAATTTCTTTCCTACAGTGAATGCTATTGTGATGTTACCAGCACAAGTCTGTATGCAGAGGGAAGCCAAACATCACTGTGATTGAGACCTAATCTCAGTCTTGAAGTAATTTATTTTAAAATTCTGTTTAGCTATTAAAAATAAACCTTGGAATATCCCAAATATTAACATCTTTGCTTTTTCTAAACCAAAAAGAAATTGGAAATTATTTGAAAATTTGGTTCATTCATACTTTACCTCAGAGATAATATCTCTGAGTTTATATAGATCTCTGAGTATATAATATTCTCTGAGTTTATCTCAGGGATAAGCTCTGCTCACATGCGACAGTTGTCCAGAGCTGCCTGACTTGGGCTGACATTTTTGTCTCACCCAGACTTTAGATTACTTAAACAGCTTTTGCCCTGATTTAGCTCCCCAAGAGTGGAATGCCATTATCTCCATTCTGTATCTTGATCCCTAGAAGGGAGGCACTGCAGATAAATGTGCATTCAGTGATGGTAGAATTTACAGTTGATCCTTTTGTAACTGTTCAGGATATTACTATCAGATCATTCAGAAAGCCGTTTTTTCCCTTCCTAATTTCTTGGAAATGGTGGTCCAATTTTGTTCTGCACTGCTGCTGTAATGTTTTTCATACTTGTCTGAAGTTGCCTGTTGATAATGATCTCATCTATTCCATCTCCAGTTTTTGGTTTCACTTTCCTGTGCCACTAACTCCTGCACCCTAAAATTAGGGGCTTGTAAGTAGTTGGCAGTTTCACTTCTCTGGAGATTTGGTAGACACAGATTCTATGTTTGATCTGCTCATCTTTATTAAGTAGTTCTGCATTCTACTATCAAACTTGCCTCAACTCCCCACATAAGACTCTCACAATTATAGGAGCCATTGAAAAAAAAAAAATAAACTTCACATTATTTCAAAATTAAGCACGAAGTGTGCCAAGTTTCACAAGTCTAGACAGGGGTGTGATTAACAAAGACATTCAGAGGCTCATTTGTTACACCCAGCAATTCGGAAAAAAATATCACTTCTGGAAATCATTGAAGATGAAACAGAAAACTTGTAATCTTCACACCTTAGTGCCTTCCGCAGCTGTTAACGTGTGTTACACCAACAAGCATTGTACTAACCTGTTCACTTGCTCTAAGTAAGCCATGAGTTTCTCTTAAACCCAATTTAAAAATCCCTTTCAAGATTCATTTTCACTGACCAGTTGAGCTCAGTTTCTCATTTGACAGCGGTTTTGCTTTTAGTTCTGCAGTGAGCTTTGCCCATTACAAAATATCTGAATTTAGCCCTACCAGCGTTCCAGCAGTTTGCTCCTCCACCAGATGAAGACAAACCACGGCCAAACTCACCGTCCTGAAATATTCTGCTAAGTCCTCTGGGTCCCAGGTGAGCACATCGGAGCGGTAGGGGACGTTCCGCAGGTCCATGGTTGGTGTCCCCCTGAGGCACTCGGGGAGTGTTCACAGCCCTGCTGCCAGTGACACAGCCATGGATTCCCTCTCTGTGGCCACCTCCAAGGAATTCCTTGCCCAGCCTCCAGCTGCTTCTGTCAAGGAACTGTTCTGGTCAATTGAAATTTTGCTGTGAGTTAGTTCCAGAGAGACACTGCTTCCTCTGGTACAAAATGGTCTCTACTCTGAGAAGTTTCAGCTAGTCAGCCTTACCACTTCCTTTCTCTGAATATAAATAAGTAAACAAGGAAGCACAGCAGAGGGTTGAAAATACTCTGCCTGCTACACAGAAGTAAATGCCTATGGACCCTAATTGCTTTTTATTTCATTACTCACATTATACATGCATAAAAATATTGTAATATTATTTGCATAGGTGTGGGTTACTCTTCTGATAAGCCCCCCCCCTAAGAAGAAAACATTCACTTAAGAGAAACTGCTTTAATTTACCTCAGTACCTGAAATATCCTTCTTTGTACAATTAAAGGTTATTGTCAGAGCTGCATATAATGAGGAAATAATGAATTAATGATGGAATTACAGTCAATATCCCTTCAAATAAAGAATCACTCAAAAATGTAAAGCTAAATGTGAAACTAATGTGAAACTAAAAAATGTACAAGTTTAGATGAAAAATTATTATGTTGCCATTGTATCAATAGTTCATTATTTGGTTACTTCTTATGAGGATTTTGTATCTGAAAATGAACCCACAAAACCCTGTTATTACCACAGGGACGTGATAAGTTTTCATCTGTCCTGCACAACCAATTCAGGCACCCTCCTATCAGTAGGTGCCTTTGCTGAGATTACATAGAGTAATTCCAAGTGTGTCTTTTTCAAAAAGAGCCGCATGTCCATTCTCCCTTTTCTTCTTGTGGAACCTGTGCTGTGCTGCCGTGAATCTTTGGGCTCACTCCTCCATTAAACTGCACAAAATTTCTGAGCTTCCTGGACTGGTAAGAATAGGTGCATAATTATGAAGCACTGGGGAGGAAATTTCCTCTTCATTTTATGGAGAAATGAAATGCATCCCTCTTGCCTCCAGTCACTGACGGCCTCCTAACCTCATGTCTGCAGGTGTGTTGCACACAAGCGCATGTATTTGAGACCAGACCTACCAGTCTTCACTGTAAGAGTTTTCCTTTTGAAGTCAGAGTCTGATTTAGAGTAGCTTACTTTTTTTCTGGAGAAATTCTGGTAAATGATGGCAGCATGGTATTTAAAATGCTCAGGAATTAAACTGCTGTCAGAGCTGTTCTAAGCAGAGCAGCATTTATCAAATACATGCTACAGCTGTGTTTTCTGGGTTCTTACTTGAAATTACCTCTGTGAATCATCTGAGGCATGTCCTGACAATATCACAGAAATATTATCACCTCTAGGTCTGAGGATGAAATAGGACTGAAGGAGCTGGTGCCAAAGAATCCCCAAAGGAAAAGTTGCTTTTCTGGTGCATTGTCAGCAGTGGTAAAGGGGAGGTTACATAACTGCACCTCAGACATCCCATCACAGCCATGGATTTCACAGGGAAACAAGCAGTGAGAAAGGGAGAAACCTGTGTTAAATTCCTAATTGCTTATTCTCAGATGTGTCTCATTACCTTCTAATCTGGTTTCTATCCCAAACCCAGTGTAGCAGATCTTATTGCAATTGTGTTACTCCTTATTTGTACTAATATGAAACTAATTAGTCTGGTCAAAATTTATGCTGGTGGTGTTATAGGAGAATTACAGCATCATTTATTCTGATGCTGAGAAAGGAGGAAAGCAGTTACCTCTGAAGGCAATCTCCCAGCACCAACAGCAGCTAAAACAGAAATTCTAACACATGTATCTATTATTATTTGCTTGCATCCTGTCTGTGGCACTGAGTGCATCATAGCTATGTGCAGATTTCATGCATTTCTTGCAAAACCCAGCTGCACACAAATGTGAGCTCTGTCTTTCTCTACAGCTCCTTTTGTAACATCATAAGCACATCAGATGTGGTGCCTCAGTAAGGCTTGCTGAGGAAACACCACTTTGTATTTTCTTTATTTGAATTTTCAGATATACTCCTACAGCAGCTGGCAATCTCATGAGATGGATTTTAAGCTCTTGGATTTTCAAAAGCTAAGGAACACTGACTTTACTGCTGTTATCGGGAGCATATCTTTTATTAAGATTTTTTCCCCTCTTTTTAAAGAACTAAGTGTTTCATAGGCATTTTATAGCCTGCAGTGACACAACCTTCACACCAAAAAAAGTGTCCCCTCAGTAACAGCTGCCAGTGGTAAATTCTTTCTGATGCAGTGATAGTCTGGTGACTGATGTTTGAAAATGTGAGACTCAAACCATTTTAGGCAACACAGGGGGGAAATTCACACTGCCGACATTCTGCTGCCTTCAAAGTGCAACAACATTTTCCATTTTCTCTCACCTCTCTCTGGTGGTCTTCTGTCCCTGTTTTAAGTGGAGTCAAGGGCTTTGAACCACTTTCAGAAGGGTTTATTTTTCTAGAGTAACTCAGGTTATGTGTCCATATCCCTAGAGCCAAAAAAAAAAAAAAAAAAGTTAAACCTTGTGAGAATTTCATCTTTACGTTCATCTCACTCCCAAAGCAAAGTGGATCTTTATGAAGTGGTTTTCTTTTGTCCTGCCCACATTTGTTTTCAAAAGACTGGGCTAGATTCTTCCTTTTACCCCAGAATTGTTTACCCTAGACATCCTATAGCTGCCCTTTAACATGGCATGCCCAGTGCCCAGGCTGTATTACCCACCTGTAACTGTGAGAGACTGAAGTGTCAGCGTTCATTTGGTGCTTTGCTGGGCCCAGACCAAAGGGAAGGAGAGGTTTTGGACGTGTGGTGGACAAATCTCTGATCATAAGAACAACCCTGGTGCTGAGGGGGTTCAGATATTTTCATCACCCACCTTGGGAGGATGAGCACAACAAACTGACCTTTGCTTAGCAACGAGCTGGGCTCAGAGCCAGGAAAGGGAGGTAAGGGAAGCAGACCCTGTGAAGTGGAATAATGCTTTTTACCACATCAATGTCCTCCCTTACGCACCTGGCTCAGGTGTAAGTTAGACTCCCCCTGGGGAAAGTATCAGGATATTCATATTCACACCTAGGCCAATTTGAAAAAGCAATTTGTAGGAATGGAACTTCCAGGCTTCCTCCCCAGCCAGCCCCACACTGGTGACTGCCAGTGCCAGAGATGGACCCTGGGAACAGCAGCTGAGGTAAATGCTAACCAACCTCCCTGCCTCTGGAATGTATGGCTTGAATAAAACTGTCTGACACTGGCTTCAAATCCAATTTCACAGAAAGCAAACGAAAAAAAAGTGTTCTCTGTAGGAACTCAATCCTCAGCAAAGATTTTCCTGGATGGAAACAAAACATGCATAGTTGAAGAAGCATGTTTTCCCTTGTCAGTGAATTGTGTTACTCTGAGCAGGTGTCAAGATGGAGTTTAGGCAATTCCAAAAGGCCTGAAATCCTAAAATACAGCCACTGTAGAGTGCAGCTGGATTCTATCCAGAAATCAAAGATAATCAAGTATCTACTAAAGTCCTGTAAAAAATAAGGCAAATACTTAGAAATATTCTAGCAAGAGCAGTTTGCTCAGGAATATGTTTAATTCCACTCTGTTTGGGGCATAAGTGGCATTATGTGTCTGGTTTATCCAGAAATGCTGCAAACAAATGCAGAGAACACTGAGGGGACCTCAACAGAGCTGTCTGTCAAGGAAAGACTGAAAAAAAAATGCTTACTAAGTCTGAGAAAGGGAAGCTGGAGATGAGGGAAGGAAAAAAGAAGATAAACTTTGTGACAATAGCAGTCAGTTGTTCCCATGAGCTGTGAAGGACTCTGCTAACAAGAAAAGCTGCTGCAATCTTGAGAAGGAGGAACTGGGGACTGAAGAACTCTGCTCCAGTGTTTGGGCTGCTCAGAGCAGCTCAGCAGCTCAGTTCAGGAGCTGCCAAGCAGGGTCAGCTGTCCTGTGACACAGAAGGGGCCAAAAGGACACCTGGAACTGTTCTGCTTTGGACATGACCCTCCTGAACTAACAGTGCCTTCCAGGACAGAACTGCCAGTGAACACCAGTTTTGTACCTGAGGTCACCAGTTTGATGGAGACATTGGAGCTTAAGGTAAAGATGAAGCATGTTAAACACACACCTTTAGTCTGGGCTAACTGCTCAAACCCTTTCCACCTGGGCTCTGCAAGGCTCCAGTTACCCCCAGGGCTTTTATCCACCAGCCCAGCTCCCTTTTGCCATCCCAGCTCCTGCTCTGGCTCCCACCCCAGCCCAGCCCTGCAGGATTGGGCTGTGCTGGGGAACTCCCAGCTCAACTGGAAACCAGAGTCTGTGGGAGCTGCTGGCCCTGGGTGCAGCTGAAGCCTGAGGAATTCTCATTCAGTGCTTCCATGACAGCCTTTCTATGTGCTTGGCCTTCTTCTGGGTTTTGGTAGGGGATTTTGGGGGTTTGGGTTTTTTTTTTTTGGTACAGGTTTATTTTAAAAAACTCAAAAATGTTCTCTTTTGCCAGAACAAAAGTTATGATTTTTGTTTCATTTAAGGTTTTTAAACAGCAGTATTTCAAATATATCCAACTATTCTGACAGCTAAAGATATGATGATTAACTCGACCCATTTTGCTACTTTAATCAAATGAACTATTGACACCCATAAAGCAGCATATTGGCTCTGACATTGTTTCTAAGCAATATCTATTTATTCAGTCAGGCAGCTGTTTTCTAACCTAATCAAAGCTACTTTGTAGCTTCAATTCTATAGAAACTTGCAGAGTTTATATTGTAAACTGGTTGCCAATGTGGGATTTTGGTCATTGTTGCAGTTCCAATGTTCCTGTCCATTCACAAACTCGGAACTGGATTCTGATCCTAACAGATTTCCAATTCTCTACATATTTCAATATCTTGTTGACCAACAAGAAAGGCATTCATGATTTTGCAATGCTGTGAAAAACAAAAAAGCTTCTACAGCTTTCCCACTAACATATACTCATTTCAGACCTTCTCGGGAAAAGATTTTGTCAATCCTGAAAGTTTTCAAGAGTAAATTTCACAGACTAGAAAATACACTTGTGACTTGGAGAAAAAAAAAAGCTGCTGCTAGCCAACATCATCCTGGGTATAGTTTTGGTTTTAATGTTAGTTTTGTTTTCAATCTTTATGTTCCTCTCTATGACTGCCTTAGAGTTTCCAGGGAGCTGAATTGTTAAACACCCCATGCTTTTCAACTTTTCATTTTTATGTTCAAAATAACATTAATAAGCTTTTCTTTCTTATAAAGAAGCATTTTGAAGATATTTTAAACTGTACACATGCATTGTACTATACGTGGGTGTAAGACAATTCCTTTTATCCCCTGGCTCATTATGAAGGAGGGCCAGCACAGGTCAAAAGTACTGATTCATTGGAGCAGTCCTGATCTGTCAGGGCTCTTCTCTGAGCTGTGGATTAGAGTAGCAGCAGGGTAGATGTCACCTCGATCACACAGTACACCTTCCCATTCACATACTGAATACCTGCAACTGCTGTTTCCCAGACAAATGGCAGAGGATTAAAACGGATAAAAATATATTAATGTTTTTATCTTTTCTCTCCAGCCAACAAACAAAATTTGAGATTGTGTAGTAGAGAAGATTCAGTCTCATTTTGCCATCTAGTGGCAACACTGGCTTGCTGAGATGCATCCCGGAAAAGGGAGCTGAGGTTAGATAGAGGTGGGAACGAGTTAGTAACTCTTTGGAAAAATCAGACATTTTTCTACTCAAAATATTAAGAAGCCTAGTTACATTTTATAGCAACACTGCACAAATAGCCACGTTGCTAAAATGTTGGACCTTTCTGAGCCCGGCCCCGGCAGCAGCGAGCACGGCTGCCTGCACAGACAATAACCGCGAGCACCTCAGCCTCTCCCACTTCATAACGCAGTGGAGATTTAGGCCAATGCACTCTCCTGTGCATCGGACATTGTTTGAAGGATTTCTTTCAGTAGATGTTTCTGATCCCCCAAAATCTGCCTTTGTTAGCAGGCATTGGAAAAAGCAGCACGAAGCCCTCCAGGTCTGCAAGCACGAATCGGTTCAAACCCGGCAAATCTTTTCGGGACGCTGTTATCTGGCGTCTAATTACACTGATGGGTGGAATAGGTGGTCTTGAAGGTCTCGTCCAACCTTGACGCCTCTGTTAGTAGACTTTGGCGGTGCTGCTGTCCCTCTTACAGCAACTCCTTGCCTTCCCCTGCGTACAGGTGGACAAGTACAAGAAAGAGAGGCAGCAGATGGCGAGGTGAAGCAAGGCCAGACCCCGCCGGGGCGGGAGGGAGGGCGGGTGGTGCCGGGGGTCCATCCGGGGTGGAGCGGAGCGCGGGGCGGTGCTGGCTCCGTCCTGCCCCGGCCCGCACCGCCGGGACGCGCAGAACGAACGGCGGGAAAGGCGCGGCGGGAGCGGCGGCGATGGAGCACAAGGTGAGCGCTGCCAGGGCCGGGCTGGGGCCGGGGCTGGGGCTGGGGATCGCCCCGGGCCCGCTCCCCGGGGGATCCGAGCCCCGGGCCCGCCGGGGAGCGCAGCCAGCGCCGCTCCCGGCCCGGCCACACCGAGCCGCCGCACCCCGGGGTCTGAGCCCCGTTAGCACCGGGGGCTGTGCGAGGAGAGCCGGGTCCTGCCTCTCCACACAGCCCGGTTCCTGAGCCGGGACCCATCGCGGGAGCCACGGGCCGGCCATGAGGCTCCGAGGAGGGAATGGAGCTGGTCTTTTATCCGCTTTGAGCACGTGTTTCCCCAGTGCGGATCCCCGCTTTCGGCGAAGTTGGTTTTTAGTTTTTATGAAAGATGTAACCCCTTGGAGGTGGAGAGGTGCCACCACCTGATAGTGTTCACTCTTTACTGGTGATCTTTTATCACTATTTATCGCTATTTTTTTCTCTAGATACTTTCCCGTTGAGGTATCTGGTAGGGGCCATTGGCCGCTTCCTAATGCTGACAAGGAAGGTCGAAACGGATCTTTCAGTTAGTATAAATCACTTGTTACTGAGTTTATTTTGTTTGCTAGGACTCCAGTGCCCGTGGTTCTTAGTGCTGCCAGTTCTGTCCCCAGGACAGCTCTGACTCTCCCCACGATGGTTTTGGAGGTTTTGGCCGTGCCACCCTGCCGACCACCGTGCACAGGGACTAGGTAGAAATAGCAGTTTAATGGCAGACATATTAACCTGCATTGATAATTCCACTTCTCCGAGGAACATGAACGATTAAATAGCGCTTGTTTTGGCTGGTGTATTTGACGGCATAGCGTCCAATTTTAATAATTTTAATAATTTGTGAAGATAAGATTTCCCAGGAGCCCGGGAAGTAGTGGAACGCATTGTGAGGTTTAAATTCGTTTTTGTTGTGCCAGTATGCATTACTCACTTACAGCTGTGGATACATTATATCTCCACCAAAACTTCCCTTTCATATTTTGTGTCAATATTGGAAGTTGAGTGAATAAACTTCCCTCTTTTTGGTTAAAAGTTGTGCTTCACATATTACGTTTATATTTCCCTCTGCCAAATGCATGTTGTTAGGCTGAGCTCCTAAATTTGTACAATTATGGCTTATTCATTAGCAATGGCCATTGAAATGCATTCAGGCTTAAGCATGGTTTCAGCCATTAGCACAGTGGCCATTAGAGATGGAGACGGTGAAGGTTTCCATCCGGTGGGTCAGGTTTGGTGATTTATGTGTTTAGTCTGGTTCATTCTGGTGCAGATTCCATCTGTGAGGCGAACAAGCAGCCCTTCAATGGATAACCAGATTGTCAGTGGAGACATGCTGGCGTCATTTCCAGTATCATTTTCTGAAAGAGTGAAATAATACAAGTCTCGTCGGGGTTTGACCAGACAGGTTATTATCCCATTAAAAGCAGGGGAAAGCCACGGTGCACTGATTCTATTTTGTACTTTTTTGTAGCTCTGCTATCCATAGATTCCCGAGTGAGTGTGCCCCGATGTTCAGTTGATCGCAGGCACTGTTTTGTGTTACTTTTACCGTAACACATTGTCCTGACTGTAAAGCTGCCAGACTTCCCCTTGAATGGAAGGTGGAGCTCCTCATTCAGGGTTTCCATAAAATGCACCCGCAGGCCACAGCGATTATTTACCCTGAGTATCCCCCTCAGTCTGGTGTGGCTTCGGGCTCTTTTTCAATAGGACATTAGCACATTCTGTGCTTCCATTTGACTGCGGTAATATGGGGTATGGAAAACCTATTGAATTCTGCCCTTTTGGCCCATTGTACCTACATTTATGGAAACTGAGCTCCTTTCACTGCTCAGACTAGAGATAAAAGTTCCTTTTCCCTTTCAGAATATCTCTGTTCTGTCTACTGAAATGCAGTCAAGCTACTTAGTGAAGGTACCGTTGGTCAGGACCAGTTTGAAGCAAATTACATTTAGGTGCCGTGCTCGGTAAAACTCCATCCTGTGACAGGATCCTGGAGTGTGCTGCTCCTGTTACAAATTATACAGCTTTTATTTTTTTTTAATAACTTTAGGAAGGGGTTTCTTTCACCTTTGCCCCGGGGGAGGAGAATTGCAACGTTTAGAATTCTTGAAAATAATGCTTGATTATATAATTCTTTCCACCTCCGTTTTCTCAATGGACAACCTGTAAATCCTAGTTCTTGGGAATGGTCAATTAGTCCGACATTACACGTAGAATTTTTGGAATCACCATGAAAATTACTCCATCCCACATCTCACCCGTATTACTGATGTGGGATGGAGTGAATTTTGTAGTGGTACCAAAAATGCATGCAATTAATGTTGCACAGGTGAGGATTTCCCCGTGTTCTAAAATTTCGGTAGCATTCCTGGACAATTGTTCATTAAAGGCTGTGTCTTTTCTGATTTCATCTAGTTTTGTAACAAGGCCAAGGATTTGGCCAATCTTCAGGAGGTGCACTTAATTTTCTAATCTGCACAATGTCAGGAGCACTTGGAGCCCACATAAGCTCCACATTAGCTAAACTTTTTCCTTCAACTTTTGTTTTCCTTTCTGTCCTTCTGTAACTGTCTCTGCAGCTGTTCTATTTTCAAGAACAGTAATAATAACTCAGCTGCTTTCCTGCTTTCCAGTTCAGTTGTCAGTTCTTGTTTCTCTTTAATATTATCTCTTCTGTACTGGCAGGCAACCTTCCTCTATCCCAGGTTGCTCCAAGCCCCATCCAACCTGGCCTTGAACACTTCCAAGGATCCAGGGGCAGCCACAGCTTCCCTGGGCAGCTGGAGCCAGGGCCTCGCCACCTTCACAGGGATGATTTTCTTCCCAACATTCAATGTAACCCACTGTCTTTCACTTTAAACAGAATTGCTGGACTTTGTGTCACATGGAGCAGACTTGGACAGTCCTTGGGATGGGAGTGTTGGGAGGCTCCTCAGGTTCCCTGAGAGCAGAGGGGTTCATTTTCCCCTCATGCTGGCCAGCAGTGGATCTTGCAGTTCCCTCATGGGGTTGGGATGCTCCCAGCTGGGAGGCTGAATGTAGAGGAATTTCTCATGGAACAAGGACATGCTGTCCTAGATGCTATTCCTTTGCAGGAACTGGACAACCCTGGCCTGCAGATCACACTTACTTCAGTTACTTTAAAGCATTTAGGACATCCTTGAAAAGACAATAAGCTTTGTACAAACACAATAGTCAATGCTGGACGCTGAAAACTGTCACGTACTATAACCTGATTAGACACTTGTAGTATAACAGCCAATCAATAAGTGACTTGTCTATGTAATCATATTACATTAACCAATGAATGTTAATTAGCTGTTGTGTTTTGTAAGATGATAAAGGTAAAAAAGATTAATAAATTAGGCAGTAGAGGAGGATGACATCCAGCCATGTCGGTTTGAGTGTCATTACTCTGTCTGGCTCTCCATGGGACCCTCTTCAGCTGAAAGCTCTTTGCTCACACAATCACCACCATCTTCTCCTTCAGACATGGAGCAATGGAATCAACAAGGCCAGTAAGATGGCCCTGCTGGCCTGGGAGAAGGAGACGGGCATCGAGCTGGTGCAGATCAACGGGCAGAGGCGCTACGGTGGGCCGCCCCCAGGTACGTCAGGAGAGCTCGGCCACAACCCCGGGAGGGGCTCACCCTAGGTCAGGGGTGGCTCTGTGTGATGGAAAAATCTCTCCTCCAACCCATGCTTCCAAAAAAAGGCTCAGCAGTCTCTTGTTGTTCAGTCTCAAGGCAGTTTATTGCAACTTATCTAAAAGATTTTCTTCTCGGGCTGCTGTGGTTTGCTCACAGCTCAGGCAGAGGCACACACACACCCTGACATCCTCTCTGACTCCCGACTGCTTCTTCTCTCCCTGCCCAGGGCTGCTGCTGTCTTTTATATGGTACATTACGTGTTACATGGGTACAGTTTTTCCCCAGTGCCTATTACCTATATTAAATGGTGCTTTTCTATCTTTTATATGGTACATTACGTGTTACATGGTTACAGTTCTTCCCCAATACCTACTACCTATATTAAATGGTGCTTTTCTACTCTAAACCAATCTGTGAGTGCCAACATCACCAAGAACATGAAGGTAAGCAAGAAGAAAGAGGGAGAATAGGACAGGCCCAAATCCCTTCATCTTGAAACTTCTGTTCTGACCCCCATGTACAAAACCAAAACACCCCTGTACAAGACTTAAAACCCCCCTGTACAGCACTCAAAAATTCTTCCCTTTACTTTGTGACTACTTCTACTATAATATCTAAACTTTTGTGACTTCTTGTTCTACCTGCAAGGTTGGTAAATCATTCCATGGTTCAAATCCAAAATCACAGCTGTTTCCAGCTGCCTGCCAGGGTCTCAAATGCTTCTGACCAGGGCCTGGAACATCCAAAAATGTCTGAGGGACATTTTGAGTTCCGACAGTGCTCCCCGTGTCCCCGCAGGCTGGGTGGGCGGCCCGCCGCCGGCCGGCACCGAGGTGTACATCGCCAGGCTGCCGCAGGACATCTACGAGAACACGCTGATCCCGCTGTTCGAGCGCGTGGGGAAGCTCTACGAGTTCCGCCTCATGATGACCTTCAGCGGGCTCAACCGCGGCTTCGCCTACGCCAGGTACGGCTCCCGGCAGGACGCCCAGAGCGCCATCGCCGCCTTCCACCGCTTCCAGCTGCGCCAGGGCTGCGCCATCGTGGTGTGCTGGAGCACGCAGAAGCGCGAGCTCGTCGTCAGCGGCCTGGGCGCCTCGGTGAGCCAGCGGGAGCTGGAGGCCACGCTGCAGACGGTCACCGAGGGGATCCGCAGTGTCACCCTGCACTCAAGCCCCTCCCAGAAACCGGGCAAGCTCGCTGTGCTGAAGTACAGGTCACACGAGGCTGCTGCCCTGGCCAAGAAAGCCCTGATGGAAGGTCAGTGGTGCTGAGGGATGCTGCTTGGGTTGGTCTTCCCACCTCCAGACTTGGCTGCAAGGTGACTTCAGCCTTGAGACACCCTTTGCTCTATCCCTGTGTCCTGTGGGATGCCAGCTGCCCCTGGTGCAGCCCTGAATTCCAGCAGTCTTACTGGAGGTGGGGTGAAGGGGCTGCTGGAGGTCTCCAGGTAGCTGCCTGCTCACAGCAGGAGCATCACCAGTTCAGGGCACCCAGAGCATTGACCAAGTTATTAAACCTTTCCAGTGGAGCAGCCCAACCCCTCAGTGTCCCTTAAACACTCCTGATGGAGCTGCTCAATCCCTCTGAGCCCTGTCCCATGACTTCAATGCCCTGATGGGACACAATTCCCAGACATCCGAGCAGGACCTCCAAAGTCTTGGTTTGTACCCATTTCTGCCCTAGCTTAGGAGCATTTGGCTTTGGTATCTGGTCGCCTTGGCCCTAAATTTGAGCTGCCTCTAAAATCCTGGAGATCACTGGGACGGGACAGGATGGGATGGGACTTGACAGGATGGGATGGGGTAGGATGGTGCTGGAGGGTAGGTGAGCATCTCCTTTCTCCTAGGAAACCTGAGGATCGGGGAACCAAAGATGAGGGTGGACTGGCTGGAGCCCCAGCTGAAGCAGAAGCTGCAGCTCTGTAAGGAGGAGCCATCCTCCAGCTGTGTGCAGGGAGGTGAGAGCCCGGCAGTGCCCCTGGCTCTGACGCTGCAGAACGTGCTGGAGTGCCTGAACATGCTGTGCTGGAAGCATCGCCTGAGGACACCCCTGTTCATGACCAAGTGTGTCCAGGTGAACCCCAGCGGCTGGCAGCAGTTCTGGTACCAGGTGGCCATCCCGGGGTCCCATGTGCCCATCGATGGCTTCATATGGGTCTCACCAGACAGGCAGGGCCAGAGCGAGCACGAGAAGGCCAAGGTGCTGGCAGCCCTGCACGTTCTCCAGGTGTTAGGTGAGTCCTTGCACAGCCAGCTCCTGCCTTTCCCAAAGTGTGGGAGGGTGGAGCTGTGGCACTTGTGGGGCAGGGAGGGACCCAGGCTGGCTGGCAGGGCTTGAAGCGCTGTCAGCTCTGAGCCGAAGATGGCATCTGTGTTTGGAAGCACAGGATGCAAGAGGAGGGTTTTGGGACTGAGGGCAGAGCCTGACCCTTCCCTCTCCACTGCAGGGGGCCAGCTGAAGTAGGCATCTGCTCTGCTGGAGCCACGACTGAGCCTGAGCCCTGCTGGGCTCCCACCCTGTTCCAGTTTTCCTTGGAGTTCTTTGCATCGGTTTTGTGAGCTGGCTCTGGAGGTCGAGGCTGCTGTCCACGGCAGCCACCCTGTCCCCGGGCAGCTCTTGAGTTGGTTCTGGTTTTGGGTTGGCTTTCCTGCCAAGTTTGGCTTCTGTTAAGCTGGTTTGTGTTGCGTTGGAGGGGCAGATCCTGGAGAAGCAGCAGCTCTTGGGAGGGCTGCCAGCACTGGATGCCAGTGTGATGGAGGGAATTCCTGCACTGGCATTCCTGTTTCCTGAGGAAGAGCCTTAGGGGAGGACAAGGCACACACAGGGCGTGGCCCAGTGGTCACAGACGTTCTGTGGGCTGGTGGAGCTGCTGTGTGGGGAGAGGAGTGCCTGCAACCTGTTCGTTGTGAGGAAGCAGCTGTGGAGTTGGCAGCTGTCCATGAATGATTCCTCAGGAGTGGCAAGTCTGGCCACACGTTGTTCTTTTGGGATTAAAGAGTTTTGGAAAGCACCAGCCAGGTCATGTCATCTTTTCCTCCTGCATCCTCAGCTCCCTGCCTGTCCAGTGCATCTCAGTGCTCTCCCCACACACCAGGATAGGCAGGGGAAGGGACAGGGTGGGATTTGGAGCCTTCAGAGCCTGGTGCGGGAAGCAGTGTTCCCTAACACCTCCATCTTTGTTCTTTTCTAATCACTTGTCTCTTTCTGACCAGCTTTTGATACCCCTCAGGCTCCTCTCAGTGCTTCCTGATGTCCTCCCCAGTGTCTCTTGGTGGTCCTCTGGGATATCTGGTAGCACTTTGTTGGAGGTTGGGGTTTCTCCTTTTTTCTGTGTCTTATAAATTTCCCCCCATTTTTGTTGCTAAGGGACAAAAACCACTCCAAGGGAGGCTCCTGCCTTCCTTAGCAGACACCTGTCTTCTAAACCAGGACACCCCTTTATGCTCTCCAGGCCTCCAGGTGTCTCTGAGTTTCATAGATGGTGGGTAGACACCCCCAGCCCCAGGAATGTCTCTGGCCACGTCCTGTAACACCCCCGCAGGTGCAGCACACACCCCTGGGCCAGCAGCACCTGGGGCTGCAGTGGTGCTCCAAGGGCTCCCAGGCAGTGCTGGCAATGCACTGGGGGATGTGAGCCACAGCCAGGAGTAGGAATGCTGGTGGAACTGCACCAGATCCGCCCCATTCCCCAGCAGGGGCAGGGGCTCCTCCAGGGGCCGTGGCCACAGTGTCCGGCCCTGCTGCCCACTCTGCTCATCCCCAGCCAGGGAGGCATCCCTGTCCCCCTCCCCGCTCAAGGTACACTGTGATGCACAGCTGGACCCACCAAGTCTCTTTGGCAGCACCCAAGTCCCATCCCTCTTCCTTTTGGAGATCCCCAGGATCCTCCAAGAACCTTGGGCTGCGCTCCTTAGGTTCTTTCTTGCACTCCCTGCAAGTCTGTGTGTCCCTCCTGAGCACACACCAGGAGTCCTTGCCTCATGGGGATGAGCCAGACCATCAGCACAAGGCGCTGGGAAGTGAAAGGCACTGGGTTTATTTCTAACAGAGCTAAAGTCTTAATTAATTAACAACGGGTAATTGATCTGCTGGGACAGCAAGGCAGGGAAGCGATGAACCTGTCTGCCCTGGCCAGGCATCCCAGAACCCTGTGTCACCCCCTCCCTCACCCCTCCTGAGAACTGCCCTGCCTCCCCATCCCAAAACAGCCCAAAGGACCCCCAAATACACCAGCAAACCCCAGCATTACCCCCAGCACTGGATCCCCACCCCAGGGACCCCCAGCCCTGTGCCCCCATCCCTGCATTGCCCACCCCAGGGCCCCTCAGCGGTGCCCCCTCACCCACCCAGTGACCAGAGCCCTCAGCCCTGTCCCCCCGTGTCAGAGCCACCCCCCGTCCCTCACGGACCCGGCAGGGACCCTGCCCGCTGCCCTCTGCGATGTCTCGGCAGCCCCTCAGCCTCTCTCTCCATCCCCAGCCTGTCCCCCGGTCCGGGCCACCCCCGCCGCCTCCGCCCCCACAGCCGCTGTCCCCTACCAGACCCCACCCGCTCCGACACGCGCGGCCCCTTTAAGAGCGCGCCCACACCCAGCTTGAGTGGCAGCCCTAGGAGCCAATCAGAACGCCAGCGTCCTGCCCACCGACAGTGGTACCGTTACAGAGAGGCCACGCCCCGTGGGCGGGCACTCCCAGGGGCTGCGGCTCTGATTGGCCGCGCCCCGCGAGAGGCCGCGCAGAGCCCCGCCCCCGCGCCGGGCGGGGCGGCCGCGCTGAGGGGCCGCTCAGTCGCTGTCGCTGTCGCCGCTGTCGCCGCCCTCCGCCGCCGGCTCGGGCTCGTCCCGCAGGTCGGCGAAGAAATCCTCCCCGCTGCCCAGCGCCTTGCTGCTGAGGGCGCGCAGCGGCCCGCCCTTCTTCTTCTTCCGCCGGTAGTCATCGACCACCATGGAGCCGAGCGCCGACACGTCCCAGAACTTCACCTTCTGGTCGTGGCCGCTGCTGGCCAGGAGCCTCCCGTCCGGGGCCAGGGCCAGCTGCTCGATGGGCTCGCCCAGGTGCTGCCCCACGCAGCCCAGCACGCGGTTCGGCAGCACGTTCACTGCCCTGGGCAGGCACGGGCTGCTGAGGGGACATCCTCTGCCCTCGCAAGGCTGATCCCGTCCCACAACCCCTGACTTCCACCCCTTCCCATTCCTCTCCATCCCATCCCATCCCATTCCTCTCCATCCCATCCCATCCCATCCCATCCCATCCCATCCCATCCTATCCCATCCTATCCCATCCTCCACAATTTTTTATCTCACCCCCTCCCCATCCCACCCCATCTCCAGCCCACTCTTCTCCCCTCCCCTCCCTACCCCATCCCACCCCCCGGTCCCTCCTGATCCCACACCGTTCCATCCCATCGCTCTCCATTCCCCCTCACCCCTCCCCACCGCACCCCCTGACCTGATGACTCCGTCCAGGGACCCCACGCACACGATGCTGTCCGTGACGGGCACCATGCAGTCAATGGTCTCTGCCCTGAGCGCAAAGCGGTCGCTGGCGGCCCCGAAGCCATCCCAGTTGAAGAGGTAGATGGTGCCTTCGCTGGAGCCACACGCCACCTTCCTCCCCCTCTAGGCACGAGGGAGGGCAGTGAGGCACAGGCAAAAACTCGGAGCGAGGACAGGGACTGTGGGATCCTGCTCCACGCTGGGGAGCAGTGCCAACCTTCATCAGCACCACAGACGTCAGGTCGCCGTTCTGCGGCTCCGAGAGCAGCTCAAAGCGCCGTCGCTTCACGTTGAAGACACCCAGGGTGCCATCACCACTGTGGGAGGTGGAAGGGACGTGTTGTGAGCATGGGACATAGCACAGGGCACTGCAGCCATGAATGGACATGTGGAGCCCGACCCCAAGGCCACGAAGCCCCTCGGGTACCTGGCTGTCAGCAGGATCTTGCCGTTGCCATCCACTGCCATGGCACTGATGTACTCCTCCTGCTGCCGTGCCTCCAGGATGGCACTGCCCCTGCGCAGGTCCCACACCTTCACTGCCCCGCCGTCGTCGCCCGTGGCAAAGATGTGGTGGTCGATGGGCAGCACGCAGTTGAGGGCCGATCTGCAGAGAGCCCGGCCCCACGGTCACGGCTCCCGGAGCAGGCCCAGGGCTGTGTGGTCCTGCCGCGGGAGGGAAGGGACAGCCCAGCCCTTGTGCCCAGAATGAGCCGCCTGCACGGACTTACTCGTGTGCCTTGGGGAAGCGTGTTTCCAGCCGTCCCTCCTCCGCTGTCAGAACGTGGATGGACTTATCCTTGGACACAGTGAAAAGCTCTGGAGAGCCGCGTTAGTGCCCCCGCCCGGCGTCCCCCGGTGCCACCCCACGTCCCCGCACTCACTCTGCCCGTCCTGGGAGAACGCCACGTCCCGGCACGACTTGAGGTGATGTCCCGAGGACCAGAGCTGCCGGTTCTCGCCCTCGGTGCAGGAGTACGAGTACCTGCCGGCACCGGGAGTGCTGGCTGGGACCCCGCGGGCGGCCGGGGAGCCCCAGAGCCGGGACGCCCGCCCGAGCCCCGGCCCCACTCACAGGTACACATCGCCGTCCACGTCCCCCGCGGCCAGCAGCGGCCGCGCCGGGTGCAGCGCGATGGCGTTGGCCGTGGCCTCCAGACAGATGTCCTCGGGGGCGTCCCGCACTCGCGGCTCCCGCGCCGCCGGCTCCGGGGACTGCTGGGGCTCCTGGGGAGAGCGGGGCCGTGGGACCGGGGCCGCCGGGGCTCCTGGGGAGAGCGGGGCCGTGGGACCGGGGCCGGCGGCTCCGGGGACTGCTGGGGCTCCCGGGGAGAGCGGGGCCGTGGGACCGGGGCCGGCGGCTCGGGGCTCCGCAGCCCCACGCGTGCTCACCTCCTCCATGGCGGCCGCCATGGCGCGCTGCTACTCTGCATGGCCACGCCCCTCATTTGCATATCCCCGCCCCTTTTTGCGCGGCCCCGCCCGCGCGTGGCCGTGGCCGCGTCCCACCAGGTCCCTGACCGTCGCCTCATGGCTTCCTGTTCTTTAGAGCTTCAGGCTCCCTAATTCACTGAATTCCCTAATTCATCTCCTCTCTCTGATCCCAGGTGCCACTTCCATCCCTTGCAGGGTCTGGGGCCAGCAGGACCCCCTAAAAACCCCAGCCAGGGATCACCAGCAGCGCCCCCGCCCCCAGGGGCCACCATCCCAGCTCGCTGCTGGCCCTGCCCTGAGGGAACAAGCTTTGCCTGGTGCTGGCCCCAACACACACACAGAGCTGCCCTCTGCCAGCGCTCAGAGCAGCTTGCACATCCTCTGCTTCAGGTCATTGCTCCTGCTGGACCCCAGCTCAAGGTCCCATTTCTTCCCCCTACCTCGAGGCACAGAATGCGCAGCTGGGATTATTGCTTCCAAATAGACTTGTTAATTTTATCCAGATGCTGGCCCCAGCCCAAAAGGCTCCCACAATAAATACACTGAGCCACGGTTTGCTCTGTCAGCCCCAAGAGTGCCTGGTAAGTAGAAGAAGAGTCGTAACACCACTGCTGCTCCAAAGGAGACCAGAATGTGCCCAGACCCCTCGTCTCTGCACACACAAACAGATGCTCACACACAAATTTAATGTGGTTTTATTAAGGTTACAACATTTACACAGCACAGGCTCTAGAGCAAAGAGATGGAGGGAAGAGCCCCTAGCCCTGAGCAGAGAGTGGACGGTGTGTGGAGCAAGGACAGCACACCAGCACGCTCCAGGAAGGAAGCTCCCAGCAGGCCAGGATTCCAGGAGAGGGAGGAAGAAACACAGGAGAAATCAGTACTTGGGACGTTTCACCTCAACCCTGGAAGAGAGGGAGAGGGGTAGGAGAGTGGTGAGAGATGCAGGACAGGCAGCTCCACCCCCCCCTGCAGTGAGAGCTCAGCACTGACATCCACACTTTCATACCACAGAACGTGAGGGGCTCCAGCAGGGCCCCTGCAGCTGAGCAACAAAGACCAGTGTACTTACCCATCAGCCTCCAACTTCTTCCTCTTCTCGATGATCTGCGGAGAAAGCACAAAGTCCTGTTACCCTCAGGGGACCTGGATGCTCACAGTTAGCAGAGGGGCTGGAGGGTGCCAGATACACCTCGGGAGAGCTGCAGCCAGGCCAGAGCAAGCTGAGGTGAGCTACAGCTGAAGAAGCTGGGCCTGTTTGCCCTTTGCTCCTTGGCCACCACAGACCATTTGTTCTCACCTTCCCCAGCCCGTCCCATACTGCTCTCCCTTCCAGGACAAGCCCTAGCTCTGCCAGCTGGCAAACAGAGAGCACTAAGCATGTCCTGTCCCCTACAATCCCCTTTGGATGGCTCCAGACTAATGGCTTTGGACACGTTCATCTGCTGCACAGCCCAGAGCAAAGGGCCCCAGGCTGGGGCTGCTCCCAGGACAACGGTTCCAAATAGAGCTCCAGACACCTCTGCAATACTGAAGCCCCAAGTACTTGGCTGATGCTCTCGTAAGGAGCAAATCCAGCAGGTAGAGAGCCAGCCCTGGTGCTCTCCCCCACACTGGCCAGGGCTGGGTGGGAGCTCCTGGCCCAGCAGCCCCAGCCCAGCTGGGCACTCACCGCGCTGATCTTCTTCCACTGCCGGTCCAGCTCCGCCTTGTCGTTGGTCTCCTTGAAGCGGCGCGTCTTGCGTCCCTCAGACATCTTGATGCCGTACTGGAAGGCTGCCCTGGAGAAGGAGCAAGACATGGCTCAGCACTCACAGGGGACCCACAGCCTGCCACAGGAAGGGCCACGTCTCCCCAGCCACGAGCTCCAGAGCTGGCCTGAGCCCCCCAAAGCAGTGCCTGGGCTGGAGTCTCCAAGAGTGACACTAAGAACAAAAACAAATCACCGGGGCCGGGACCCACCGCTCGTCTTCAGGCTCTCACAAGGGAGCCCCCAGCTTGCTTTAAGGTGCCCCAGCACCCAGGCCTGGCCAGCATGGCCATCCCACCCAGAACCCTCGCTCGGCCCTTCCTGAGGGCTGCACTCACTTGGGCAGAGCCTCTTTGTTGTTCATGTACTCGCTGTACTCCTCCTGCGTGTCAAAGTCCCAGCGGCCCAGAGGCCCCTTCTTGTTACCCTGCAGGGAGAGAAGAACTCAGTGCAGCTCCTCAGCTGCTGCTGGGAGGGCTTCTCACACAGCCCTGCAGACCCAGCCACAAGGCTCCATCTCCCACCAGCCTCAGATCAATGGCCTCAGCTCCAGATCCCCTCCCCAAAAAGTTCCAGACAGATTTTGTGGAAGAGGTAAGTCAGAACAGAGTAGCAGGCCTGTCAACAACTCTGGGTCAAATGCCAGTGACACTTGTTTGCTCCCTGACACAACAGGAGGTGATCAGCAAACCCCAAAGCTCACTCAGCAGCCAGCTCCAGTGCTGCTTCTTTCCCATGGGATCCTCTCAGCTGGCACTGGTGCCTACTTTGCTGGCTGCTCCTAAAGGCTGGTGCCAACATACCTGATCCATTTTGCTGTAGTCCACCTCCTCATCGCTGTCCACAGCCATATCATCCATTCTGGGGAAAAAAAAAGCAAGGAAAGGGCTCAGAGTGGGTCCATGAGATGGATCAGGACCTTGGAGCTGGTGGGAGTCATGTCTCATGGCCTTGGACCAAACACACTCAGTTCCTGGACCAGAGGGAAGTGGCCCCAGCTGTAAGCTCTGCAGGTGACCTGTATCACAGGGTATCCAAGGTTGGAAACGCTTCCAGGATGATTCTGCAGGCTGAAAGATGTTCCCCTTCCACTGAGGGAGGCCAGAGCTTCACAACCACATGGATAACAGGGAATGCAGCAGATTCCCAGCCACCTCAGCCTCCCCCTGGCTCTGAGGGGCAGCAGGCTCCAGGCAGCCACTAACAGCAGAGAGCAGCTAAGAACAGGCTCAACCAATGGCTTGGTGGTTTTATCGATCAGCTGTTGCCACAGACAAAGCCAGGCCTGCTCCCCAACAAGTAGTGGGGCTGATGTTCAAGTTCTTGCTGCCAGAGAACAGCACCCCCTCGGCATGCCCTGCTCCCACCCCACAGCTTCCCGCTGCTCCTTACGTGGCAGGGTAGCACTCAGCATAGCTGTTGGACATGCCAAAGAAGTCTCCCAGCTGCTTCTTGTCTTCTGGCTTCTTCAAAGTGGCAGCAGTTAAGGAAAGCACCACGTGAGCTGAACCTTACAGCTGCAGGCTGGGCACAGACAGCTGGAAAACCCCCTCCTGCCCCAACACAACCAAACCAGGGGGTGCAGAGCTTTTGTTTGGTGTGGGAGAAGCATTTCCCTGCTACCAGGTGAGGCAGGACAGCCCCCAAGATGTGCTTGTGCCTGCAGGGTCAGCCAGCCCCACAGCCAGCCAGGCTGGCACAGACAGACAGTAAAGGATATGCCTCTGTTCCCTCCCAGCCAGCAGCTCCAGCAAACTTCTCATTGATGGACTTGATGAGGTCCTTGGCTGAGCCAGGTCCTGGGGTAGAGAAAGCAGCAGGTTACATTTGGGAGGAGGAACAGCTCAATGCAGAGCACAGGCTGGGCAGAGTCCCTTTGGGACACAGTAACAGGCAGGAGAAGCTGCCTCATGTAAGGTACAAGAGGAGGAGCAAACCAGTTTGGCACTGATGGGGTCAGCTGATCCCAGGAGACCTGGAATCTTACAACAGTTTGTGTTTGAAGGATCTTGTTCCAACTCCCCACTATAAGCAGGGACACCTTCCACTATCCTGGGTTTCTCCAAGCCCTGTCCAACCTGGCCTTGAACACTTCCAGGGATAAGGTGTCACCCTGTTCTTTTAAAAGTTTTCTATGCCTTCTGATGTTTACATATTTCTACTGGAGTTCTCATGCACTGTTCATGTAAATAATAATGATTGTTTTGCATTCTTCTTTGTGGGAGGAGAGAACTGATGGTTTGACCAGTGTGGTTGGAGAGGTAGCAGTTTCATCCTCAAATCCACTGTCACTTTTGGAATTCTCTACATTGCAAGGTCAGAAATAAAAGTTACTTTCTTTTGCTCTTTTGATCTTAGTGTGAGTGTGTGACAACAGGGCAGCCACAATTTCTCTGGGCAACCTCTGCCAAGTCCTCCCTACCCTCACAGAGAGAATTCCTTCCTAATATCTAGTCTACATCTCTCCTCTTTTAGCTTAAAGCCATTCCCCCTTGTCCTACCCCTCTCAGGTACCCACACCACTTGACTCACCTTTGTCGATGTCTGTGGGCTGCAAAGAGAGAGAGACAGTGTCAATCACACAGAGCTGAAGCACAAACCCAGCAGGCTGTGTAGTGCTGCCTCACTTGCTGAGGGACAGGACAAGCACCCAGCCACCCAGCAAGGCCTGGGGACAGGCAGAGCTCAGCAAGAGCTGACACTGCCACATGTAGAGGCACAACCAGAGATACCCAAAGTCCTTCTACCCCACAAAGGGCAGATCTCAGGTGGGACAGTCCTTCAGGAACAGACTCACCTCATCATCAGCCTTGGGCTTCTCAAAGTAGCTGTGCCTCTTCTTGTCCTCCTCGCGCTCCCGGTCCCGCTCCCTGTCCCTCTCGCGCTCCCGGTCCCTGTCACGTTCTCGCTCCCGGTCTCGCTCCCGATCCCGGTCACGCTCTCTCTCCCGGTATCTCTCCCGTTCCTTGTCCCGTGGCATCTTGGCAGTGGAGGGCACATAATCCCCAATGTCTTCAAAGATGCTGCAAGTGGAAAAGAGCCTGGAGTTAGGTGTGCTGCAGGAAGAGAGGCCATAACCACCTCCTTGTGACCTGGAGCACACAGGACCAGCACCAAGAGCTAAGGACACCATATGGAAGCGGTTTCCACATCTGTCAGAGTATCACTGCACTCTGCTCCCTTCTGCTGCAGGACCTGAGTTGTGTGGTCCAGGGCAATAGTGAGCCCTCACCTGCCTCAAGCCTGAAATCCAGAGCTTGCCTCCAGCCTTGTCCTACAAACTGCAGGTCCAGCAGCTCCAAACTAAATGTGGTGGGCTAAAAAGCCATTCCCTAAGGGACAGAGCTGTGACCCCATAGCCTGAGGGCAGGGAGGCACTTACTTCATATCAGCTTCAGGAGGCTTCTTCTCATCCAGCTTCCCTGCAAGGACACAACAGCAGTGAGAGGCACATCATCCACTCTGCCCCCTGTGCTGCTCCCCATCCCTGTCCAGGTTCCAAGCTGCAGGAGCAGCAAGCCTGGAGGACATCACATCACACCCAGCCCCTCTAGGAAGCCAAGAGAGGCCATTTCCCCAAGGAACTGGGCCTTCATCAGGAAGAGCAGACCACCATGAGGTGCCCTCACAGCTCTAACTTCCCAGCACCCTGTCCAATGTGCTCCTCCCTTCAGCCACAGCACTCAGGAAATCACTGTTCTCCAAGCCCACTGTCTCATGGCACCGGGAATACTACAAACCAAAACACATCCCGTCCCCTTGGGATATGCTCCAAGCACTAAAATCCTATTACTTGGCTCCCTTCACCTCCTACCTTTGTCTTTCTTCTTGAGCTTCTTGTTGCGGGTGCCTTGCCTGAGGTAGGAGAGGATCTGTGTGAGCTTGCTGATGACAATGTCGTTGGTGGTCAGCGTGGTCTGTGCCTGAAAGGGAAATCCACGAGGAAGCATCCCACTCCTTCGACAGGGAACCCCTCCCAGAACAACCTGCTCTGGCCAGCCCAGAGCAGTGAGGTGAAGCAGGCTGCAGGCCAGCTGGGTACCTCCATGGTGGGGCAGTCAGCCTTGCTGCGGATCAGCGTGGTGGGGATATCGGTGTCGGCATATTCATCATCCAGATCCACCACGTAGGCCATCCTGCCCGGCAGGAACAGCTCGTTCCGCTCGTAGGTCTTGTTCTTGAACAGGATGCGGTAAATGTTGCGGCCTGGGCAGAGGGAAAAGTGTGGGAAAGCAGAGGACAAGCCCAAAGTGAAGCATGTTTAGTTTATCAGCAATATGAGAATCGCCTCCTAAGCACACGCTTCCTTCAGTCCTCAAATTCAGGACTCTCCCCCTCCAATGGTTTTCATTCCTCCGTTCACCCTCCAGGATTTCTCCCACATTCACAGCACAGACAAGGTGGGGAACAGCCACATCAACACAGTCTTACCCAGGCGAGTCTTAAATTCAATTTTGTTCTCAGGATCTTCATCTTTCCTAAACAGGAACAGAAACCAGAAGTATTAGAGCCAAGTGAATGGCTCCTCTGCATCCTACTCTCTGGCAAGCAGCTGCACTCAGGAATGCAAAATACTCAATCACTCACTTAGTTTCTTTCTGGGGCTTCTCCATCATTTCCTCCTCTTCCTTCTCCTTGCTGGCAATCTCAGCCCGTACCTGGATGCAGAGTAAATGCACACATTACAGCCCAGCCCATGCCATTGCTGCCCACCTGTGAGCCCCATCAGATCCCCAGCCCTGCAGCAAACCTCCCCAGGAAGGGAAATCCACTGCCAAGGCCAAGTAGTGGCACCCACCCTGTGTGTCTGTGGCAAGAGCAGCACGGTGATATCTTCACTCACCTTCTGCAACAGAGCAAAGTCCAGACCCTTCACCAAGTGAGTGTGCTCCATGTCACCACCCAAGAACTTGGACTCCTGGATCAACTGTCTCCTCTTCTCCGCAGCAGATTTATCCCTGTGCAACGAGAACAGAGCCGGGTGAGGGCCAATCCCCCCGGATCAGCCTGGCCAGCCCAGGCCCCGGCAGAGCCCACGTACGCCTCGGCCGTGGGCCCCACAGCCCTGTAGTTGGCAGTGGTGCTGATCAGCTCTGTCTCCTCGTAGTCCTTGTTCACTCCATCCCTCCTCTCCTTGGCTCGATCCCGGTATTTCTCGGCCAGCTCCCTCTCGCGCTCGATCTCCTGCTGCCGCAGCTTGGCGTAGTAACTGGGGGTGGCAAACAGCTCGGGGTTAGGAGCGACCTGCTCATGTTTGTGAGGTCAGGTAACAGCCCCTGAGACGCCCCCACACCCATTCTGCTCCCCATCCCTTCCCCAGATACACACTAGGGTGGTGCCACGGGACACAGCAGGCCTGGAGGAAACTGCTGTACTGAAGCCAGCTAAGGAGGAGTTCAATCCTCCCTTCCAAAGGGAAGGGTCCAGTGCAGTCCTGCTGTGCAGACACGCCCCAAAGCACACAGTGATCAGTGCACCACCACTGCCCTGCTCTCCCAGACACCCACAGGGCCTCTCCTGCTTCTTCTGGAGGTGAAGCTTCAGCCCCATCCTACTGCTGCCCTCCCACAGATGTTCCCACAAGTAGTGACAGTTCCTCAGCCTGAGCTCTTCTTCAAAGCTCTTAAATAATCCACTCAAGGCCCTCTTTGGGAACACAGCAGATCAGAACTGCTTCCACTGACAGGACATGATGCATAATGACAAGTCCTGCTGCATCTCTTCCCCCACTTACCTTTTCTTCTTCCTCCTGCGAGCAGCTGGATCTTCATCCTCATTGTACTCCCGGGGCATCCTGGAAAAGGGTGAGAAACACATGTACAGTCTGCAGAGCCACATGGGTGACAGGTGGGCAGAACAGTCCCTCAGACACAGCAGAGCACTGAGGTGATCAGAGATGGAACAGAACCCTTCATTTCCCCCTAATTCTACACTGTCAGCAGGGAGCGGAAGGGAAAAGACTGATTTTCACCAAACCACATCTGCCTCCTGCACAAAGTGTCTTAACAGCCACAAAGCCTCGCTCTTTTCTTTACAACAGCGCTGACCCAGCTGCTTCTCCACTTCCCACACTCAATGCCAAAAGCCCCTGTAGATATTCCCATGCAGAGTACAGGGGAGAGGGTCAGCTGGGCACAGATTGTCCCATGGACCTGTGAAACAGAGCCCTACTCACTCATGGTGGCGAGATTTGGAGGGTGGCGCAGATGTTGGCGCAGCCCGCGGGGTCATGAGAAGCTTCCTGAAGTCTTCATTGGTCAGCTTGGACCTACAAGGGAGGGAAGGAACAGAAATCATCATTCCCAAAGAGCTCTGGAGGAGGAGCAGGTCCTGTGTGACCGAGGTGGGCACCAGGTACCCATGGAGGAGTCCCAAAGGCTGGACTGTGCCAGTGACTTCCAGCTTCCCCAGAGGAATGGGCCGGGGGTGCCTCAGTGCCCCAGCCCCATGCCCCAGGGCTGTACTCACTGGTGGAAGGAGTGCGAGTCGTCCACATCGTGGCCCTCGGGGGCCAGGGGGTTGGAGAACGGCTCATCTGATGGACAGGAGAGAGAGAGAGCTCAGGCACTGCCCGCACAGCATCACACCTTCCCAGAAACCACGGCAGGAGCAGCGCCCGCCTGGATCCCAGCCCGCTGTCACCGGGCCGGCCTCGCCTGCCCGCACAGGACACGGGCTCCCGGTGCCAATGCGGCTCTGCGCCTTCCGGGGGTGTCTCAGGGCCCTCCCGAGCGCGTCCCGTCCCCGCACCCTCCCAAGGGCCCGAAACGCCGGCCGGCCGCACTCCCGGAGCCAGCCCCGCGCTGAGCTCAGCCCCGCCGCACCCCTGGGCTGCCGCAGGGTCTGTCCCGCAGGGCCTGTCCCGCAGGGCCTGTCCCGCGGCTCCGCGGCCGTGGCGCGCCCGTCCCCGCTCAGGGCTGTCCCTGCACCGGCCCGGGGTCCCCGGCGGTGCCCAGCGCCAGTTGGGCCTACACCGACCCCCGCACCGGGCCCGGCCCCGCCCCAAGCGCCGCGACAGCCCCGCGCGGGACAAGTGTGGCGGCCGCGGGAATGCCCCGTGTCCCCTGTCCGTGCCCCCTGTCCGTGTCCCCTGTCCCCTGTCCCCACACTCACTGTCGCGGTCCGGCATCGCTGCGCTCCCGGCTGCGCTGCGCGTCCCTTCCGCTCGGCGCTGCCCTCCCAGCACACCCCGCGGCCGCCGCTCCCATTGGCGGCTGCCGTCACGGCCGCCGCTCCCATTGGCAGGTGCGATCACGGCGGCTGCTCCCATTGGTGGACGAGCCGCGGACGACGCTGCGATTGGCGGAGGCGCCGCGGTCCCGCCCCCGCGCAGTTGTCCGGGCAGGGAAGATGGCGGCGGGCTCGGTGCAGCGCATCGGGGGCGGGCTGGGCCAGGCGCTGAGGGAGCTCCGTATCCACCTGTGCCAGCGCTCCGCCGGCAGCCGCGGCGTCAGGTCAGCGCGGGGAGGGGCCGGGCCGGGGCCGGGGGTGCTCCTCCAGGGCAGCGAGACGGCCCCGGGCTGAGCCGCAGGGACCCGCCGCTCCTCCTTCCCTCCGCAGGGAATTTATCGAGAAGCACTATGTGACCCTGAAAAAGGCAAATCCCGACTTCCCCATCCTGATCCGCGAGTGCTCCGGTATCCAGGCCAAGCTCTGGGCTCGGTACGGTAAGTAGGGGTGCCCGCCGGGAAGCACCGTGGAGCGATCAGGGAATGGCTGGGGCGGGAAGGGACGTGAGGGAGCGCCGGTGGGGTGGGAAGGGTCGGAGGGACGTGCGTGGGGAAGGACAGGATGGGGAGAATCACGGACTCTCAGGGTTAGAATTTTGAAGCGATTTCATCCGCTGCCACCTCCTGCCAAGGGCACGGACACCTTCCACGGACACAAGTGCTCCGAGCCGCGCCCGGCCTGGCCGGGGGCACTGCGGGGCTCCGAGCAGCCAGAGACACCCCGGGCAGCCGTGCCAGGGCCTGCCCGGCCTCCAGCGGGGATTGCAGCTCGGCTGTTCAGGGCTTGCAGGAGGGATGGTGCTGCAGAAGAGCAGCTGCCCTCGGGCCAGGCTGTGCGGTCACTCCAGGGAAGTGAGCCGCGGTGTCGGAATCTGTGGGTATTGGTGATTCCGAGATTGTAGAAAGTCTCTGTCTTTCTGCCCCGTTGCCAAAGAAGAAGCCATAGTTCGTCTGTGCTGTTTTCAAGGTTGTTTATTTTTGCTTATCTCTAACATGTTCTGCTGCCCTGCCGCAGCTCTGTCCTGCAGGGCAGCGTGTGGGGCTCTGCCCTCAGTGGGATGGTACAAACATTAAATACCAGAAACTACCTGTGCTGGATTTACAATAATGTGCCAATATCTGTCACCTACGTTGGACAGTGTGTCCCCAGCCTAAACCAACAGAAAAATGCCAACACCACAGTGAAACATGGAGGGCATGAAGAAGGAGAAAAAGGACAAGACACACCCAATTCCTCCATCTTGTCCCCTCTGAGCCCCTAATCTAGAAATCAAAAATTTTACTTTTGCACCCGTGCCACACTTAATTATTACTCTTATCAAACACTCAAAGCTTGTAATTCATCCTGTAAGATTGAAAACTTTTTTCCATGGACAGAGATCACAGACAGTGTCTCTGGGGGTTCTGTCCAGGGGGGTTCCTGACCCCTGCCAGGGTCCCAGACCTGCCAGGGCAGCCAGAGGGAAGCCCTGGATTCCCACACCGCGGGAAGCAGAGCAGGGCCCAGTGCTCAGCAGGGCCTTTCCAGCCTCTGGCTGTCATCTCCTACCCCAGTCACTACACAAAAATGCAGCTGTTTCTGCTTTATTTTCACTGCCTTCTCACTGAAACACCAAGAAGGGAGCAGAAAAGCCCCTCTGGAAAAGAAAACAAATCCTCAAAGGTCATCTGGGCGGAAAAAATTGAGAACCTTTTAAAAAGATGCAATGACTCATTAAGCACAGGTTTCCCAGCGGGGAGTCTCGTGTGTCGGGGTGGGACTGGGATGGAAATGGAGCCCGGGGTCAGCCCAGGTCGGGGCAGCTGTAGGAACAGTTCTCAGGCTGCTTTCCTGAGGGGAGCACTTGCTGGGACGAGGCTGAAGGCCACAGGGTTGCTCTTGGATGTGTCTCTGCCCAGCCAGAGCTGACAAAAGGAGACTGGGAAAGGTGTTGAGCTGCTTTGAGTTCTTTCCAAGGGAAAGGAGGAGAATAGGAAGGTGGAAGTGCTAACTTGGGCACATGGAGGAACACTGGGACATAGTGACTGTGGAGGGGTGGTGATGGGAGCCTGGGCTGTGATATCAGTGCCTTGCCCACACACCTGCCCCCTCTCACCCTGCCTGTTTTCCCACAGAGTTTGGGAAGGAGAAGAGCATCCCACTGAACAACCTGAGTGTGGATGAAGTGGGCAAGGCCCTGGAGAGCGCTGTGAAAGGCCATGTGTGACGGCAGACAGCAAGTACACACGTGCTGCAGACTCGACTGACTACCTTTAATGTCAAAGATGTATCTTTAATTTATCAATTCATAAACACATTGTGCTTACCTTGAGCTTGGTGGTGGCTGAGAGCCCAAGGAATGGCTGATGCAGCCGTTCACCCCTCCCTGGCACGGGGGAGTCTGCCCAGGCTGCAGCTCAGCCCTGCCCCTGCTCCAGGCTCTGGGGGCACCAGGTGGTGGCAAGGACCAGCCCCCATGCAGCCAGCACTGGGCACTGGGCACTGAGCAGCTCTTGGGAAGCCGGGCACAGGGTGAACAGTCTGTTCCTCCCCTGGCAGTTCAGGGGAGGGAAGGGAGGGGGCAAGGCCTAGGAGGAGGCAGCCAGTGTGACCTGGCAGGCACTGGGGGCTCCTGGGGGCTGCCTGACCACGTCCAGCAGTGCCTGTGCCCGCTCCTGCAGCTCTGGGGTGCTCTGGTGCTGCTCCAGGGCCTGGTGCCCACCCTGCCTGGTGAAGTCAGCAGCAGCCTGTGGGAGAGGAGAGGGTGAGAGCTGGCTGGGTGCTACAGCTGATCATCTCTGCCCAAGCCACCACATCCCAGGGAACAGGGCTGAAGGAATTCCCCAGAGCCCTCCCAGACCTGCATTCCCAATCCAGGTCATCCCCACCATGCTGGTGGTTGGCTGGGAAGGACTTCAAGGCCCATCTCATTCCCACCCCTGCCACAGGCAGGGACACTTCCCACCAGGTGCTCCAAGCCTCATCCTGCCTGGCCTTGGACATCCAGAGCTTCTCTGGGCACCCTGTGCAGGGCCTCCCCACCTCACAGGGAATGCATTCCTGCAATCTGCAGCAAGTGGAGCAACCTCAGCAGGAGCAAAAGAAAACCTGGGGTAGAAACAGCCTGCCCCAACACCAGTCCTTGCCAATAAGGAAGGAACTCTGCAGACACAAGAAGGGTTTTCACCCACCCTCTGCATCACAGTGTCCCTTTGGGCAGGGGCCTGGCTGCTGAGGGGTGGAGGGTAGTGTGGCAGTCACTGAGGGCACTGTTAATCAAATTACAATAACCATCCCCCTCCACAACAACAACACAGTAATCATTCCCCATCCCTGTACAGTCCTGCACTGTGCTCTCACCTCGGGGCAGTGCAGGAAGAGGAGGTGCAGCAGCTCCAGGCACTGCCCCACGGCCTCGGGGTCGGGCAGTGTGAGCAGGGGCAGGAGCTGGGCCAGGAGGGGCTGCTGGAGCAGCCGCTGGCACTGCAACTGTCCCTTCTCTGCCACGTTGCACAGCACGGTCAGGACCTGTGGGAGGGACAGGAGCAAGTGAATGCTCCATGGGCACATTCCTGACAGGCTTGGGAGGGCTCCCCAGCACTCCCTGTGTCACGGAATTGTGCAGTGGTTTGTGGAGAAAGGACTTCAAAGCTCATCCAGTCCTGCCATGGCCAGGATCACCTTCCACTATCCCAGGTTGCTCCAAGCCCATCCCTTCTCTGGGCAGCCTGTGCCAGGAGAGAGTTGTTCCAATACCCATCTAACACCCTCTCAGTGTGAAACCATTCCCTGCTGGTTTGTCACTCGTGCCCTTGCTTGAAGTCCCTCTCCACCTTTTTTTCTTGTCCTGCCAGGTGCTTGCCCACAGCCAAGTGCCCACCAATCCTGCTTTCCAATCCATTGGATTTGGAAAGCCTTCTCCACACCCACCCTGAGGCACTGTTCATGCCTGTGCCAGGCAGACCCAGCCTTGCCACCCACTCCTGGCAGTGTCCCCAGTCTCCTAAAGCTTTGGGGTCTTTCAAAGCAAAGGCAGGAGCCTTCCCAGGCTGGCTGAAGTTAACACCTCCCTTGGGACCACTCTTGTGCTGGGACAAGGCCCTGCCAAGGGCACACAGCTGGAGTGGCTTCAGGGGAGGTGGCTGGTGACTGCCACCACACGAGACCTTCTGCCAGGCTGTCACTGCTGCCCCATCCACCCCCCAGCTCCAGCACTGTCAGTGTGGGATTGATGTCCCTGAAACTCCAGCGCTTCCCCACCACTCCCAGTGCTTGGGGCAAGGCTCACCAGCACAGTGGCCATCTGGGAACACGTCAGGAGCTGCAGCAGGGCCGGCAGCAGGTCCAGGCACAGCAGAGCGGAGCAAAAGAAGGGATCATCCGCTGGGTGGGCAGAGAAGGAACGTGTGAATAAAACCAGGGTGGATGCCAGCAGTGCCCAGCAGTGCCACCAGCCGTGGGACACTCACCTGTGAGGTTGTTGAGCAGCCACAGGCACTCCTGGACGAGGAAGGGGTGCTGCTGCAGGAAGCACTGCAGGATGAGGAAGAGGGCGACGAGCAGGCGCCCGTCCTGGCCCTGGCAGGCTGGCTGTGCCAGCAGGTTACTGAGACACCGCAGCACGGGGCACACGAGCTGTGACACAGGGACACACCAATCCCTTTAGCTGAGCACTGTCCCCACAGCACTCCTGAGAGCAGCCAGCACCCTGCCCAGCTCTCACCAGCTCCAGGCCCTCGGGAGCATCCTGGGGGATTTGGGAGGCCAGGTCGAGCAGGAGCGAGGTGAGCGCGGGCACGGCCCCCAGCCCCAGCAGCAGCACGTTGTCTTCCTGCCTGCAAAGGGAGGGACACTGCGGTGGCCTTGGAGCTTGGAGAGGGGAAACTGCCACATCCCCTCACCAAACAACAGGGTCTGGGAATTCAGAGCGCTCTCCTGAACCACCACAGGGCTTTTTTCATGTTGGAGCAGTGGCTTCTTTCACATTGGAATACCAGATTTTTTTCTGAGCTTAAGAGAAAATTTAAAAGGCCATGAAAAACAGATTCCCTGGAAATATCTATGTGGGTCTGGGAACAACAGCCCTGACCCTTGAGTATCTACTCATTCCTTGGCTCCAATGGCAGGCAGGGATTGCTGGCACAGCCCAGATGGAAGGCCCTGGGCCAACCCCACAAGTGTGAGGATTCAGGGAGCTTGCCTTGGGAAGTGTGGGGGACAACTCCAGGCCGTGGGAAGCAATTTGGGGGCATTTCAGAGAACTAGAAACAGCCTGTAAAAGAGCTCAGTGATCCTGCACACAGCACATGTGCTCAGACAGGAGTGCTGGGACACCCAGGCTGGCTGGGGAATTGCTTTCCCCAAGGGAAAAGGGGAGGCAATCCAGATCCCCTTGCAGGACCATGAGCCTTCGTGACTCTGTTTGGCTGCCCCAGGGAATTCAAAACGAGAAGAAAACTGCATTTACCTACAAATGATGTAGTGGAGACACCAGGCAAACTCCACAGCCGCTCCCATGCCAGCCTTGAGGCCAGAGCAGACCAGCTGGAGCATGTGCTGGGGGAGAGCCGAGTCCAGGACCAGCCTGGGTCAGAGAGCAGAGTTAATGGAGGCACGGGCTGGAGCACAGGCAGGACCAACAGGGAGACAGGAACCCTGAGCAGGGAGCTGCTGTACCCCATCCTGGGGGCCACAGGGTGCAAACACACACCTGGAAGGGACTGAGCCAAGGGCAAGGACCTTGGGCTCTCCCTGTCCATGGCAGGGCCTGGGGACACTCAGGACACTCTGACTGGGGTCACATTTTTGGCACTGGGGGCTGTCCAGTTGATCTTTTCCTTTGCTAGAGGAACACAGCCAGAATTCCCTGTGAGCCTTCCCTGCTCCATGCTGGCCTTTACTGAAATACCAGAGCTGTCTGCTCAGATGAGGCTGAGGGAGAGGAGCCAAGCCCTGCTCCCTGATCTGCATCAAAACGTGCAGAGCTCTGGTAGGATTCTGCCCTGCACTATTAATGTCACTGGGGTGGGGAAGGCCTCGTGTCCCCAGCACACAAAGACTTCTGGAGGCCCTGGGGCCCATCCTGGTGCAGGGTTCAGAGGCTCAGACTCACGGGATGATCTCTGTGGGCGCTTCCTTGGCTTGGAGGAGCTGTGAGAGGACATAGCCCACACCTTCCAGCACTGCCTCGTGAGGGGACTGCAACCAAAGAGAACAGAGCTGATCCCTCCTGACAGAGCCAGGGCCCCGGGGTGACCACCAAACCCAGCTGAGTGGCACAGCCTCGCTGTGCTTGGAGAAGAGGGGGCACAGAGGGGACCAGGAAGGACACAGGAACCAGAGCTGAGCTGTCCCCCTCTCCACATTCACTGGGCTTAGCCCAACCGCAGCAAAAGTCCTGATTTGAGCATTTGGAGCTGCAAACCACAGCCTGCTGGACCAGGCAGGCAGAGGGGACAGGGCTCCCTGTGCTACAGACTGTACCAGGCAGCCACTGGATGGGGGGATTCAGCTGGGGAAGAGCACAGGGTGCTGAGCTGAGCCCTGAGAATGAGCACAGGGGAGCCCACAAGTGACCCTCACGCTCGTGGGAACAGCTCCCTGCAGTTTCCCCACGGCTGGAAGGAGGGCTGTGACTCAGAAAAGTCTCTCCAGGGCACAGAAATGTGGCTGAGCTGTTTCACCCACCTGGATGCAGGATGCCAGCACTGGAATAATGCCCTGAGGCAGCAGTTGCTTCCTCACAGCCTCACTTTCTACTACGAGGTTCCCCAGTGTGTACAAACACAGCTCCTGCAACAACACAGCAGAGCAGGAGTGACCCCCTGGGCAGCCAGCAAAGCCCCACACACTTCCCTGAGCAGGGCAGGAGCTGGCTTTGGTGGAACAAACACAGATGGAGCTGCTGGGCTCTCCAGCCACCCCATTCCCAGCTCCATCAGCTTCAGTTAGTATTTTTTCTATCTGACTGAAGCTGGGATCTGAGCACTCCCACTTTGGAGGTTTTTCAGGATAACATTTCCCTGAGCCCCCTCTGGGTCTCCTGGAGCCTGCCTGTGTGCTGCATTCAAATGGGACCTTGCTCCTTAGCTGAGCTCGTCTGCTTCCCATGGAGCAGCTGGAAAACACGTGGACATCCCAGAGCTGCTCCAGCTCTTTGCTCCTTTCCAGATCAAGTTGCAAAGTGTTGAGCCACAGGCACTCTGTCTACTCCTATCCTTTCTTTCTTTTCCTTATATATTTTCTTAAGCGACATATTTGTACTTTTATATTGTTTCATTTCTATAGATAACAACCAAAATGGCTACATACCTCCTTTCTTAATTGTTCTAAAATAAACCTACCATATATATATACACACATATATAGATATATATATATATATGTACATAAGCATGGGCCATTCAGTGTGGCTCCACTCTAATCCAACCCAAGGGATCTGTGATTCACAAGAACTCAGTTACCCCACCTCAGGGGCAGGTTGTAACACCTGGGCACTGGGAACAGTCCTGCTCTGAGGCCAAAGGCTGTGATGCCAAAAGATTTTTGCTTCCAGAGGCTTCCAGAGGGCCCCTTCTCAGCAGCACTCCCACGTGAGCCACGTGTGACCAGAAGAGGCCAACACCAACCCCACCAAAGGATTCCCAGGTGCAGATGGGTCTCACCGTGAGCTCCAGGCTGTGCCCTGACAGGTAGGTGAGCAGGTAGGAGGTGACAGGCAGACACGCCTCGGCCACGGCGGGGACGCTGGAGTGGGAGAGCTCGTGCAGGCAGCGGGCGGCCTCCAGCTGCAGCTCCCCCAGGCTGCTGGTGAAGAGCCCGGTCAGCGTCCGCATGCTGCCGTCCAGCCTGTGGGCACAAAGGCTGCTGCTGCCACCTCCCAGCTCACCCACCCCAGCACAGGGACAGGGCCCCTGGGGACATGCCCCTGGTAACAGCCATGGCAGGCCTGGGCTGACCTGACAAACTTCTGCTGAGTCTCCTCGTTCTGCAGAGCCCAGCGGAGGCGGCCGAGCGATCGCTTCCTGTCCTCCGAGCCCCTCTGCACCCCCCTGAGCAGCTCCAGAACCTGGCCAGGCAATTCAGAGGTGGGTGAGCTTCCAGCAGTGCCAGCAGCAAGATTTGGCCCCGTGAATCCTCAAGGCAAAGGAGCCCAGGGCATAAAGGTGGGCACAAGGAGCCTCAACTGTGCCTGGCAGTGAACCGGAACCATTCCCAAACCCACCCCTGCCCAACCTCCTTCATGCTGAGTCTGGGAAGGCCCCCGGGACCCCCATTGCCACAGAGAACATCAGGTTCTTCACCTCATCCTCTGAGAGTGGGTCTGGCACGACATCTGCTCCATCCTGGGCCGCGCTGTCCTCCCGCAGGAGCCGCTTGCTGACCAGCTGCTCCTGCCGCCGGGCCTTCCTGAGAGCTGCCAGCACACGTCAGCTCCTGCTCCTCCATCCCCCCAGGAGCCTCATTCCTCCCTTAACCCAGGGGGGAACTGCCCGTCCCTCCCTGTGCTCCGTATCCATCCCTGGAAGGATGCACGATCAGGCACTGCACCTGGAGCTGGGCTGAGGGACGGGCACACAAAGTGTGAAGCCACTGCTGGGAGAATGGGCAGGAAAACGGAACCACCTGGAGGGAGCTGAGGCTGGATTTCACACACAACCATAAAATCATTAAAGTTGGGAAAGCCGTGCAAGATCATCAACTGCAGCCTTCAACTGAACACCACCAGGGCCACTAAGCCATGCCCCAAATGCCCCATCTGCTTGTTTTTGGAAAACACCTCCAGGAATGGTGTGCAGCCTGTTCCAATGCCTGACCACCCTTCTGATGAAGAAATTTTCCTTAATATCCACCCTAAGCCTGCCCAGGCCCAGCCCGAGGCCGTTCCCTCTCCTGTCCCTGTTCCTGGCAGCACAGCCCGATCCCCCCGGCTGTCCCCTCCTGGCAGGAGCTGTGCAGAGCCACAAGGGCCCCCTGAGCCCCCTTTTCTCCAGGTTAAGACCTTGGAACACGCGAACAATGGGGAGGCTGTGGAAGAAACGGAGAATTCACGGCAGAAACCCCAGCGTTAAACGCGCACTGTAAAACGCTTCCCGAGCGGCAGCGGCCCCGCGGGGCGGGGATGGGATGGGCCGGCAAGGGCTGAGCTGGGGGGTCCCTCCCAGCCCCGGGGAACCCCGCAAACCCCCGCAGTGCCCGCAAACCCCCGCAGTGCCCGCAAACCCCCGGCCGGACCTGCCTCTCGCTCCCGCCGCCGCACCCGCAGCTCCTCCGCGCTGCGCCCGCCGCGCCCGCCCCGCCGCCGGCCCCACATGGCGGAGCGGCGGAGGAGGAGGAGGAGGAGGAGGAGGAGGAGGAGGAGGAGGAAAAGGCCGTCCTGGGGCGGTCCCGGGGCGGGGAATACACGATATATACGATGCCGGCCTCCTGCGCCAGCTGTGCCCCGCGGGGATCCGTGCTGCGGGCGCGGAGGGCACAAAAAGCCCCCAGAGGTTGCCCGGGAGTACCGAACAAGGCGGATCGGTGCCCCGGGGACCTCCCCCCGTGGTGGTGCGGGTCGGGGGGCAGAGGAGCTTGTGCTTCCCCAGCGAAGTGTTTGGGGATTTGCAGCTGGAGGGCAGAAATGAAGGAACAGCCCCGGCAGGGCTCGGCAGAAGGGGCCGGGAGGAGAGCTCAGAGGGCGGCTGTGATTCTTCCATCAGCAGCAGTTTCATGGAATTCCAGACCCATTTGGATAGGAAGAGACCTTAAAGCTCATCCAGTTCCAGCCCCTCCACCATGGGCAGGGACACCTTCCACTGTCCCAGGCTGCTCCAAGCCCCATCCAGCCTGGCCTTGGGCACTTCAGGGATCCGGGGGCATCCACAGCTGCTCTGGGCAGTCTGTGCCAGGGGCTCCCCACCCTCACAACGGGAAGCTCCTTCCCAACATCCCATCTATCCCTGCCTCTGGCATTCCTGTGTCCTGTCACTCCTGGCCCTTCTCCGAAGTCCCTCTCCTGAACTTCCTTTAGGCCCTGGAAGGGGCTCTGAGGTCTCCCCTGGGCCTTCTCCAGGCTGAAGAGTTCCATCTCCCAGCCTGTCTGCACAGCAGAGGTGCTCCAGCCCCTGGAGCATTTCTATGGTCTCCTCTGGACTTGCTCCAGCAGCTCCATGTCCTTCTTGTGCTGAGGAATTTCATGTACACCAAGGATGTAGAAAAGGAATCATGCAATTGCTGAGCACTTCTGCACAAGTGTCCCAGAGAGCAAAGGGACCCCAGGCCAGCTGCTGTGGCACCAAGGTGCAGTGCCACATTAACTGCAGCAAACTGGGAGCTGCATTGTCCAGCCCTGCACTTTCGTTGTTGGAGCCCTGGATCCTGAGAATTTTAAACTTTGTGTGCTGAAAGGCACAGACCCACAAGAGAACACTGCATCTGACCTGAGGCTGTGGAGAAGGCTTCCAAAATTCACTCATAGCACTGGGATTAGGAGTAGTTGGTTAGAAGTGTGTGATCTTACAGGGTGAAAAAACTTAGATTTGGGATTTTAGTATATGGTGATATATGGGAGCCAAGATGGAGAATTTTGAGGGTGGGTTAGTTGTCTTTTTTGCACCTTCTTCTTCCTTCTTCTTCATGGATCTGTGTGGTTTTCTCTAATTGGGTGAAAGATGTCCACGTTGCAGGTTTTGGGTGATCATAATTGAGTTAGAAGCATAAATAATATAGATGTCAACGGTTTATTGGATAATTGAGATTTAAATAGCCTTGAATTGTCACCATTTTATGTCACTTTCTCGAGTTGTTAGAGAGAGCTCACATCTCATGAGTTTGTAATAGATAAGGATAAAAAACTTCAGAGTGAGACTTCAAAAACAACGTCTCCTGAGTTTTATTTGCCCTGACTTTGAAGCAAGAAAGGGCCTGGTATTCCAACATTTCATTACTTTTCTGAAGCCCTTTATGAATCCAACACAGGCAGAGAAATCTCTGGGAAAGAAAAAAAAATCCAGACAGATCACAGAATCACAGAACCTTTTAGCTTGGAAAAGATCTCCAAGATCATCAAGACCAACCTTTGACCACCACCTTGTCAGCCAGACCAGAGCACTCAGTGCCACATTCAGCATTTCTGGAATATTTCTGGCTCCTCCTGGCGCAGGAGTGTCCTGAGCAGCTCCAGGCTGCCTGGACAATGGGTGGGAATTGTGCCATCCCCATCCTACACGGAGCACAGGTCCCTTGGCACGGTCTGCATGCCAGGGATGCCAGTGCTGTACACTTCTGCATTGCCTGCAGGGAGCTCAGCAACAGCAGAGCATCCTGAAAATGCATTTGGGGAGCCCTGCCCGCGCTGTTCTGTCACCCTTCCGAGGAAAGCCAGCGGCTCTGGTGCTCTGCCCGCAGCCTTTCCCAGCCCGCAACCGCGGGGAAGCGAAGCAGAAGTGCTCGGGTGGCTCCGTCCCACTCGGGAAGTCACGCTGGGGAGCCGGGGCTGTGCCAGGGAGCCGGGGCTGTGCCAGGGAGCCGGGGCTGTGCCAGGGAGCCGGGGCTGTGCCAGGGACACCGGCCCGGGCAGCTCCGGCTGCTGGAACACAGCTGGAACACAGCTGGAGCACAGCTAGAACACAGCTGGAGCACAGCTAGAACACATCTGGAACACATCTGGAGCACAGCTGGAGCGCCGAGGGCTCCCCCCGCGGGTCCTGGTCAGTGCCGGGTGCCGGAGGGAGCCGAGCCCGGAGCCTTTGGCAGCTCCGCGCGGGTTTGGCAGCGGCTGGAGGAAGGAGCGCGGCGAGGAAGGTGTCGGTGTGGGCCGGCCCTGAGTCAGTCCCGGCACGGCCACTGCCCGGGGCTGCTCCCGGGCCGAGCCGCGCTCGCTGGCGGTGCCGGAGCTGCTCGGGACGCTGCGGCAGCCCCGCCACGGCACGGACAGGTACGGAGGGTCCGTCCCGGGTGGGTCCGGGATGCGGCCAAGGAAAGGCTGAGCAGGGCTGGTGCCAGCCCGGAGCTGCTCGGAGCAGGAGGGTGGGCTGGAGACCCCCAGAGACCGCCTTTGAGCTGAGTCAGCACATATTTAGGAGCCTTTAATCTTTGCTTGCTGCTTCTTTGGCAATCTGGGGGTCAGAGATCAGCTGAGCAGCTTCTGGTGCTGACAGGGATGTGTTCACACCTTCAGGGGTCATTTTCTATCACCCCTCAGGGGGCTGCTGATGAATCAAACCTCTGGGCGAGGAAGGAGAAAACATGAAGCCCTCTGTTGCAATTTCCTGCCCCGGATAACAGAGGAACAAACAGAGCTGGGGCTCTCCCTGCTCAGGCTGATACATCTGCCTGTAACTGCGCCTTTGTAGTTTCTCCAGGCGTTTCCTGGTCAGGCAGCCCAGGCAGGACAGTGCAGAGCCTCGGGACACTCCCTGCTGCGGGCAGGGTGGCACAGCTGCAGCTCCTGGGCGTTTGGCTGCTGGCCCGAGTGCTGCCCGAGTCACAGCAGGAGGAATGAGGGCAGTGCCCTGCTCGGCTCAGGGTGGCTCTGCAGGGCTCAGCCTGCCCAAACCCTCCCTCCAGTCTGGGCCAGAGCGGTCCCCTCAGCTGCCATTCACCGTTTCTCCCCCAGTTTTTAGGTTGTTCAGCATGAGTGTGGCTGTGCTCCTGCTCCTGGGGCTGGGGCTGCAGGTGGCAGAAGGCAGAAGGGACAGGTGTTTCTTCAACCGCACTCAGGAGTTCTGTGTGTGCTACAACCTGTCCGAGGAGACCATGGGCAGCATCATCCAGTGCCTCCCAGCAACTGTGGTGGAGTTTTGGGGCGGAGATCTGGAGAAATACGCCGCCTTCCCCATCAGGGACCCGGACTCCTCCGTCATTGACACTCTGGGCTCCCTTATCATCCAGAAAGTAGTTATTGGGAATGTCCTGGTGCCTGAGGCGCTCCTCGCCCGTGTGCTGAGGTTCTTCTCCTACACCCACGTGCGGGAGCTGGCCTTTGAGAGCTGCATTTTCCAGGGCACAGGCGACTGGAGCGACATGGATGGGCGCAGCTTGCCCATCCTGTCCCTGAGCTTCCACAACGTGACGTCTGCCCCGCCGACGGGCCGTGAGCAGGCCTTCTCCAGCCTCAGCAGCTGGCTGGGGACCCTGCAGGAGCTGGCTGTCACCAGCTCCCACCTCAGCAGCCTGCCCTGTGCCCTCGGGAGAAAGCTCAGAGCCCTGCGCTCCCTGGACCTGGCCCACAACAGCCTCTGGGACGGGAGTCTGGCCCCCACCTTCTGCCAGGGAGCTTTCCCTCAGCTCCAGCAGCTGAGTCTGCAGCACAACAGCCTGAGCTCCTACCAGGGCGTGTGTGAGGCTGTGGAGCTGCTGCCGGGGCTCCAGCACCTCGATCTCAGCCACAACGAGCTCACAGCAGCACACCCATCCTCCTCCTGCCAGTGGCCTCCATCCCTCCGCCACTTTAACCTGTCCAGCACCGGCTTGGATGAGGTGCCAACCCCGCTGCCTCCCCACCTCGAGGTGCTGGACATGAGCCACAACCACCTCCACGCTGTAGACATCTCCCTCATCTCCTTGAAGAAACTCTTCCTGAATGAAAACCTGCTGCAGGCCATCCCCTCCATCAGGAATTACCCCGTGCTGGACACCCTTCACCTGGACAACAACTCCATTTCTGAGCTGCCCGGGGACGAGGTGAAGCTGCTGGGGCGGCTGCAGGACGTGGCTGTGGCTGACAACCCCTTCAGCTGCTCCTGCTCGGGGGCCGGGGGGCTGCAGGCGCTGGCGGCCGCGGGGCACCTGGGGCAGGGCTGGCCCGGGGGCTACAGGTGCCACTCCCCAGCGCAGTACCGGGGCTGGCAGGTGGCACGGGTGCCCGTGTCGCTGCTGCGCTGCCACCTCGCCGCCGTGGTGGCCCCGCTCTGCGTGGCCCTGGCCCTGCTGGCTGTGGCTGGGGCCGCGTGTCTGGCCAGGGGCAGGTCCTGCCGCAGAGCCTGAGGGCACCGGGACCCTTCCCCACGGCGCTCCCGGGAAGGGTGGCAGCTCCCCGTGCTGGTGAGGGGCTCTGGCTGTCCCAGCCTGGGCTCCCCAGTGGGGCTGGGCTGTCCACAGGGTTGTCCTGCAGTGCCTGTGCCCAGCTGTGCCCAGGCACTCAGCCCCACTGCCCTCACTTCCAGCCCCACCCCAGGCTCTGACCACAGCCACAGCCTCCCCTGGGCACGTCCCTGTGGCCAGCTCCAGCTGCCCCAGCACGCCCCGCTGTCCCTGCCATGTCACTGCCCTGGGCAGGAGGAGCTCAGCTCCCTCCCATTCCCACTGGCAGCACTCAGATGCCCCCCCAGCCTTGCTGGGCTCTGCTGGTCCCTGCCCAGAGCCCCCCACACCTTTTATCCCCACCAGTCCAGGCATCCTTGGAGCCTCCATGGCTCATCCTCCCTCTCCTCCCCCGGGTCTCTGGCTGGGCCAGGATGTCTGGTTTGGCAGCAGGATGCTGCTTGGCTGCTCTTCGGCCTAATAGAAAAACTGAAAAAACACAAAAGACGGGAAAATGACTAAATTAAACACCCTGCACACAAATGCTAATGAGCTGGAGCAGTTCCTTACACCTCGACCTGAGGCACTGGCAGATGGGGACCTTGAGAAAGTTCAACCAGAATCTTTTTAAGTGATAAGAAGATTAGTTTGTTCTGGGTTATTCAGAGAATATCTCATAGTAAGGAGAAAATGGATTATGAGATGCAGGACTGGGGAATATTCAATGGAAAGGGGTGGGTGGGGAAGGGACAGGCTTGGGAAAATGCACCCCCACACACAGTGGGCATCCTCAGCACCGGCATTTCCCTCTGTGCTCTCCTGCTGATCTCCAGTGCTTCTGCAGTTTGTGGTCACTTCTTGTGACATCCTGTACAGCAGCCCAGGGTCCCTCCTCTCCCAGCCAGGGCTGAGGTGTCCCTTTGGGGCTGGGAGCACCCCAGTGCTGTGAGTGCCCCGGGAGCACCCCAGTGGTGTGAGTGCCCCGGGCAGCACCTGCCCGCTGTGCCCCGCTGATTCCTTGGCCAGCAGGGCCCAGGCCTGGAGCAGGGTGCCTCAGGCTGCTCTGGCTCTGCCCTCAGCCATCAATAATGCAGGAGAACCCGATCCCCAGGTAACCCCATCCTTCCCTGGCCGAACAGCAGCTCAGGGCGCTGCTGCCACGCTGCCCATGGATGAGGTGAGTGCTGTGTTTTGGGACAGCCAGGTTGGCTTGCAGGGATCTGTCAGGGGCTGCCCAGCTCCCTGGGCTCTCCTGCAGCTCAGGCTGGTGCTGAGTGTGTGGCTCCTTGCCTCTCTCCCTGCAGGCTGAGCAGGATGTCAGAGTGCGAGCAGCTCTGGGACTCCAGCAGGCAGCAGGTAGAGCTCAGGGCAGCCCAGAGCCTTCCCCTCAGCACCAGGGAGCAAAGGGACAGGCTGGCAGCCACAGCTGTGCTGGCACTGGGCAGTGCTGACAGGGACTGGGTGTCCTCCCCACCCTGGTGGCTCTGACTCCAGCGGGAGGGCTCAGGAATGAGGTGAGCCCTGAGATGTGGCTCCAGGCTGCAGGGGGAGCAGGACAGGGCTGGGACAGGTGGGGGTGACCCCCCCACCATCCCACCCTCGGTGTTTGCAGGGCCAGGAGAAAGCTGGGGGGATGGCAGCAAGGACCTCCTTGAGCTCCTCCTGGCTGGGAAGGAGCCCCAGGTGAGAGCTGCAGGGCAGGGACAGCCAGGGCACCAGGGTCCCTGGGGAAGGGAGGGAGAGGGCTCTGTGCCACCCCTGCCCCGCCTGGGACACACCTGATGGCAGCTGAGCTCTTGGGCTGACCCTGCCCCACACCCCCGTGGGACCCTCCCTTGTAGGGGACTCCTGGGGTTCCCAGAGAGCAGGGGAAGGGAGGGGGTCTCTCCTCACCCCTGCCCATGCCAGGCCCTCTGTGCCATCTCCATCCCAGGGTGCCCAGTCCCTCCTTTGCCCTGCCCTGGTCATGCTGGGATAGGGGAAAGCTGAACATTATCCCCCTCCTCTGACCAGGAGAGCTCCCTGACTGTCGATGGCGTTTTCCACTTGGATGCAGGACAGGTACCCAGAGCCCCAAGTCCTCCTCTGTAGCCTGTCCCCAGCCACATGGGCCAGGGCCATCTGCACCATGGTGGCTGTGCCATGCTGTGCCATGCTGTGCCATACTGTGCCATGCTGACCCTGCCCTGCTGGATATGTCTCTCCTACCAGGAGAAGGTCCTGGAGTTGGCCAGACCCCAGCTGGCCCTGGTTCCCCTTGGCTACAGCGTGTCCCTGCTGCTGTGGGACCCCCACGGCCCTGGGACACAGCTGCCCTTCCAGAGTGTCATCTGGCAGGTGAGGGCACAGGGGACAGGCGGCAGGGAGAGGGGACAGCACAGCTGGGCAGTGCTGGGCTCACAGATCACCCAGCAGACCCCGATCCCACCGGGGCAGGGCCCAGATCCAGCCATGGGTCCCGGGAACCAGCAGCTCCCAGCTTGTCCACAGGTGATTGACACCGTCTTCCAAGAACTGGAGGCCTTGAGGGATGACACACAGAGCCTGCAGATGGTCAGCCTGGTCCAGGTAGGGCAGGAGCAGGGCAGGATGTCCTGGATGAGGGTCCCATTTTCTCTCTGCTGCTGCCCGGACCCTGCTGTGCCAAGAGCACATACTGATTGCCCTGTGCTGGCATGCATTCCCCTCATCCAGGGGGTGATCAGGGACTGGAGACCTTTGGATCCCAGGTGTTCTCACCTCTTTCCAGGAGTGCCCAGACGTGGGAAGCCTTAGCTGCCCACAGAGCATCTCCTGGGCTCCAGCAGCATAGTGGGATCGGGATCACCCACTAACCCCATCCTGCTCCCATCACAGCTGGGCTTTCCAGGCCAGTCACTGCTCCCTGGGGCCTGAAGGTTCCTCCAGTGTGGCCTTGACTGGCCCAGGAGTGATGCCAGCTCCTGCCACTGGGCTGGGTCCTGCCCTTTGGCTCTGGGATACTGCCAAGGATCTGATAAGTTCCACGCAGGGCTCGGGCGTTCCCAGGGCTCTGCCCTCCCTGGTGCCAGGGCTGGAAAAGCCTTTCTCAACCCTCACCTGTGCATGGCCACCAGCAGTCCGGGCCCCTGGTGAAGGTGGGATGCCAGCAGCCCCGTTTTCCTGCCCTCTGCCTAATGCAGCCCCCTCCTCCCAGGTCAGCACCAACGACAAAGCCTGGGACCTGCTGCGTCCCGACGGCCGAGCCCTGCAGGTGATGGACGTGGCACCCCTGGGCCTGTAGGTACCTGGTGCCCCATGGCTGAGCAGATCTCCTGGGGGCTGGTACCCCACCATCAGGAGTGGGGCTGGGCAGGGAGCACGGTGCCCACCACAGCATGGCAGGGGTGGGTGTGCCCCTCCTCGCTTGCTCCTGTCTCCCTGTGCTTGCAGGGTGGTGCAGGAGGCGGCAGAAGTGCCCGTGTGCGATGCCCGGGGTGCCATCAGTGCCTATGCCAGGGGGCTGGGTGCCATCCCGGCGCTGTCCCAGGGCTGTGCCCAGCAGCCCCTCGCGGACGGGCGCTCAGCTCTGCAGGGGTGAGGGATTTGGCCCAGACCCCACAGGCTGGGAAGGGCTGGGCCATGGGGTGCTGGCTGCTCTGCTGCAGCCCCACTCCCACACCAGCCCCTCCCCAGGGCCGGCAGCCTCTTCACTCTCACCGTGGAGCGAGTGCTGCGGGGTGGCAGGCGCCAGCGCTCGGCCCTCAGGATCTTGGTGTCCCCAGGGGCCACCGGGCCCTGCCCCAGGCTGTACGTACGGGCTGAGCTGTGCTCCCCCTCCAGCACTCCCTGTGCCTGCTGTGGGCCAGGGAATTCCATCCTGGAGGTGAAGCAGGAAGGACACCCCAGTGGCTGGGGCCAAGGGGGTGTCACTGCTCCCTGGGGATATGTGACAAGGAACCCATCCTTGGGTTCCTGTGGGTGGGGGTTCAGCTGCCTGGCACAGGAAGAGCCAGCCCTCTCTCTCCACGTGCAGGGAGTGCAGGGAACCTGGAGCTGTCTGCCTGCCCTGGGTAGTGGAGCGGCTGCTGGAGGGGAACAGCCTCACCTTCCTGCTGCTGTGTGTGTCACTGCCAGGTAGCCCCTGGGACTGGGGCACACTCTGGGTGTCCCTTCCCTGAGGATTGCCCCCATCCCACCCCACACCGGGCACTCTGCCCGGGGACACCAGCTCCACTCATCCCCATCACACCGGGACCCCCTGTGCTGGACCCCCGTGGCCCCTGCCCAGGGCTCGCTGTTCTCCAGACACCTCCAGAGAGGAGATCCTGGGAGCTCTGGCACTGGCTGAGAGGGTGAAGGGGCTGGCCAAGACCATCTCTGCCACACTCTGGGACCCTGAGGAGGAGATTGCGGCGCGCCGGCGGGAGATGCGCGGGCTGCGGATGGAGCTGCTGGCTGGGCCCGGCCGCCCGGAGCAGAGGAGAGCTGTGGCCCAGCTGCAGAGAGCCCTGCGGGAGCTGCAGGTGGGGAATGCCCCTGGACCCACGGCACTGGCACGGCTCTCATTCCCTGCGCTGGGTAAGGTGCAGGCTCTCCACCCATCCTGGTGTCAAGGCCCTTGTCCAGCCCTGAGGGCAGGGCCTGAAGCTGCCCCGGGGGTGGGAGGTGTCCCTGGAGCCACGCCAGGCCTGGGGGTCTGAAACACCCCAGCAAGGACCTCCAGTTCCCCTTTTGCAGGTGCTGAAGAGTCAAAGGTGGGAGAAAAAGCAGGCAGTGGCCAAGGTGCTTGGGACAGCTGAGATGCACCAGCCGAGTGCTGAGGTGGGCAGAGATCAGACCAGACCCCTCATCAGGGACAGTCTGGTGCAGGAAAAGCCCTGAATCCCAGCTGGGTGCCTGTAACATCTCCTTCTCTGCCAGGACCAGGTCTCTGCAGGGAATACAGCTCCACGCCAGCAGCCTGGGACCCACACACCCCCGAGCAGTGGCAGCCTGGAGCCAGCAGAGCCGGAGCGTGGGGCCAGGCACGCATCCAGCTGGGTGGAGGGTATGTGGGCACAGAGCATGGCTTTACACGGTGGGAAAGCCCTCACTCTCCACCTGAACATCCTTCTTCAGCCCCCATGCCACACTCAGCCTCCTCCCCTGTCCCCACACTGCAGGACGATGTGACAGCAAAAGCCAGGGAGGGGACAGCCGAGCTCTGGCCAGCGCAGGGCAGGGGCTGCTGGAGGAGCCATCCCAGAGCAAAGTGTCACAGGCACAGCCACGGCCCGGGTGTGACAGCGTGAGTGGGAGCCTGCAGGGTCCCTGTGCAGGGCCAGCCCTGCTGCCAGCACTGGCTCCTGGTGCCACCCGAGCCCGCTCTGCTCTCCTGCAGGCAGGGAGCCGGTGCCAGCCGTGCCCAGCCCCACAGGTCCGGCGTGCCCTGGCCAGGGCGCAGCGGCAGCGGCTGCGGGCTCAGCACTGCCGGCAGCTCCAGCGAGAGCTCGGGGCCAGCACTGCGCTGGCCCAGGAGCACAGCGGGGAGGTGAGCACAGGCAGAGCCCTGGCACTGCTCTCCCTAGCGCAGCCCAAGGGAGCAGAGACACCCTGGGGCTGCCTGACCTTGCTCCTGTCCCCACAGTGGGACACAGAGCGCTGGCAGCGGGAGGTGACCGCGCTGGGCCTGAGCCTGGAGGCAGCGCTGCGGGAGCGGGAGGCGGCCGAGTGGCACCTGGAGGCTCTGCTGCACAGCCACCGGCAGGAGATGCAGGCCTGCAGACAGCACCTGCTGCAGGTGGGCAGGCAGGGCTGGGGACACCTCTCTGGCTGTGCCAGGGCTGTGCCACACCGCCCGGGCACCCTGCAGGTGCTCCGGGACCAGCAGCGCCTGGCAGAGGAGCGCCGGCAGCCGCAGGAGGCACGGCGGGATGCTGCAGGGCACGCCCAGCACAGCCAGCACCTGCGGGACACCCCACCGGCAGGCACAGCCCACGCCACCACACAGACCCCCTGAGCCACGCCCAGCGCGTGGGGACAGCCGGCCTGGCAGGACTGGGTCCCTGCAGCGAGCCACCAGCGATGCCAGGAGACTGGCCAGCCCCACCCCATGAGTTACCCCAGGCTGCTGCTCCTGAGGGACAGCCCTGCTGTGCTGGGAACCTGCCCCTGGGAGCACAGGTGGGAGGGCTGGCAGCCCCCAGCTGCAGCACAGAATAAAGTGGGTGCCCCTCAGCCATGTGTTGTCAGGCTCAGTTACACCCCTGGCCCCAAATCTGTCCCCAAGGGGCACAGCCACCATCCCTCAGGGCAGGCAGACACAGGACAGACACACAAATATTGTGGAACTGCAGCTTTAATACCCCGGGTGGCCTCTGCCTGCCAGAAACTTGGTACAAATTTGGGGGGCATTCCCTTGGAAGTGCCCACATGCCCCAGTCCCTGGCTGCTCTGCAGAGACACTGGTCCAGGAAGGGGAAACGGGGCCTGAGGACAGCAGGGCTCCAGGCAGGGCCCAGGCTGCAAAACCACGGAGCTGGGAGAGGCCTAGGGAAGCAGCACCAGGAATGGCAGGGATCAAGCAGCACCCATGGGAGCTGAAACAGCACCAGGCCCATGCTGGGCTGGCAGGAGGTACAGCACGGCCAATACTGCCAGAGCATTCCCAGGCCACTGTGGTGTGGGGAAGCAGCTTGAGGACAAGAATCATTTAGGTGGGAAAAGACCTCTGAGATAGAGTCAAACCTGTAACCCAACCCCTGTCAACCAGACCATGGCATTAAGTGCCATGTGCAGTCCTTAAACACCCTCAGGGACGGCGACTGCACCACCTCCCTGGGCAGCCCCTTCCAATGTTTAATCACCCCTTCTGTGAACAAATCGCTCCTATGGTCCAACCTGAACCTCCCCTGGCACATCTTCAGACTATGAGGCATGCACAAGGGGTTCAGGACCCCCCTAAGGCTGGGCATGCCTGATCCCATGGGAACCCCATGGCACAGAGCCTGGCTGCACTGGAGCTGGGCAGTTTCCCTGTGGAAGCAGGGACAGGGTGCTCTCCCCAGGGATCCCAGGAGCTGTGCAGGCACCCAGCAGGAACGATTCCAGCCCTGAGGAAGGGCTGGGGCTGCCCAGACGTGTGGGAGGAAGGCAGTGACTACGTGACTCCGTAGTACAGGTGCACAGCCAGGCCAATGCACGCCACGGCCATGAAGAAGAGGAGGGTGAGCTGCAAGTTGAAGAGGGCAACAGAGAGGAGAGCGTTGACCAGGATGGAGCAGGAGATGACGAAGAGCCTGGTGATGTTGCTGCTGTGCTTCATCACCACAGACATGATGAGACCATTCAGAGCCTGGCTGAACACGATCAGCAGCACCCACGGGGAGAAGCCCTCCAGAAACCCGCCCTCCGTGCTGCTCCACAGGGAGCCCAGCAGGTTGAGCAGGACCCCAAAGAAGTACAGGAAGATGTTCTGGAGGCTGAGGGGCAGCGCCTGGCTTTTCAGGATGGCTTCGGTGTAGACAGCAGAGAGGCCGGAGATGAGGCAGTAGATGCAGAGCAGCAGCAGCCCCACGGGGGTGAGGTGCAGGCGTGTCCCCGCGGGGTCCCGGGGCCCCCGCAGCCCCCCGCAGCTGTAGGCCAGCCCGGCGGCCAGCAGCAGCAGCAGGGCCAGCCAGCGGCGCGCGCCCAGCCGCCGCCGCAGCAGCACGCTGTACAGCAGCGCCGTGCTGGCGATCTTCAGGTTGCTGAGCACCTGGAAGGTGCTGGGGTCCATGAAGAGCTGCATGTGCACCACCAGGTTGTTGTTGGCAGCGTAGAGCAGGGCCGAGAGGGCGAAGGGCGCGGCGTGACGCCAGGACGGCGCCGCTGCCCGCGGCTCCGCCAGCAGCAGCAGCAGGGACAGCGCCAGCTTGGTCAGCTCCACCAGGACCACCACGGACGTGGAGCTGAAGGGGATGGCCCCGTCCACCTTGCAGAGGGTCAGGAGAGGGGCATGCGAGCCGTAGATGGCCACAGACAGCAGCAGCATCAGTGCCCACAGCCCCCTGTGGAGCAGGCTGTTGGCAGAGCCAGCGGCATTCCCAAACATCCCCATTCCCGGGTGAGAGCCCAGTGAGCTGCTGCCAGCGCAGAGAGGCCACACAGACTCTCACCCTGCGACACGGAAGAGACCAAATACCAAGAATTTAATGAGCCTGATTCAAGCAGGATGTTCCCTGCGACATTTGTGATGCAGCAGGAGAGCAGGGTGCTGTCCCTCGTTAGGAGGAGAACTACAAGCCTTCCTGAGAAGCCACACAAAGCACACTGCCAGGGCACACCGTGGGCTGGGTGGCAGGGCACGCAGGTGACCGGGCACAGCAGCCCCTCAGTCCACAGGGGCACAGGCAAAGGTAAGGGGAAAAGGCAGCTGGCAGCCCCTCAGTGCCCTCAAGCTGCTGTGGGTTAGTGCAGTGATCACTGCTGCCACGATGCCCAACAAACACCCATCACCAGCCCCCTGACGTGTGGCAGTGGCGTGGTGCAAAGCCCTTTTCCAGGGAAAAGAAGGGTGCAGGTTATGTGCCTCCTAGAGCCTTAGGGGTGCTCTGTGCCTGCTACCTAAGGAGCACCGTTCCTGCAGTCCCTGCTGCCTCCGGGCTCCTCCTCGCTAGTCCCGACCTTTTTTCAGTGAATTCACATAGTCCCGAATCGTCTTCTCAACGTTGGGCACGGCGTAGTTCTGGGCAGCGTAAATCCCGGTGCAGGTGCCGGCCACGAAGCCCAGGACGGCGGAGAAGCGGAGCTTGGCCAGCAGGTATCCCGCCAGGAAGCCTTTGAGCAAGGGCGATGCCAGCAGCGATCCGTCCTGAGGGGAGAGCACCGTGAGGCACGGCCGGGCCCGGGGAGGGGCGGCACAGCCCGCGGCCCAGGGCTGAGCTGTGGGCTGTTTTTCCCTGGGATTTGTTCTTTCCCCCACCAGTCCCCCTCAGAGGGCGCGGCCGGTCCGCCCTAAACCCGCTCGTTACCTGCCCCACGCCGGCCTGCACCTCGTCCTCCACCCTGCGCTGCAGGCTCTCCAGCTGCCCCTTCAGGAAGGCGAGGTCCTTCAGCTTAGGCAGCGAGTCCTGCGGAGACACGGAGGTGATTCCCGGCCCCGTCCCACAGCAGGAACCGGCGCCGCCTCCCGCGGCCCCGCGGCGCCTCAGCCCCGCGCTCCCCGCTCACCTTATCGTCCGCCATCTTGGCGCCGCCGCCGCCCGCCGCTCATTGGCTGCCGCGGAGCCACGTGACACCTCCTCCGCCGAGCCGCCGCTGATTGGTTGTCACGGGGGCAGCGACTCCTCCCGCGCGCCCCTTCCCGCCACGGAGGAGGTGCCCGGCGCTGATTGGCCGGAGCGGAGTCACGTGGTGGCGCTTGCTCCCTCACGCCGCGCGGGCGGCGCCATCTTGGGGCGGTGTTGTCCTTGAGGGCGGCCGGGCCCGAGCGGGGCGGCGGCTCCTCCGCGGCTGATCCGGCGGGGCTGGAACGGCTCACGGCCGCCCCCCAGCCCGGCCAGGGCTGCCAGCACCTCCAGCACCCCCAGCACCCAGCCACCGTGTCGCCCCTGGGGGCACATGCATGGGGGTCCCGAGCTCCACAGCTTCCCTGGGCTCCTCCCTGAGGGGTCTGACCCAGTCCAGGTTTGGCCGGTGGTTTATGTCTAAAGCTGTGCAATTGAGCATTTGTATGACTTTGTCCCTCAGGATTAAGGATAGCATCCTGTCTATAGTGCTCTTTCCCATCACTTGGTTCCATTAAAAAAGATACTGTATTTTTTAGTCCTGAGCACCAATTTATTCTAAATCATATATTATGTGTTCAATTTAATATTTGCCAAGAGCCAATCATTTAATATGAATTTTTCACAGTGATCATCCAATCCAACCATCAGTGCAGCCCTGCCAGGCCAAACAAATCATGAACAAGCTGCCAGCTCCCACGAGCCACGCCCTGACGGTTTTGGAGCCCTTCAGGGACGGTGACTCCAGCGCTGCCTGTCACAGTGCTTGCCTGTGGGAACCCAGCACATCCCTCTGGCTTGCCCTGGCTGGCTCCAGACCCTGGCAGGAGCTCGCAGACATTGGCAAAAAGTAAAAAAAAAACAGCTGTGGGTTTGATTTTAGCCCGTGGAAAAAACTGACAACTCTGGATAAGGAATTACAAGCCACGAGGGTTTGAGTGGTGTGGTAGTTGAATTAACACAGGGTGAAAAAGTAGAATTTTTGGGGGTTTTAGAATGGGGTTCGAGGGGACAAGGTGGAGGGATTTGGGCATGTCCTGACCTTCTCCTTCTTCTTGTCCTTCATGTCTTGCTGTGATGGTGACACTTTCCTGTTGGTTTAAGGTAGAGACACACTGTCCAACATAAATGATAGATATTGGCACGTTACTGTAAACATAGCACAGGTAGTTTTTGGTATAAAATGTGAACACCACCCTGAGTGCAGACAGAATGCCATGGCTGACTTGTTAGATAGAGCTCAGCAGGTCAGAGAAAGAATGTAATAGATAAGAGAAAATAAACAACATTGAGAAGCCGACCCTGCGCATTCAGAATCCTTCTTTGCCTGCACGAGCTAGGAAAAAAAGCCTTTTACATTCTGGGGGTCACCAGAGACTTGCCCACCCTTTCAGTGAGGAACTTCTCCTGAATATCCAGTTCCTGGCACAACCTGGGGCTGTGGCACCTCTTGTGTGAGCGCAGAGCCCCACAGAGCCCCACAGAGCCCCACAGAGCCCCACAGAGCCCCACAGAGCCCCACAGAGCCGTGCTGGGGCCGCGCTCCCGCTGACACAGCTGCTGAAACCCGACTGCAGCACTTCCAGCTGGGAAAACGGGCGCTGCAGGACTGCAGGCACAGCTGGGGAGCTGTGGGGAATGTTGGTTCCAGGGGCTTGGCACAATTTAATTAAAAGCTGTGGTGCTGGGGGTTATGTGTGTTACTCTCGTGGGTGCTACGGAGCACGGAGGCAGCTCCGTGAAGCCTTCTGGGCTCTCAGGCTGCTGCTCTCCGAGTTAATTTAGATGCATTCCCAGTGTATATCACACTGCTCCCACTGAGCACTGGGAAGAGGAAAGGAAAGGGACTCGGGAGGCAGTGGCAGGTGCAGCCCAAAGAAGAAGCATTAATATTGTTATTAATATTAATAGCCAGTTTAAGTCCAACCAAGGCTGAGCTGCTGTTTCCTTGCTTTGCAGGATTCCAGACTTTTTATCCAGAGGTAGGTGTGGATTTAGTGAACCTGACATTTTCCTCAGCCACCTCAAACCAGCCGCTTTTCAAGCAGGATTTTTACTTCATGAAAGGAAAATAAAATAAAATAAAATAAAATAAAATAAAATAAAATAAAATAAAATAAAATAAAATAAAATAAAATAAAATAAAATAAAATAAAATAAAATAAAATAAAATAAAATAAAATAAAGCTGTGTGAGTGACTGCAAGGGTCTTTCTTAGAACACAATCACAACACTTGAAAAGCGCCACTTAGTGCAAGGGTGACTTGGAAAATTTGGGTGTTGGTAAAAAACATGTGAGGGGAGCAGAGCCCTGTGATCAGTCACTGCTGTCACCTGCAGAGAGGTGAGCCCAGTGCCAGCCTCACCAGCTGCAGGACAACATGGCAGGGAGAGGGTTTGTATTGGCTGCTGGGAAGGAATTCTTCCCTGGGTGGGTGGGCAGCCCTGGCACAGGTGCCCAGAGAAGCTGTGGCTGCCCCTGGATCCCTGGCAGCGCCCAAGGCTGGGTTGGACAGGGCTTGGAGCCGCCTGGGATGGTGGGAGGTGTCCCTGCAATGGCAGGGGTGGGATGAGATGATCTTTGAGGTCCCTTCCATTGCAGATCAGTGTTTCCAGGCCATGGTAGGAGCTGAGCTCCTGCCCTCAGAGGGTCTGTGAGGGAGCCCAGCTCTCAGCCCCCTGAGCTGAGCTCTGTGCTGTGTGGGGCAGCACGGATGGGTCACTGCTGGTGGTTCTGGGATTTCTGGTGGGAAAACAGCTGGGATGTGAGGGAGGGCTGGGAGAAACCCTGTCCCTGCTGCATCTAAGCACAGCCAGGCCCCAGCCGTGGCTGGAGGGAGGATGCAGCCATTCTGTGCCTTGCTCAGCAGGATCCTGGCTGTGAACCTCCCTCCCTGCTGCACCTGGCACCTGCTGATTGTGGTGGCCCCTGGACCCGCTCAGCTCCCCTGGCTGAGGTGTGGGGGTGTCATTGCTGCTCCCATGGACCAGGATGGGTCTGCCCCTAAGCTGAGAGCCCTGGGTCTGAGTCTGAGCTGCTGTGGGATGCTGTGTTTAGCACTAAAACTGAGCTATTTGTGCTGTTGGGAGAGCTCAAGGGGAAATTGGTTATCCTGTGTTTGCCAGCTGAGCAGCAAGCTACCACTCCTGAGGTTTGGTTTTCCTGCCTCTGATCCAGCCCTGCCTCCAGCTCCTGCTGCCAGCCAAGGCTTTCACCTTGGCCCTGGCTGTGCCCTTGAGCAGTCCAGGAGCTGAGCCTTTGGCTGGCAGCACGGCTGCTGCTGGAACAAGGCTGTGCTGTCACATTTCCTCTGGGCTTGTGCCTGTCTTTCAACCTGTCCCTTCTAATATGGCCAGAGCTTATCAGCATCTGCAGCCCAGCCTGGCTGCGGTGATGGGTGAGATAAGCAGCTTCCATGTGAGGAGGACACAGAGCTGTGCCCCACAAGGATGGGTTTCAGGTGTGAGCCCTCGGGGGCTGCAGTGCCTTTGCTGCTCTCACAGCTGCTGCCTGTTCCCGTGTTGCTGAGCTCAGCCCCGATGCATTTCTCTTGCATCTCAGCAGGTGCCCGCAGCTTTTGCTCTGTGCCCTTGGGAACACTGCTCAGCTGACCAGGACCATGTCCTGCTGCACCCCAGGCCAGACCTCCACTGCCCTCAGAGTGTCCCCTACCAGGTCCCTCACCTGCTGTCCCCCCTCTCCACTCAGGCCAGCACCAGGCATTTGGCACATCCCAGAGGCCTCAGCAAAGATTCCTAAGACCTCTGCGAACCAGCTGCCTCTTTGCAGTGGCCTTTGCTGTCCCAGCCCTCCCTCCACAGCCCTTTCATCTGTCGTTTGTGCAATTTTTGCACAGATGCAGTGCCCAGAGATTAGGCTGCAGATTAAGGTTTTACTGCATCCTGAAATGGGCTCCAATTCCCAGTCCCAGCAGGACCAACATGCAGCCAAATCTCTCCTGAAAGCTGACTGGGCTGGAGCTGGGGAGAGAACTCCCACCGTGTTCTCCCATGTGCATGAAAGGTGGAATCCTACATATACAGCCCAGGTGAGGCACCTGGAATTCTGTGTCCAGTTCTGGGTCCCTCTCGACAAGAATGACATTGTGGGGCTGGAGCATGTCCAGAGAAGGGAATGGAGCCAGGGAAAGGTCTGGAGCACAAGATGAGGAGTAGCTGAGGGAGCTGAGTGGGGGCTCAGCCTGGAGAAAAGGAGGTTCAGGTGGCACCATCTCCCTCTCTACAACTCCTTAACAGCCAGGTGGGGCTCTGCTCCCAGAGAACAAGGCACAGCACCAGAGGAAAAGGCTTCAGTCTGCCCCAGGGGAGGTTCAGGAAGAATTTATTCACTGAAAGTGTTGAGTGGGCTGTGCAGGACAGTCAATGTGCCCTGGAAATACTAAAAAAAACACATGGATGTGGCACCTGGGGACACAGATTAGTGGTGGCCTTGGCATTGCTGGGTTAATGGTTGGACTCAGTGACCTTAGAGGACCTTTCCAGCCTTAGCGATTCCAAGGTTCTGTGATTCTAAAGGAGTTGGGCAGCCCAGGGCAGGAGCAGGGCTGTTGTCTCAGCTCCAGCCTGTGCCTGCCCAGCCTCTCCCCATCCTGGGAGAGCCTGCTCTGCCAGCAACATTTGGGTCAGGCTGGAGGCTCCCCTGGAAGTCCTGCACAGGCTCCCTGTGCCTGCAGAACTGCCCCATGAGTGGGCTGGGTGTGTTTGTCCCAGCACACACAGGCACACTTGTGGCTGGCATTTCCAAAGCCCCATCCAACACCACAGCATATCACAGAATCATGGAATATCCTGGGTTTGAAGGGACCCACAAGGATCATCCAGGCCAACTCCTGGTCCTGCAAAGACACCCCACAATCCCACCCCATCCCTGAGAGCATCATCCAAGTGCTCCTGGAGTTCTGGCAGCCTTAGAGCCACGACCATTCCCTGTTCAGTGCCCAACCACCCTCTGAGGGACAAACCTTTTCCTCTGCCACATGGGGCAGACTGTACATTGCTCCCAAAATTTAGGATAATGCAACTCGTCCAGAAGAGGAAAGTGTTTTATATGCCAAAAAACAGATAAAAAACCCAATACACCCACAGGAGAACATCAGAGCTGCACATAACAAAGAAAATGGGAAGCGTGTCACAGGGCTGTGGGCTGAGTCAGCTGCTCGGGGGTGCACAGGAGGTTTGGGGGGAGCTGGGGCTGCAGCCGTGGCTGGCACTGGTGCCCAGGGGCAGTGAGGGTGTGTCAGAAGCCGTCGGTGCGCAGGGGCTGGGGCAGGTCGGACACGCTGATCTGCAGGTTGAGCTCTGCCGAGTCCAGGGTCGTGCACGGGGTGTGCGGGTGGCTCAGCTCCAGCACGGCCACCTCCTCCAGGTGCTCCTGCCGCAGGTGCCACAGGATCTCCCTGGACAAAAAGTGGGGCTCTGCTTCTTCTGGCTCTGGAACAGAAGAAAACAAACCTTCCTTCACTGGTTGTCCTGAGGGAGAGCTCTGGGCAGAGCTCTCTGAGATGCCCCAAAACATGCACTGTTTCCTGCACAAAATACAGCTTTCACTTCCCACTTTCAGCATGGCAGAGGGGAAAAGTTCAAACACAAAGTGCAGGGAGGAGTGTAAATTTACAGGCACTATGTGCTGGATTCCAGTAATGCTTGTGATAGGAGCTGCCTTGCTGGATAGAAATGCTTCTCCCCAGCAGGGACAGCGCTGAGTTTCCTCTGAAGAAACCCACATTCATTAAAGCAAGATGCTGATTTCATCTGCTGGAGGTGAGGAGATGGGAGATGAAAAGATGATGGGAATGAGGGAAAGCCTCGGAATGGCACAGGGCCAGCACACACTCCTCCCACTGCTGGGGACGGGTGACAGCCCCAGCAATTTCCTCCAGGAACATGGACAGGGACGGGTGCAGCTGCTTGCCCGGGATGCCTGCTGTTGCACTTCATGCTTGCGGTAAGCAGCGTGTCTCAGGTCCCCCAGGGGACTTCAGATGGGACAAGTGCTGCCACCACCTCCCCTGCTCCTCAAACCCACAGCAAGAAGTCCTTAGAATTGTGGAATCGTGGAATACCCTGAGTTGAGATCCACAAAGATCATCCAGTCCAGCTCCTGGCCCTGCACAGACACCACCAGAGCTTTGTCCAGATGCTCCCGGAGCTCTGGCAGCCCTGGGGCTGGGACCGTTCCCTGGGGAGCCTGGGCAGTGCCTGGTCTCCTCTGGGGAAGAACCTTTTCCTGCTATCCAGACTAAAGCCCCCTGGCACAGCTCCAGCTGTTCCTTCGGGTCCTGTCCCTGGTCCCAGGGAGAAGAGCTCAGAGCTGCCCTGTGGATTTCTCTCTCGGGGTTCCTGAGGGTTAGGGTGACCCCAAGAGAGATCCGAAAAGAGTCTTTGCTTCCCTAGCCAGAACGCAGCCAAATGAGGAGTCTTGGAATGCTTTCAGTGTTCTTTAAGTTTGTTGATTTCTTCTTATCTATAATATTTTCTCTCTGACCTGCCAAGCTCTGGCTAGCAAGGAGGCCATAGCATTCTGTGTGCCCCCTTGGGCAGTGTTTACTGTTATATCAAAAATTACGTATACTATGTTTACAATTTATTACCAATACCTAATATTTATGTTGGACAGTGTGTCTGTACCTTAAACCAACAGAAAAGTGTCACCATCACAGCAAGACATGGAGGACAAGAAGGAAAAAAAGGCTAAGACATGCCCAGATTCCTCCATCTTGTACCCCTGAATTACACTCTGAAAAACCCCAAAATTCTACTTTTCCACCCTGTGTCAATTCACCTATCACACTACTCAAACCCTTGTGACTTGTAATTCCTCATCCAGAGTTGGCAGCTTTTCACAGGCTAAAATTGAGGCCACAGATGTTTTTGACTTCTTGCCAGGGTCTCTGAGACCCCTGCCAGGGTCTGGAGCCAGACTGAGGGATGTGCTGGACCCCAACACTGCCCCTCAGGAGGAGCTGCAGCCCCTGGGAGCTCTGACCTCAGTCTCCTCTGCTCCAGCTGGACAGGCCAAGTGCCCTCAGCAGCTCCTCACGTGGCCCCTCTGGGCCCTTCACCGTCCCCATGTCCCTCTTTTGGACACTCCCTAACAGCTTTAGATCTTTCTCATCTTGTGGTGCCCAAACCTGCCCCAGGGCTCGAGGTGAGGCCACCCCAGCTCAGAGCAGAGTGGGACAATGCCCTCCCTCACCCAGCCAGTGATGCCAGGCTCGGTGGCATTCCTATTTCATGTGGGAATGCAGCCCCTCCCTTCCTCCATGGCAGCAGGGGCCACCATGGTCCCCTGGCTGGGGACACCGGCCGAGCCCTGCAGGGACACTGCTCCAGGTCACTCGGGGCTGGCAGAGCCCAGCACTGCCCTGGGCACCCCGGCCCTTCCCCTCACTCACCCTCGTAGGCAATGAGCCTGTAGGCATCTGCACACTCCTTGGAGCCTCTCAGGATCTCCTCCAAGGCCCTGTAGAAAAGCTTGGCCTGCTCCAGGCGCTCCTCCCGGCTGAAGGCAGCACAGTCCTCCTGGGACATGGCGAAGAGGGTCTGCAGCGGGGTGGCATATTCCACAGCACAGTGCCAGAGCTGCAGCGGTGGGAGGACAAGAATGGGCACAGGAGGGCTGGGCAAAGGGCTGCTGGGAGACCCTGGCACTGGGCACAGCGCTCAGGACCTCTCAGCTCCTTGGCCTGCCTGCCACTGGGAACACTGGGACTGGGAACACTGGGACTGGGATACTGGGTCTGGTCCCAGTGTCTCCCTGCCTCGTGCAGGGCAGGGAAAGGGCAGCTGGCCTGACAGCTCCAGGTGTCCCCTCTGCCAGGTGGGCTCAGGGAGCTGCCTGTGCCCATGGGGGGCAGCCACTGGCTTTGTCAGTGCTCCCAGGAGCAGCCTGGAGGGTGATCTTCCCATGGAATTTGGTCCCCTAGAGAGACATCCCTTCCCTGGGATCACACCTTCTTAGTGGCTTTCCTCTATACAAAGGGAGGTGGAGGGACAGCACCAATCTCTGCTTTCTGTGACCAGAGACAGGACCCAAGGAATGGCTGGAGCTGTGTCAGGGCAGGGTTAGGCTGGATATCAGAAGGTATTTCATCCAGAGGGTACAGGGTTAGGCTGGATATCAGAAGGTATTTCATCCAGAGGGTACAGGGTTAGGCTGGATATCAGAAGGTTCTTCCTCCAGAGGGTACAGGGGGCACTGAACAAGGAATGGTCACAGCCCCAAGGCTGCCAGAGCTCCAGGAGCTCTTGGACAATGCTCTCAGGCACAGGCTGGGATTGTTGGGGTGTCTGTGCAGAGCCAGGGGTTGGACTTGATAATCTTTGTGGGTCCCTTCCTACCCAGAATATTTTGTGATTCCATTGTTCTAAGTCTGAGCATCCTAACAGAGAGCTGGGGGGCAGAGCACAAACACTGGACAGACAGAGGCACAGCTGGAAGGAGGCTGAGCAAAGAAACAAGGAGAAATCTGATAAAGCCATAACGATGCCAAGGAGGAGCGGTGTTACCAGTAAGTCTTACACTGGGTAAACTGGAAAGTTGAATGGAGTGAATTAGAAGGAAGAGGGATGTGATCCCAGGTAAATGCAGAGAAGCAGGAGGTTCCCAGGCTCAGCAGGTGGGGCAGGTGCTTCCATGGGCCCTGCTCTCTGGGAGGGACTGCCAGGAAGCTGAGGGGCAAATATTACTGGAAGGCCAAGTGCAGGCCCAGAGCTGCTGGAGCTCCCAGGGAGCAGAGTGACCCAGCAGGAGGCTGGCAGAAGGAACACAGATCAGCACAGCAGGAAAAACCCACAGCTTCCCCCCGAGCAGGGCAGGAGAGGCTCGGGGTCCCTGCAGCTGGGCTTTAAAAACTGCAGCTCGGAGCTCAGTCCTTGCCAAAGGGCAAACCAGGGCACCCAGGTGAGGAGCAGAGCTCTGCCCATGTCTCCATGCACTGCACCAGGGTGTTCCCTCCTCCAAGGGGCAGGGACAGGGACCAGTCTGCCCAGAGATGTGGGAGGAGATGAATGCACTGTGAGATGGAGAGATTTAGGGCTCACCAGCCTAGAAAAGGGGTGACTGGGGGAAAGGAGGGAGTCAAATAATGACTCACATCTTCAAGCACCTCTTAACAACACAAGGAAACATTCAGCCTATGGGAAGTGATGCTCTGTAGCCCACATCTGTTTTTTTCTGCTCAATTTTCTACTGTTTTCTGGACTTCAGTCAGCTCCAGGAGGGGCTAAGCAAGCCCACCATCCCTGCAGCTCAGCCTGGGAGGAGGCAGCCAGCAGGAAAGGGTACAGGAATAGGATCTCTTCATCTCATGGAAGCCTGGTGAAAGCTGGGAGTATCTAACAGGAGATGTGACAGTCTCCTGTCCTTATGGCCACTTCTGGGGCCAGCAAGGCTTTTGGGATGATGCTTCCAATGCTGCTCTCAGCATACCTGGTTTTCTTCATCTGTGATTGCGTAGAGGCTGTGTTTGTACACCCTCTTTTTGATGCCAGCTCGGGCCAGAATGGTTTCAGTGAGCTCTGTCACGTACTGGATATTGCTGTCAGCTTTCTCTAGGTCATCATAGATCTCACAGCTCAGAGGGAACAAGATGTGGAGCTTCCAGGTCTTCCTGCACGCTGGCAGGTTGGGATTGGCTCTGCTGAATTCCTCCATGGACTTTTTCAACCCTGGTGGAAGAGAGCATCAGGCAGAGGTGGCTGGTGTGAGTACAGCTGCATTCTGCCTTGCTCCCCATTTCCCTGCTAACACTGTAAAGGTGGGAGGATTGTTATTAGCAGCTATTTCTATCTGTAGGCATGGGAATGCAGGGAAACAGCTACGTACGTGGCAGGATTATTTTTAGGTACCCAACATAATAGGACCAGGCAAGCCCATGAGCGACGTTCTGCTTGGACCTCTCGGACATCTCAGACATCTCCACTGCTGAGGGCTTCTGTGGAGGGAAGGACAGACACAGCAGGTGATGACAGCTGCCACCTGGGCCCTTCTGCAGCAGTCTCCAAAGGGATTGGAGAGCTGCAAAGAGATCTGGAGAGTGAACAACCCCACCAGCCCCTTCCCCCAGCATGCAGGGCAGAGCCCCTGACAGCCCCCACAGCCCCTACAGAGGAGGGAAGTGGGGCTGGAGTGAGCCAGGCATTTCCCTGGCTGCACCTTCCACTGGGATCGTGTGTCCCAGTGCAACTTGTGCATCTGCCCTGTGCTTCCAGCATGGGAGAGGAGGCACCCCCGTGCCTGATGGTGGGATTCCCAGTGGCCTCTGCCAGCTCTGTGAGGGGAAATGGGTGTCCTGTCCCACAGGCTCCTGTTAGAAGCACCTTCTGCAGCCTGTGTGCCCTTCCTGCCCCGCTGGGGCACAGCAGAGCTCTCCCACTTCTGCAGAGGCACCTGGGGCTTGGCTCTGCCCCAACACCACACTGAGAATTGAGAACACACCGACTCTACTTTCACCTCAAGCACCAGCTTGACTGACAGATAGTACCCGTTTTTTGTGTTGGGGGGCCACGCCATGCCCTGAAATGGCTGTGCTCATTGGGAGGCAGCTTGACCCTCCTGCCAACACTCCTGGCAGCACAGGGCCAGGGAGATGAGCTCTGCAGGGCTGAGCTGAGAGTGCTCCTCCCGCCAGGCCGGACATGAGAGGCCATGCAGAGCTGGCTATGTGCCCCCACGGCCGCTCAGGACTGAAGGGTTCCCTGGGCAGCCAGCCAGGCTGGAGGAGTGGGAGCCTTACCTGGAGGCCCAGGGCAAGGATGAGGAGCTGGCACAGACTGGCCAGGATGAGGTGGAGGCCGAGTTTCTGTCCATCACCGAGGAGAGCCACGCAGGCTGAGCCACAGACGAGCAGCATGGGCCCGTGCCAGCGTGGGGAGAGGCAGCTGCTCAGGGCCCTCCAGAAGCTGCCGTGGTGCCTGGGTGGGAGAGGAAGACAGCAGTCAGGCTTGCGGCCACCTACCCACCCTCAGCAGCCATGGCCAGGGCTGCTCCCATCTCCTGGGTGCCACCAAGCTTCCAGGGCACTGCAGAGTTGTGTGGGACCGTGCCCAGCACACCCCAGTGCCCCAGAGAGGGCCTGGGTGCTTTGCAGCACCTGTGGGACTCAGAGGGAGCAGATGGAATGTCACCCTGGAGAGCAAAGGGAGACAACAGCCCCCTGCCCTCCAGCACTGGGTGGTGGGGAAAGGCTGGGGGCCAAGATCTGTTCCTCAGGAGAGGAGACATCCATGGATGGGGAACAGCTCTGGGGGGGCTGGGCAGGTGGGAGAGGGAGCAAGAGATGAGAGGGACAGGATGGTGACAGAGAGCAAGTGTGGGCACAGAGGCCAGGAGCAATCCCGAGGCTGCCCGTGTCCCCAGGGTGGTCACAGGAGCACCGCAGACAGGCACCCAGCCCTGCTGGCTCACCTGGACTCCAGGTGGAAGATCTCCTCGGCCAGGTAGCAGAGGCCCTTGAGCAGCTCCCCGGCCTGCAGGGTGGCGAAGTGGAAGGCGAGGCTGCGGGCGGTGGGCAGCAGGGGCTGCCCGGCGAGGAGCAGAGCGGCGGCACAGGCGCCCAGCAGCAGCAGCACGGCGCGCCGCGCCCGCCCGCCGCGGGGCTGCGGGATCAGCGGGGCTCGGCGCTGCCGCCGCCGCTCCCGGCACATCTGCGGCAGCGGCAGCCTGTCCCCGGTGCCCACGGCAGCAGCTCGTCCTCAGCACTGTGCGAGCGGATAAAAGCAGATCAGGGGATGGGTGCGCCCAGCGCTCAGCGAGCATCCCGAGCGCACAACGCTTTCGGGCGGCTCCCCTGCGCTTCCCTCCTTAGCGCTGTCCTTGTGCCCAAATGGGCTCGGCGAGGCAGAGCCCCGCTGCTCACCCCGCTGCTCACCCCGCTCCCCACCCCGCTGCTCACCCCGCTGCTCACCCCGCTCCCCACCCCGCTGCTCACCCCGCTGCTCACCCCGCTGCTCACCCCGCTCCTCACCCCGCTCCCCACCCCGCAACACCGCTCCTCACCCCGCTCCCCACCCCGCTCCCCACCCCGCTGCCCACCCCGCTGCCCACCCCGCTCCCCACCCCGCTGCTCACCCCGCTGCCCACCCCGCTGCTCACCCCGCTCCTCACCCCGCTGCCCACCCCGCTGCCCACCCCGCTGCTCACCCCGCTGCTCACCCCGCTCCTCACCCCGCTGCCCACCCCGCTGCTCACCCCGTTCCCAGGCGATGCCAGCCCGCCCAGCCGTGTCGCTGCCCTCCAGGCGGTTTCCAGCGCCAGCCCCGCGGTCCGTGCCCGAGCTCCGCTCCCCCCTGGCACCGGGAGCTCCGTCAGAGGCTGCCCGGACACCGCCGGAGCCCCCGAGACCTGCGGCTCCTGCAGCTCGCGTGGAGCTGCGCAGAAAAGCGCGCCGAAAAGTGAAAATGAAAGAAGCTCTGGCAGCCGTGAGAGCTCTGGGATGTACAGTGCCAGAGTTCTCCCACACAGGCGTCCATGAGATCTCTCAGCCCGCAGGAAATCCAGGCACTGTGGCAGCACTAGATTTCGATATCCGTGAGCTTGCACATCCTGGAAAGCCCCAAGTCTGCCAGTCTGAGGGGAACTGGAATGAGGAAGGAAACCAGACTTTATTGAGATTTCATCTGTCAAGGGCAGCAGATTTCAAAGATTGCACTGATTCAGCTCAGCAGGTTGCCAGGGGCAAAACAGACTCAAGCTCCATCTAGCAGAAGGTGACTCACAGCACCCTGGATGCCCCTACCCCACACATTTCCAGGAGATGCCAGGCTGGGAAGCAGTGCCCATGAGTGCTGGCAACACAGCAGGGGCTTCCTGCAGCCAGGCTCGTGGTGGCCAGTGAGGCCCTCGAGACTTCCAGTTCCAAGCAGTGAGAGGTACTTCTATCCTAACCCATGTTAGGGGACACAGATGCAAGCCCACAGGAGCAGGTGGGATGCACTCAGGGATGCTGAGGGAGGTGGATAATGGCCTGGCAAGGTTCCTCTCTGATGTCTTTGGAATGTTGTAGCAATCAGGAGGTTCATGGTGCGTGGGAGAAGGAAATCTCAAACCCAGCTTTGAGGAGGTGAACTACAACCTGCTCAATATCACCTCTGACCCTGGGGAAGTGATGGATGAAAATCCTCACAGCAAGGATGAGACAGGAACAGCCATCAGGAATTTCACATCACAGCTGATGGACCCAACTACCTGGAATGGCAAGAAAACTGGCTGTAGGGATGAGTGGAGAACCTTCGCTTCAGCAAAGCCCTCAGCATTGTCACCCATGGCCTCTGTGGAGCCAAACTAGGTAGATACAGGCTGGGAAAGGGACTGACTGTCCAGAACACACTCAGGGTCACATTGCTTTCTGTCCAGGAATGCCCCTGGGTTCCAGAAGACCCTGACAGTCCCTACAGACCCACATTGCCAGGGTGTCTGGAGGCTGTCACAGGCTTACAGCACAAGGATCTTGATTCAGACATGCCCATGGTTAACATTCAATTAAAATCATAGAATTCAAAAATTATTTCGGTTGGAAGAGACCCCTGAGACCACCAAGTCCAACTGTTTCCCCAGAACTGCCAAGCCCACCACTAACCCATGTCCCCAGGTGCACACACCCTCCAAGGATGGAGACTCCAGCACTGCCCTGGGCAGCCTGGGCCAGTGCTTGACAGCCCTTTTGGGTGAAGAAATGTTCTCTAATATCCAGCATAAAGCTCCTCTAGTAGTGCTGGCTTGAGGCCATTTCTCTTTGTCCCTTGTTCCCTAGGAGCAGAGCCCACTCCCCACCTGCCTGCACCCTCCTGTTGAGGAGCTGTGGAGAAGGTCCCCCCCAGTCTAATTTTCTCCAGGCTGATCCCCCAGCCTCCCTCAGCTGCTCCTCATCAGACCTGTGCTCTGCTGCCCTTCTGTGGACACAGCTCCAGCATCCTCAAACCCAGAGAGTGGGAGGAAGGGCTGGCAGGGAGCTGCTTGTTTTGGTGGTACCTTAGAAACCCCAGCAAACCATCTGGCCAGTGTTCCAGCCCCAGGAGGGCCTGTGGATACAGCCAACATGTTGTTTGCTTCGTCAACACAAAGGCTGGCTAAAACATCAAGTGAATCACTTCCTTCTCCAGTGCTGAGATAAAGCTTGTCCCGTTCCAGCTGGGCTTCCCTGACCTGCTCTGCTTGGCTCTTCAGTGTGGTGGATGGGCTGCCTGGCTCCCCAGACACCTTCTTGCAGGTCCCCAAGCAGTTGGTGGCTCTCCTGCTCTCAAAGCCTGGCCTGGCTTTCAGTTCTACCCTCAGCACACACACGCCTGCAGTATTTCTGTCTCACTTCTCTTTGGAGCAGAGCTGTGGTACCGCTCCAAGAGGTGAGTCTAAACTCCAGGAATGAGGTTTCACAGAATTTTGGAACCACGGCATGGTTGGGGTGGAAAGGGACCCTAAAGTTCATCTCATTCCCAACACCTGCCAGGTTGGGGGCAGGGACAATTTTCTGTAGACCAGGCTGCTCCAAGCCCCATCCAGCCTGGCCTTGGACACTTCCAGGGATCCAGGGGCAGCCACAGCTTCTCTGGACAGCCTGTGCCAGGGCCTCACCATCTTCACAGGGAAAAATTTCTTTCCAATATCCCACCTAACAGTGATCTTTGGCAGTAGGAAGTCATTTCCCCTTGTCCTGTCACTCCAGGCCCTTGTCTAAAGTCTCCTCTTGGAGCCCCTTTAGGCCTTGGAAGGGGCTCTGAGCTCTCCCTGGCTCCTTCTGTTCTCCAGGTGAGCACCCCCAGCTCTTCCAGCCTGGCTCCAGAGCAGAGGAGCTCCAGCCCTCCAAAACACCTTTGTGGCCTCCTGTGGACACCTGGAACATCTGAGCTTGCCTGGGAACAGAGAGCCCAGTGCCACCCTGTGCCTCTGCACAGCCAACAAGAGGTGGCAGGATTGAAACTGCCCCCATTGTCCTCCCTGGCCTTCCTCTGGCCAACAAGTTGCTTTTCCAGATCATGTCTTGATTGACATTCTCTCTGTCCCCAGTTGCTGTTATTCCCTCAAGCAGAGGGAACAAGAAGTCACACATGATGCTGGAAAGTTTTAGATGCATATAAAACCCCACAAGGCACCTCTGTGGACCAGCACCATGGCACTTCCAACCAGGCTGTGTGAGGCTGAGTGGGGCACAGAAATCAACTCTGCCCACAGCAATCTACAAACACTGCAGCCCTTGCTGAGATTAGGAGCACCAAGGAGTCCTGGAATATCCTGGGTTTGAAGGGACCCACAAGGATCATCCAGTCCAACTCCTGGCCCTGCAGCAACAGCCCAACAATCCCATCCCATCCCTGAGAGCTTTGTCCAAATGCTCCTGGAGCTCTGGCAGCCCTGGTGCTGGGACCATTCCTGGAGAGCCTGGTCAGTGTCCCACCACCCTCTGGGGAAGAACCTTTTCCTGATATCCACACTAAATCCCCTGACACAGCTCCAGGCATTCCCTTGAGTGCTGTCCCTGGTCCCAGGGAGCAGAGATCGGAGCTGCAGCCCCTGGGGAGCTCTGACCTCAGTCTCCTCTGCTCCAGCTGGACAGGCCAAGTGCCTTCAGCTGCTCCTCTGGGCCCTTCACCATCCTCGTGTCCCTCCTTTGGATGCTGTTCCTCATATTGTGGTGCCCAGACCTGCCCCCAGGTAGAGGCTGGATGCATGTGGCATGTCCCCAGCCAAAAGCCAGGCCAGGAACAGGGTGTTTTGATTTCCATTCATCCCTTGGGTGAAGGGCTGCGAGCAGGCAGCAGCAGCGTGACAGAGCTGCCTCTGCTGCAGGATGGGCACGGCAGCAGCACTTCCTTCCTTTAATTCCCTTTTTTTCCATTGCCCTGGGAAAGCAGGTAGAGCTGCTGGCTTCATGCTGAGGGCAGGCTGCCCAGTGACAGCTTTCACTGGGATACCTGCAGGGATGGGGTTCCAGTGCCAGGCTGGTGTCAAAAGTGGCTTTGGTCCCTTGACTAAAAGTGCTGCAGTCGGTGTTTTTAGTGCTGCAGTTGCACCAGCAATGTCCCTCAGAGGTCCCGTGTGACAGGGCTGCTTTACTGACACAAAATAGCAAAAATAAAGTGCTCTGCAATATTCTGTGTGGCCTTGGGCTGTGTGAACCAGGCCAGACTCTCTGGTGCTGCAGGAGATTTGATGGCAGCCATTGTCTCTCACTCGCTGAGGCAGGCACTTCCACACACCAGAAATCATGGAATATCCCGAGTTGGAAGGGACCCACAAAGATGATCAAGTCCAGCTCCTGACAGCCCCAGGAATCCCACCCAGTGCCTGAGAGCATTGTCCAGATGATCTTTGGACAACCTTGTTGATCCAAGCATTTAGCTGTGGGACAAAGCAGGTGGCAGCCAAGGTGGCCAGGCCCAAGGATTTGGGAATTTCCCTCTTGGCCTCCAGATTCTGCAGAGCCCTGCTCTTGGCTCACAAAGCCCACCCAGGGATGTGCTGCCTTTCCAGGGATGTGCCCAGCTTGGGAGATGCTTTGCCTCACTCTGACCCCAGCCTGGACCCCTCAGCAATGATGAGTTTAAAATCCTGGTGGCAGAATGGGGCATCCCTCCGTCCCTGGCTCGTGGGGCTGCTCTGAGTGCTGCACCCCCTCACCCACTGAGGTTCTGCCTTCTTTTGGAGCACCAGAACCTTCCCAGGAGAAAGAGTTTGAATTTAATAGATGTCAGTGGAACAATCTGTGATTTCTGAGTGTCAGCTGCCAGCACCTGCAGGCTCTTGTGGCACTGATTGCCCACTTACATGTTGGGTGGAAAAACATTTTTTACTCATTTTGGAGCTGTCACAGGCTGGCATTGGAATATGGTGATTTTCCAGTCCCTTCCAACCCAAACCATTCCACGATTCCATGACTGGGGTGGTACTGCTGGGCAGGAGCTGCTCCTGATCCTTTTTTCTGTGAGTTTTCACTTTCCTTTGAATCTTGCCCAACACTGAGGGTTTCTCCTTTTCCAGTTGTGCCTTTCCTCCTTCAGAGTGACTTTTTTGCACCTTCTAACAAAGGCCTCATAAGTTATGAAAGCCTGGAATAACTAGATTTAACCAGCTTGGCTGGGAAATTTCTATTTCTTTAAATCCTTGTGTCTTTCCCTAAACCCTTCAAGAGTTTTTTCCCCTAATACAGCACTGCAACTTGACCCTGTGGAGCAGAGCAGATCGTCATTATCCCTGGTACTAGAACCACAACTTTTCTCTCTTTTCCTGGGGACAAAATCCAACACTTCTCCTGTGAATGCTAGGAAAAGGTTACTTTCACCTTGGCTGACTGAAGTCCTTAGAGCTGTGACTTGAGGGTACTTGGAAAACTGGCTCAGGAACAGGAAAAGCTTCCAGATATTCCCATGGGGTGGGAAGTCTGTTGTGCCCTGGAACACGGCCCCAGCTGCCCTCAGGGGCACAGGAGCATCTCCCAGAAAAGGAATCTGTGATGTCACTTCCAGCCACGGGGATCAGGCATGGGCTGGGCCATACAAATGGAAAGCAGAAAATGCTGGAAGAAAAGCAGTTTTACCCCAAGC